GGTGTGGGTTTCGGGGATAACAACTGGTGTGGGTTTGGGGATAACAACTGGTGTGGGTGTCGGGGATAACAACTGGTGTGGGTTTCGGGGATAACAACTGGTGTGGGTCGGGGATAACAACTGGTGTGGGTTTCGGGGATAACAACTGGTGTGGGTTTCGGGGATAACAACTGGTGTGGGTTTCGGGGATAACAACTGGTGTGGTTGTCGGGGATAACAACTAGTGTGGGTTTCGGGGATAACAACTGGTGTGGGTTTCGGGGATAACAACTGGTGTGGGTTTCGGGGATAACAACTGGTGTGAGTGTTGGGGATGGCAACTAGTCTGGGTGTCGGGGATAATAACTGATGTGGGTGTCGGGGATATCAACTGGTGTGGGCCACAACGTAGTCGAACGCGATCATGGAAGGGTCACAATGCCAAACGCTAATTTGCGTGGTCAGGGCTGACTAAGCGCACTCAGAATGTTACGCTGAATATTGTTTCAAACATGCTCACGGTCTGAAGTTATCGTTTCCGGTCTGAAGTCATCGTAAATATGCTCTGAGTAACAGTGTCCTGTCTGAGCTCGTCGTAAATATGCTCTGGGTAACACTGCCCGGTCTGAGGTCATCGTAAATATGCTCTGAGTATCACTGCCCGGACTGAGGTAATCGTAAATATGCACTGAGTAACACTGCTCGGTATGAGGACATCGTAAATATGCACTGAGTAACACTGTCCGGACTGACGTCATCCTGCCCAGTCTGAAGTCATCGTAAGTATGCACTCAGTAACACTGCCCGGACTGAGGTCATCGTAAATATGCTCTGAGTAACACTGCCCGGACTGTGGTCATCGTAAATATACACTGAGTAACACTGCCCGGTCTGAGGTCATTGTAAATATGCACTGAGTAACACTGTCCGGTCTGTGGTCATTGTAAATATGCACTGAGTAACACTGCCCGGTCTGAGGTCATCGTAAATATGCTCTGATCAACACTGCCCGGTCTGAAGTCATCGTAAATATGCACTGAGTAACCCTGCCCGGTCTGAGGTCATCGTAAATATGCTCTGAGTAACACTGCTCGGACTGAAGTCATCGTAAATATGCACTGAGTAACACTGCCCTGTCTGAAGTCATCGTAAATATGCACTGAGTAACACTGCTCGGTCTGAAGTCATCGTAAATATGTGCTGAGTAACACTGCCCGGTCTGAAGTCATCGTAAATATGCTGAGTAACACTGCTCGGTCTGAAGTCATCGTAAATATGTGCTGAGTACTGTGTCTGAGGTCATCGTAAATATGTGCTGAGTAACACTGCCCGGTCTGAAGTCATCGTAAATATACACTGAGTAACACTGCTCGGTCTGAAGTCATCGTAAATATGTGCTGAGTAACACTGCCCGGTCTGAGGTCATCGTAAATATGCACTGAGTAACACTGCCCGGTCTGAAGTCATCTGCTGAGTAACCCTGCCCGGTCTGAAGTCATCGTAAATATGTGCTGAGTAACACTGCCCGGTCTGAAGTCATCGTAAATATGCACTGAGTAACACTGCCCGGTCTGAAGGTCATCGTAAATATGCCCTAAATATGCACTGAGTAACACTGCCCGGTCTGAAGTCATCGTAAATATGCACTGAGTAACACTGCCCGGTCTGAAGTCATCGTAAATATGCACTGAGTAACACTGCTCGGTCTGAAGTCATCGTAAATATGTGCTGAGTAACACTGCCCGGTCTGAAGTCATCGTAAATATGCACTGAGTAACACTGCCCGGTCTGAAGTCATCGTAAATATGCACTGAGTAACACTGCCCGGTCTGAAGTCATCGTAAATATGTGCTGAGTAACACTGTCCGGTCTGAAGTCATCGTAAATATACACTGAGTAACACTGCCCGGTCTGAGGTCATCGTAAATATGCCCTGAGTAACCCTGCCCGGTCTGAGGTCATCGTAAATATGCACTGAGTAACACTGCTCGGACTGAAGTCATCGTAAATATGCACTGAGTAACACTGCCCGGTCTGAAGTCATCGTAAGTATGCACTGAGTAACACTGCCCGATCTGAAGTCATCGTAAATATGCACTGAGTAACACTGCCCGGTCTGAGGTCATATTAAATATGCACTCAGTAACACTGCGTGGTCTGAGGACAACGTGAATATGCACTGAGTAACATTGCCCGGTCTGAAGTCATCGTAAATATGCTCTGCGTACCACTCTCGGGTCTGAAGTCATCGTAAATATGCTCTGAGTACCACTCTCGGGTCTGCATCACTTGCGATCCTCTCTGTGGTGCCGTTTAGTCTGTATCACAGTCCCTGAACTATATTATTATTTCTGCTGCCTAGCCCTACCTGCAATGCTAAAACCTAAATGAATCAAGTCTAGATTTGCCCAGGTGATGTCTCCCGGGGGCTCCAATTTAAATGGGTTAATTTGTTACAATCAATATTACATATACATTCAGAGACTAAGCTTTAGTCTACAAGCCGTTGTACAAAGCGACCTTAGCACTTATGTGACCGCAACTCCCATACCTTGACATAAACATACAACAGACTTAACGTAAGGTGACCGCAACTCCCATACCTTGACATAAACATACAACAGACTTAACGCTAAGGTTGTATTGTACAACGACACCCTGCTGAATTCAGCCTTTGATTGTTTGCTGTTTAACCAGTTGTCATATCCGAGCGGTATAACTGCGACGTTTACACAATCAAGACTGGACCGGAATAAAGATCAATTAATTCGCATGTTACCTCCTAGCATAGGTTGTTGGGGACCACTTTAGACCAGGAGTGAGTGAGTGAGTGAGTTTAGTTTAACGCCACTTTTAGCAATCTTCCAGCTTCACACATCGTACCCATAGGGGACATCGAACCCAGCATTTCGGCGTGACGAGCGAACGCTTTAATACCTTATAGGCTACCCATCCGCCACTCTTCAGAACCGGAATACCCACGGGGCCATCTTAAAGGAAGGTGATAGGCAGTGACAAAACTGAAACTTTGTGCGTTAATTCTGCGCGGTTGGTGTTGTGATCAATCACCACACATGCAAGCATTAGAATAGTTCATAGAAATGTAGGACGATGGATGTCTCGTGCAGATCGTAATATACAAAAAATACCGAAGTGGATCAAGCACTTAAGCGAAAGACCTGACGAAATCATCCTCACACGAATACGTCTTGGTCACGGTGTACAAAACCATCAAAGATTGTGCCTCAAAAACGTCGTCAGCATGCAGCGTTGTTTTCCCAAGACTGTGAAGTGTTATTTAATTAAATGCTAGAAACACAACATCAGGCTAAAAACTGTCCACTTTCGCTTTTCTTTGCCATTGATCTTAACTAGGGCCGAAACCATTGTTGAAATGGAGTTTCTTGAAACGTATGCCAAGTGTCACTTGTTTGTTCTATAATATCCAGTAGGTCGTGTGTGACTGGACCAACGCCAAACCTAGGAGAGAAAGACACGGTCATGTCTGGCAAGGTTGTAAAGCAATGTCGGCTGTGTACAGCCATGATGATATGACAATCGCCTGTTGGTAAAACGTTTCAATTAATGGTAATCCGTAAATTTTATTTGACTCACATTATAACATCCTGCATACTGTGACAAAATGATTTAGAAGTTTGAAATATTCAATTTACTTTGTGAAAACACAAATATTACTTTTGGTTTAGAGACAGTGGAACTGAACTCCAAAGTTTATACAAACAGGGTTTGGAATAAGCCCGGAAAGTATCTTCCTTACCATTGACTTCCTCTCCAATGTTTACCTTAGTCAATTTGATTTATATTTTTTATATTCCGTGTTTTGAGAGTGTGAGGCAAACATGGGGTCGGAATGAATTCATCATACGTGTAATTGATAATGTTTACCCTCGGGCCATGTTCAGTTAACACGCCATCGCACTCCTTGAAACATGGAACAAATGAGTTGATACCCTGTTTATTGCGAGGGGACCGTCACTGAGTTATGTACTTGTATTGTAAAGGATATAGGTTGACCGTCGCTGCCTGTCAGGTCATACTGCTTCTGTGAGCGATGTTCTCACTCTACCACTGCCTTTCTTGTCCTTCCTCCTCGTCTTAGGCTTCTGATTCTGCTACAGCTACTTCTGACACTACTACTGCCACTGCACCAACTGCTACTACTAAAAAACTACTACTACTACTACTACTACTACTACTACTACTACTACTACTACTACTACTACTGCTACTACTACTACTACTACTACTACTACTACTACTACTACTCCTACTACTACTACTACTACTACTACTACTACTACTACTACTACTACTACTACTACTACTTCTGCCACTACACCATCTACTACTACTAAAACTACTACTACTGCTACTTCTTCTACTACTACTCGCCGAAGACCCGGGTTCGAATCCCCACATGGGTACAATGTGTGAAGCCCATATGTGGTGTCCCCCGCCGTGATATTGCTGGAATATTGCGAAAAGCGGCGTAAAACCAAACTCAGTCAGTCTACTACTACTACTACTACTTCTACTACTACTACTACTACTACTACTACTACTACTACTACTACCACCACTACTACTGCAATGAATACTATTACAACAACTGCTGCTACTACATCTACTACTGCAACTGCTCATACTACAACAACTGCTACTGCTACTACTACTACTTGCTACTACAACAACTACTACTACTACTACTACTGCTGCTGCTGCTACTACTGCTTGTCCTGTTCTATTTTACATCCAGTGGTTGTGCCTATTTAGAGACCAGCATTTCATGAACCGTTAACATGACCTGTTAAGGTCGCGTTATCGATCACTACCACAATTCTCACGACATCTTCTTTTGTACTACTACTTCTACAAACATTACGGTTCCAAATACAACCCCACTACAACTACAGTAACAGGCATTCCAGGTTAATTTCATTTTTCCTTTCCATTTATAAACATTAAGACACCCGTTCATAACAATACTTGTTTTATTCCAGGCTATTCCCACCATTTTGGCCATGAATGTGTTCGCTGCGTACTCAATACTACCATTCCTGAACTTTTGGAAAACCCCAAAAGAAAGTTCATTTTCATCGAGATGGCTTTCTTGTCCATGTGGTGGAAGGAAATTGACCAGCAGACACAAGCCAAGGTCAAGGAACTCATCAAACAGAGTATGTCAATTTCACGTCGTAATAAAATGGTTTGTTCGGTGTCTGGCTATTGCAGAATAGAGAGTTATGTAACTTAGATGATTTTTGAACCACTGTGGATTCAAATCCCAGACTGAATCCTGCTTATGACGGTCGTTGAATGCCTGAAAGCATCGTCCCACGAGCTCGTGGTTCCATGCTGTACTAGTAACTGTAATGGCTCTCACAGTCGACTTCAGTTTGTCTTCCGTCTCTCTATACACTAATTGTGTTTTATTGGCGTACATTCATGACAAAGCCGTCCTCATTGAAGACAATCAGTACTTGTACATGATTAGACAGGCAATGTAGGCAAGCATCAAAGGCCAAGTTGGTCGTAACTGTTGACTTTGTAGATCATATGTATGTTATTAAGGTATTGACCTCCCGATGGTTTGAGTCCAACAAGCTCGGCTCTGACTAGTTGTGTTACTGTAGGCGGTGTGTGTGATGGTAGTCACAGATCATTACCAGCTTGTTGATCTCTCCCAAGGGCGCCTGGAGATTGTCATTGGAGGATGGTGTATGAGCGACGCAGCGACGACATTCTACAACGACATCATCGACCAGCACACACTAGGTTTTGATTTCATTGACAGTAATTTTGGACCCTGTGCCCAGTCGAAGGTAGCCTGGCATGTCGACCAGTTCGGACATTCTAGAGAACATTCGTCAATATTTGCACAGGTAGGTCTTCGCATGGACGGGAGTACCACATTGGCAACATTTCCCCAAGACAACAAGCTATAACTCATCTTATTGTTTGGTATACTGCAACGGTACTGGTAAACTAAGGTGTCGTTTTGTTGACATTAGATGCCGGTGACCGGGTGTTAATGTAAGGAGCACCGAGAATATGTTTTCATTAGATGCCGGTGACCGGGTGTTAATGTAAGGAGCACCGAGAAAATGTTTTCATTAGATGCCGGTGACCGGGTGTTAATGTAAGGAGCACCGAGAATATGTTTTCATTAGATGCCGGTGACCGGGTGTTAATGTAAGGAGCACCGAGAATATGTTGACATTAGATGCCGGTGACCGGGTGTTAATGTAAGGAGCACCGAGAATATGTTGACATTAGATGCCGGTGACCGGGTGTTAATGTAAGGAGCACCGAGAATATGTTTACATTAGATGCCGGTGACCGGGTGTTAATGGAAGGAGCATCGAGAATATGTTGACATAAGATGTTTACCAGCATTGCCCAAATAAGTCAAAACTCTTTGCAGTACCATGCTGTCGTGCAACCACGTTTATGCATATACAGGTGCATCCATTATTATATTTACAGGTATGTGCACAGTTGCATGTACAGGTAAATGTACATGTATGTGTACAGGTGTATATACTGGTAAATTAACAGGTCGATGTACAGGTGTATGTACTGGTAAATTAACAGGTCGGTGTAGAGGTGTATGTACTGGTAAATTAACAGGTCGATGTACAGGTGTGTGTACTGGTAAATTAACAGGTCGGTGTAGAGGTGTATGTACTGGTAAATTAACAGGTAGATGTACAGGTGTATGTACTGGTAAATTAACAGGTCGATGTAGAGGTGTATGTACTGGTAAATTAACAGGTCGATGTACAGGTGTATGTACTGGTAAATTAACAGGTCGATGTAGATGTACTGGTAAATTAACAGGTCGATGTAGAGGTGTATGTACCGGTAAATTAACAGGTCGATGTACAGGTGTATGTACTGGTAAATTAACAGGTCGATGTACGGGTGTATGTACTGGTAAATTAACAGGTCGATGTAGAGGTGTATGTACTGGTAAATTAACAGGTCGATGTACAAGGGTCGTATGTACGATGTACAGGTGTATGTACTGGTAAATTAACAGGTCGATGTACAGGTGTATGTACTGGTAAATTAACAGGTCGATGTACGGGTGTACGTACTGGTAAATTAACAGGTCGATGTACAGGTGTATGTACTGGTAAATTAACAGGTCGATGTAGAGGTGTATGTACTGGTAAATTAACAGGTCGATGTAGAGGTGTGTGTACTGGTAAATTAACAGGTCGATGTAGAGGTGTGTGTACTGGTAAATTAACAGGTCGATGTAGAGGTGTGTGTACTGGTAAATTAACAGGTCGATGTAGAGGTGTGTGTACTGGTAAATTAACAGGTCGATGTAGAGGTGTGTGTACTGGTAAATTAACCTACCGCAAGTAGAGCTGGTTTAGTTGCAGGTGTATGTGGTCGATTCCAACGAAAAGTGAACACAACATGTTTGGGCCCATAACAAATTAGCATTACATTCTTCACTTATTTCGGGGTGCCCATCACATCGGCACAAGTGAGACGATTCGTGCCATGTATAACATGACTATTTTTAGTTTAAAATTAAGCTTATGGGAGACAAAAACAGGTCATATTTATTCATGTTGACTTATATTTTAAAAATGTTTTGTTGAAAACATGTTGTGTGTTAAATACTGGTCAAACTGGATGAACAGAAGTTTCTTAATCACGTTACCTACAAATACCATTAAATATGTTGGGGTTTCCACAGATGAACACATTAGTGAATGATATCCTAAGTTCAAGTGCAAAGAGCCACAAGGTATACGTGTGCCACATCTGAACATTTTCTGCGCTGTTTTTACGAAGATATCACACAAAATAACCTGTATTCGTAGGTAAATTTTAACTCCAAAATGTTACCTACAAGTACCAACAACTGATCACATTCAAATAGATGGTGGAATGACAACACGTGACATGTGTTTCATTTAGAAGTCATCATAGATGAGACCAGACAATATCTGGGTGATGAGTAGGTGATTTTCTGTAAGAATGTTATATAAATAAACCCATGTCACAATAACATAGGATGCATATGACACTTGTTACAAATAACCAACTGTAATTTTAGTGAGGTTTTAAGTCTTATTATTGTAACAAAAAGCCTCAGACTGCAAGTGGAATTGACATGGCGGCTAAAATCTTTAAGACATGGTGTTCCGCTGGGATTTCCCCGGTTGTGGCTCACGGCATTTGTACGTAACATGTATTCGTTGTTAACAAAATGAAATAGAGAACACAATACGCTGCTATAACATAATTTATACTGAAGACAATTATTGCAGATGATAAGAAAACTGATTAGGTACGCAGTACTGCATATTAATAGATTGAAATGGTTCCTTGGAATTTCAAATGGCTACATAACTGAGCGTTCAATAAAAATGTTCTATTCAGGGATGCACTGCAGTTCGTGGTTTAGCCTTTATTATAGTGATATAATGCATTCTTTTTTATTGAAATGTCAGAAAACAAGTTGATATTGGTGATAAAAGTAAAAGTTTGCATGATATCACGCGATCAACGGTTCATTCGTTGGTAACATGTGTATTCGTTGGTAACAATCCGTATTTGTAGGTAACATCAGTCAGTGTGTTTGAAGATGTATGTCTTGTTCAGGGCTGTCACCGATGCACTTGCGAACACAGGAGAATTGAGTATTTAGTAGAAGTTAGTTGCATGGGTTTAGTAATTAGATTTGTCAAAGGTATGTCTTATTCGTAGGTAGCTCGTTTTGTAGCTGAAACTTTTGTAAATGTCTATCTAATAGCAATTGTCATTGCAAATTATGGGTAATTAAAGCAGAGTTATAGTTCAGTAAGACGTATAATGTATTGATTGTTTTAGTGACATGTTTATCTTTACATAATGGTATATGGTATACGGTAATAGTTCAAGCGTTTTAAACATTTGTGATGTGCTTTCTTTGAATAGAAATGTCAGTTGAAGCATTTGGTAAATGAAAACTAAATTTTACAACATATTCCATACCGTTTAAAGGAACTGTTTACTCATGAACTAATGTATTGTAAAACAAATTTGTAACGTTGAAAACATTATTGTCATGAGTTCAGTAAATGATAAAAATCAGTGAAAATTGGCGAATTCTGAACAAACCTTTACACCAAAATGCAGCTGTTCACATGCACGATATTTGCACATGCTTTTCAACAATGTGATGCATGATCCTCGTGCAATTCATTTGCATATGGTTTGTAGTTGGTTTTCCAACTATATATATATATATATATACATACTGACATATAGTGGGTGTTTCTAGTGAGTCTAAACTTGTGATGAGAAGTATATTTCCATCAGTTAAAATGACATTGCTACTTTTCGACATACACTGAGACAAAACAAAGAGAAAGGCTAAACCGGTTGTATACAATCTTTATTCACATGTCCTATGCACTTAGATATACAATTTCCAAACTGTTCGATGTTTTAATAAACCAGCTATGATTTAGTTTGACATATATAAACATTTATGAAATACAAGGAATTATGTGATATTTGTTACCTACATGTACATTGTTTTATCTTCCACCGAAAATTTAGTTTTTGATGCATTTTCAAATTTGTTGTACTTACCGAAAGTTCCACCCGTTGTCTCTCAGATGAATAAGATAGATATGTAATAATGATTTGTTTGTGAAAAGAACACTAAGTGGTGTTATCTCACTGCCATCAAACAAAGGTACCAAAATTGTTCTATTTTCGTAAAGCTTGAGGTTACAAAACATGAAAGAACCCATGACATGGCTTCAGAGTTTCTATAGTCATTAACATATTGTGCATGCAGAACAACAGTGAATTTGGATGTTAGGCAACATACAACCCATCTAATCACAGGATATACAAGGTATGATGTTGGTATTTGTAGGTAATTCAGAAAATGAGCCTTCAACTTCACTGATCCACCAACTTATCACTTTTAGAGATTAGTGATAGCAACTGACTTTCATAAGAGGCAAATATGTTGACTTTACATTGGTAAAAAGAATTACAAGGTGCAAGCAATTCTATTTTGGACCCCTTGTACCTAGCTGTGTACACTTTTCGTTGGAATCGACCATGTACACGTTGTCTCATGTCTTTAATCAGGTAAATATGCAGGTAAACGGTCTAGTGTTTGTACAGGTACATTTGCAGATATATGCACGTGTAAATCTAGAGAAAATGAAAACAGAAAAATATAATCCTGGCAATCACCGAACAGTGAGCCCTAGATATTAGTTGAAAATAGAACAAATGTTGAAATCCATCCACAGCTCTCTCTGACGTCTTTGCTACTCATGTTCTTAAATTACATCCAATAAAACTTATGTCGACACATCTGTCAGATGCCTTAAGGTGTGTTAAAGATGGCCGACCTCTCTAATGTCATGTGTCGCCAAAGCCCAGCTGGGTGGTACTGTTGTCATAACCAAGTAATTACTATATGAACGGTACAGCCCCGGAACACACGGAACCACCAGCGTCTGTACCAAATTGGTGAGGTTTGCCAGGAATGAACATTTTCTATCGAGACGTTTTTAAAAAAATTATATTTCCTCTCAAGCTATGCTGGATTAAGAATAAAGGTCACGCTACATGCGGTCTATCTTGCTGTCCTAGTGAGAGTGACTAATCTCTAACTTTGGCCGGGGACATTTTGTTAGGCGCGTGTAAGCAGGGGTGACTGGGTTTCACGTCTCGGGACAGGTTCAGTCCCTACATAGGTCCACGTTGAAAGTGCAAGCAGTGATCGCGCTTCACTGACCGTCAGAGGCCTCTGGACAAGAGCAGCCTCTGTAATTTTCAAGGAGAGTTAGGTTTAAGTTCTTTTCAGTCAGATGAGAAAAAAATGTAGTGCATTTACTGCAATTATGAAATGTATACCCATTGTGCTTGAATACGTGAACATGCGACCCATGCGATACTCTGTGGAGCATTTTACACGTGCATTCCAGTATGCGTGGGTATGACCACCTATTTGGACCAAAGCAAGTGTCCTTGAATTGCTTCAGTAATGAATAATTAATGCACATGTGTATATAGTTGTACGTGTGCACCCTCTAAACAGGGAATGTACTGTTATACCTATTGATTAAGAGCTTTCAGAAGATACAGTTTATCTGGACTGACTCGAGAGTGTTTCTATGTTACAGATGGGTTTCGACGCAATAGTACTTGGCCGCATTGACTATCAGGACATTGCTGCTCGAACGAAAAGCAAAACACGAGAGCTCGTTTGGCAAAGTAGTCCTGATAACCTTGGTAAGACCTTGTATGATCAACTCGCCCCTTCCTCATCTCCAGTCTTGTAAAAGCTCATCACACGTTTCCCGACCTTTATGTTTCAAATGTGGTATTACTTTTTCTCTTGATGCGCTTTAGGCTCTCGAAACGTCATCACCTCCCCAGAAACCACTGAACTAATGAAGTTGAAACTGAACATGTGTGTTGTTCCCGCCTCTAATAACACCCAGTGTGTTCCCGAGCGTACCGATAGTATAAGTTACTATATCATGGCGCATGCACGAGGAATAAGAGTTTTCTAGTTTATTTGGGAGAAAATTACAAAACAATATTTTTCGAAAAGAAGTTTTTTGGTGCATATATGATATACGTTGCATGTGATCCGGTGAGTGGGCCAATGCTCATGGTATCAATCACCGGATCGTCTGGCCTAGAGAGGATTATGGACAGATTCCCGTCGAATAGTGTCAACTGTGTCCCTAAACAACCAATCAGGTAGAGCAGTGTCGGAGGTTCTGTGTTTTGTATTGTCATGTAATATTGTTTTCTCAATTTCAGGTGACAAAGGGTCGCTCTTCACGCACATCTCCGGGGGATACTACGCGCCGAAAGGTTACGTCATGGACGACTGGAAGGAAGACAGAATGGTGAGGGTGGCGATGTTGTTGTGCATTTTGTTGTTAAGGTTTACGAGCTACGTGGGTCGACAGAAGACCTATTTGTGTCCAACACACTGATGTTTCCTAACACTTATCGCAATTGAAAGAATTGTATTGCCAAAAAATCCCAAAACAAACAACCACAAACACAACAACATGAGATCGTATATATAAGATAAAAGAGACCTCAACAGGTTTTGCCAAATGCTATGTGATCACTCCGATGTATTCCAATATATCTTATAACAGAAATAACAATGTTCTTTGTGTTTAGAAATGTATCCAATTCATCATCACTTAAACATTATCATCTCTGCATCAAGCTGCCACGGCGTCAAAAGATACGGTTGCTGCTATGGACTCTGGAAAGATAACTGTTTCGTAGTCATGTTCCTCTTCTACCATCTTTGATTTTACACCGCAATTACGAACATGGTTTATGACGATTAAAGGGTTTCCGGTTTCATTCCAGGACAATATGGATCTGCAAAAATTCCTCGACGAGATAGAAAATCAGGTAAATCGGACAGGTTTTATAAACAAATTCTGTATAAAAGACCTCTGATTTAGTGAGAGCAATTTTTTCTTGTGGTTTACTATAATATCTTTTCCCCAAGCAAGTTATCAACAGAAACCTTGTCGTGCCGAGCTTCAGGCTTCAGACTGCACAGTATATTGTAGCTTGTGTTCATTGAGCGGCCTCTCTTAAAACCCAGTTAATCACCTTAGTTCATCAAAATGCCCTGGGATATTAATGATACAGGGATTCCTATATGCTATAGATGAAAAGCCAAGCATCCATGACACCACTGCGTGTTACTGTGCATTATGGGTAAATATCAGCATTACAATACTGTTACTTAACGATAAATCTAACGGATTACGGTGCCCGGGTTACTTCTGTCTGTGAGCGGTAGTTTATGCTCAGTGCCAATATTGTATGACCATCTGATAGAGGATAGATTTGTTACTAGCCCTACTGTCTGGTCAAGTCTAAATCTGCCAAAACAACACCCACCCCCACCCCCACCCCACCCACACCCCCATTTTAAATTAAACGTGCTGTGTAATAACATTTTTGATTCACCAATATTAAGTGTATATAATGTCATTGGGATATTATGAAAACTCTTTTGTATTTGTTGCAGCGAATTTCGTTTAAAACAAACCACGTCATGATCCCAATGGGTAGCGACTTTGGTTTCAGGAAAGCTGGTCAATGGTTTGAGAATTTGGACAAACTCATCGAAAGGATAAATGCCAGGGTAAGTACCTGCTAATGATGTGTTAATTTCATTAACTCGGACCTCTCCAGTCAGAGAACATCCAGAAGTGCATATACACAACTGGAAATTATTCAATACCAGGAATTGTTGACTCGCAGATCTGTTAATCAGGAAGATTTCACAAGGTCTGCGCGAGTGAAATAGTTTTCAGGTTACATTACATCAACATGGTTAACTGTGTTTCACTGTCTTACATTGCCTTACATTGCCTTACTAATCGAAATGGCTTTCGATGTACTTATTCTAACAAGGCAACCGGATTTACAGTTTTACTCTAGATTACTTATTCTAAGAGGGTACCATGTTTTGCTGTTATACAGTGGAATACTTATTCTAACAGAGCAACGTGGGTTACTGCATCACATATTCTAAGAGGGTAACTGGAATTTACCGTACATAGCAAAAGTTAAGAAGTTTAGAGTTTCAACTGTTCAATATGCAGTCCACCAAGGCTAAATGGGTTTCACCCTACGTTACCGTATTTCATAACAACACGACGTTTCTCGGCTGCAAGGACCTTTTGTTGATCGTGTTGTGTAGGGCATGGTCCTTGGGGGTAATCGCTGGTGTCGTACTCTTGCCCTTCATCAGGTGAATGACAGAATATGATACAAGCAAAATATATAGTATGTACAGGAAGCCAGTGAGATAGTATTACCGATTGAGATGTACAGAGATCAAAGAGATCAAGTGGTACGTTTATGCAATGAGTGTGCAGAGTGTTTATACAACGAAGAGGATATACATGATAGGATTGATTGGAAGCCACTTATGAAAACAATGTTACAAAGGGTTGCCGAAACTCTAACAGATTTTAAGGCTCCTATGATGTGCATCGAATGAATGGTGTCTCTGCTCGAAATTGTTAATTTATACTGGGGGCTGGAAGTGGAATAGATATATAATTAATCGGCCTGTCACAGCCACTTATGACTTATGAGAAACAATGATAGGAAAACACACATATAAAAACACACATAAAGCATGTACAACGATTAAGGGGAACATGGGAAAACATATACATTGAAGGCTTATTATTCTATGCACCACGCATTCGGTAGGAAAACACCCTGATCCCTGTTAATTTCGGGTTTGGTGCTGTGGATCCAGATGGCGTGGTGCATAGAATAATAAGCCTCCAATGTTCCCCTTAATCGATGTACATGCTTTATGTGTGTTTCCATATGTGTGGCTTCCTATCATTGTTTTCATAAGTGGCTTCCTATCAATCCTATCATGTATATCCTTTTCGTTGTATAAACACTCTGCACATTCATTGCATAAACGTACCACTTAATCTCTTTGAACTCTCGTCGAACTGTAAATATTAAAGAATTTGTAAATCCATACCATACGTTGTTATGTTACCTTCCAACTTCTAGATGCCCATCAATCATCTGTAACCGTATTTCCTTGTTTAGACGCCGGGATGGGGTTAAGTGTCGTGTTGTGTTTATTTCATCTTTGTTCTTAAAGGCTGGGGGTAAATCGTGTCTGAAATATATTCATGGGTGGCGGTTTCATCATGTAAATACGGTACGTGTTCTTACAAGGAAAACAAGTGAAGCATTACATCATGCTTGTCAGTGTCAAATACAACAGTGTCATTAGTCCGAATACACAGTTGATTTCCGGACAGTTAATGTAGCGAATTCCCACAGTGAAATGTGTTTTCAATAATTGCAGTTACGACCCTAACCGCTTCATTCAATTAGCCAATAACTTCGTTGACAGAGCTCTGTTACTACGGCTAAGTTCACATATGAAGTAAAACAGTTTCACAGTATCACCTTACAGTTTTTACCCATTGCCCATTCCAGTTAATGGCGTTGGGCAGTCCAATAAACCAATCAACTCTTTGGATACTAAATAGACCTATTAACTGACATTGTTCCAGCAACAACAAGGAAGTAAAATCAACCTCCTCTACTCCACGCCATCTTGCTACATCAACAGCGTGAATAAGGCGAAGGTAACGTGGACCAATAAGACCGATGACTTCTTTCCATACGCAGTTGACAACGGCTATTGGACGGGCTTCTTCACGAGTAAGGCGGGCCTGAAGCTACATGTGAAGAAAGCAGGGGCATTACTGCAGGTACTACTACTACTACTACTACTACTACTACTACTACTACTACTACTACTATTGCTGCTGCTGCTGCTACTACTACTACTACTACTACTACTACTACTACTACTGCTGCTGCTGCTTTTACTCCTGCTCCTTCTACTATTACTACTACTTCTGCTACTACTACTACGACTACTACTAGTATTAGTATTAGTAGTAGAAGCAGTAGAAGTATGGCACTTAATAACTCCTGGCCAGTGTGGCTTGTGTATATTTCTCCCGTCAGAAAAGAACTGAAAAGTTGAGCCTTGAGGAAGTCCACACTGGGTATGTCTCTCAGAATAGGTATCATGAGTCATTCTGCAGAAACTTTATACATTTTGGTAAACTGATTTGGAATGGACATGCATTCCGCAGAGACTGAGAACGTTCGATATAATTGTAATTGTGGACTGACAGATGGTGTTATATCAGGCCATAGGCGAATAGGTTCACGATTAGTGCATAGGTCAACTCCTGGACTAGATTGTGACGTGGAAGCTCTTATTGCTGATTATATCTCAAAATAAATTTAGATCTGTGACATTTGATTATCATTTGGGTTTTAAATATAAGTAAATTGATATCCTCCCTTTGTTTAAACCTTAACGTAGGACGATAACAGAAGTATCGCCTTGCTACACAAATTATGGAATAACATCCACAACGTCATCAACGGGAACCACCCGTACACTTCGCCTGTGCCTCCTGGTAGAAAGGATTCTGAAGCTACCTCCCGATCTGTGATTGTACTTGGTATACCTCGTCACTAGTTTGATATGTGTGGTACTTATGTGCTATGACACTATACGTGGACAGAGGACGCAGAGAGAAAGGAACCGACAGCTCCAATGTTCTATCAGCAAAACACTCAACACGCACATTATGTATGTGTGACGTTAATGCCTTATGTATGAGATGTCACAATGATGGCTACTCTCATTATGCTACTGAATATTTTAACTGCATCATAATAACTTCTGTTTCGAATAGAAAACAATGTATCACATAATGTTTGTTACCCTAGACAGGTAAATAGGTAATGGTAGTGGAACGATCTAATCTCGCATCGTTGGTTGACAATGAACTAGTATAAATAAGACATTATGTTAGAGTGCGACTGGAAGTGAATGCTGAGTGTACATGGTATTACCAGTCATTGAGAGAGTCTCGGTGCCAAGTTAACTCGTTTCATACAGGATTTGATGCCTTATCATCACGTCTGTGCATGCTTCTTTTCACACTCCTGAATGAAAGTGAAATGATTAGATCAGGTTCGAGTTATTTCAAAGTTAAAGGCATAACATGCACGTTTCGCACGCTCGGGACATCTGCGAGACTTTTGAAACCACACGGTCATCCAAATGTATCATTTGATATTAACAATAAGCTAATAACAAAGGAAAATCACTAATATAACTATAATTTTCCAAGTATTTCAGATCTGTTCGAGGACCCAGGATATCTAGATTTGATGTAGTGTAGTTTATTGCCCTCTGATGGCAGTATGGATATAACTGCTTCTTTCACAATTCGAGTGTGTGGACAGACTACGGTCGCGAATGTAGTTGTATTGACAAGAGGTAATCACAGCTAAATATGACTGGAACAGTTGGTCTGTGGATACAAGAATGTACAAGTCATATACAGACCCGCCTGACGTCATGTGACACATTTACCACAGGTTGTGTTGGCGTGGCTGTCTACCAGCCGTCCAACTCCGAAATTGAAACCTTTTGAATATAATAAGGTGGAGGACACATTAGATCTACTTAATTTCTTGTGTTTACGACATGAATGCCATCGGCGACACTTTAAAGTGTCAACATATTAGTTATATGATAGCTGGTCAGAGAGGGCTGGTGTTGAGGTGGAGGTGGCTGAACCCCGAGGTCCAAGTATCACTGTAGGTATATCCATTGTCCTGACTAGCATCATGTTCTACGCCCCCCCCCCCCTCAACACACTCACCACGCACACACACACACACGTCCACGCACACACACAAACAAACAATCACAAACACCCCACTACCCAAACACACACCACCACTTGCTTGTTGTAACTATGATTCCTCCACATTGCTTGGTTTGAAACATGAGCGTTGTCATGAAATGAGATACACTCATTAGATCTCATTGAGCACACGCGTGTAAGCACATCGGCGACAACCAGACCAGTCACATCCATTCATTTTCATTATTATTTTTTCATTTTTCAGGCGTGTAAACAGTTAAGCGTCTTTTCCGGTTTGTCGGATGTATTCAGGAGAATGCATGTTTTAAGTAAGTTGGCAACAATTGCATGCACAACAAGTGTTGACAGAGTACCTTGATAGAACGAACGTTGTCCAGTAGTACAGTATTTCTCTCATGCACGTGTCAGTAGCCTATGTGTACAGAGTTATGTCCCTTTGGTGCGTCAGGAACCTATATTCGCTGTGTTTGCTCACCTGGTTACTTCATCAGCCTCGTACACGTGCTCAGTGAACTTTAACAGAGATTCGAAAACAGTAGATTTAGGAGGACAAATATACGTATCAGTAACAAGTAGCAATGCCTACAGGAACTAGTACAACATAGACGTATTACGTATCTAGTAGTTATACGTATTTAATAGTGTTACATACAAACTATTTATTTGTATGTCATCTTCCGTAACAAAGTAGCATCACATTAAGCAGTCTACCATAATTAGTGTGACATCTACACAGTCACTATGTAGAAAGCAGTGTTGCGCATTCTACCTACGGTGTACTCTTGCCCTTAACGAGGATTTCAAAGGCAATTATAATTAGCATAAAGTTGAACGACAGTAATTGTAATGCAAAGCTGCAAACTTATTCAGAAAATGAACAAACAAATAATTAAAAAAATATTTTGCATACGTATATTTTGCACTTTTTTCACAGAGGCGGCCATGGGCGTGTTGCAACATCACGATGCAATCACGTAAGTATGCCCAATGTATATATATCTAGTGTCGAGAACTAGCAGCCCTATGTACATATATCTAGGGTCGAGAACTAGCAGCCCTATGTACATATATCTAGGGTCGAGAACTAGCAGCCCTATGTACATATATCTAGTGTCGAGAACTAGCAGCCCAATGTATATATATCTAGTGTCGACAACTAGCAGCCCTATGTTACACATGTTACATCGGTTACATACTTAACCATTATAACAGAAAGGGTCACGTGCGTCATTCCACTGCCACATGTCCGTAGCAAATATTTAGGTTACCATCTAACATGTTGTTGGTAATTATACGTAATGTATATATAAATATAATTATATTGTAATACTTCTAGTTTGTATTAAATGTCCACGCACAGTAGGTACAAATAATGAACTATATTATCGCGACAACATGAAAGGTCATGTTATTTCACAGGCTAACAGATTAAGCAGAACATAAAAACCACTGAAATCAGAGTAAGATCGTCGAGATTTGATGTGTCATGTATTACACCTGGAGACAAGCAGAGTAGCTGCAGACGCATGTCCCTGGTGATGACTGCTCTCTGTCAGTACGCATACCAAGCACCGGGAAACAGGACACACATTATAGAATAACAGATCTAGACAAACGTGTTGTATAAATTGGCAGGAAGCAATTCTAACGTTAAGGAATGAAGGGGATGTTGACAGGAAGACTGCCCCAGGGGATATATCGATCACTCTATTGATTGACCTGCTTTGGAGTTTCCATTAAGTTTACATTTTTTTGTTTTAGCATTTCCTTACAAAATGTATATTCTGATTGAAATCGATTCCACGTAATCACAGGTAGTGACGGCAAGTGGACAAGGGCATGCCTGGTTTATCTGTCTATTATGTTGCTGGTGATTCATCATTCTCCTGGTTGTGCCTTCCAGTCCATATGTCCACAACAAGGCATGCCCAAGAGAACATGTGGTGTGAACTTTCAATCTCACCCGGGCCTGTGGAAGCTACATGTTTACACTGTCCAATGTATGTTGCTAACACGGAGATACCTTCTGTCTTCGATACTTGATACACGTGTGCAGTACGATGAGCGCAGTCTGGTAGAGGTGTTCGTCTACAAGGTTCGATTCCCACGGACACAAACTGTTACACTGTAATGGGTACAACGTTGACAACATCATCACAATCCAAGCACTTATAATTACCATCTTCCTACTGCCTATACAACCTCGATAATCTCCAGGGTATACGTTCCGATAAATCTCCACTATACCCTGGATGCGTCTACGGCTCGAGTTGATGATTAAATTACCTTCCTTTGCTGGCTCCGCATTCTCACAGGAGCCAATCAGATAAGCCGCCGTTACAACCGAGCTTGCCAGTGTCAACAGAGATAGCGGTCGCAGCCGCGAAAGTTTGTTCGCAGTGCGACTCAGATTTGGGGGGAAAACATACAGACATATTGACAGGTCTGAAATCTTAAAAACATATATGCAAAAACTCTTTCTACCTCTTTCAGAGTACCTCTGCAACAATATATTATTATGTTGCCAAGTTTAATCGGGTAGATAATTGAAAAAGCGAAAGTGAGTTGTGATTGGTACGCTCAACTTCTCAGTGTAGACACCTGATTTGATAAAAAGCCAACCAAGGGAGGTAATCAAATCATCAGCTCGAGCCGTAGATGCATCCAGGGTATAGTGGAGATTTATTGGAACGTATACCCTGGATATTATCGAGGATGCTGTCTATAGGGGCTACCAGATAAATACCGATCATTTAAGCAGGACAGGGGATATCCAGGAGGGGACTCGTCAGGCAGATTCTGGTTAATCCGACGAAGCTTCCTGGGGCATATTTCAATTTACAATGTACAACGTTTGTTATTTACTTTTAGGGGTACAGAGAAACACCACGTTGTACAGGACTACAACAGGATGCTGAGTGAAGGTGTCCACCAGTGCCAGGTACATATTAGTCACAATAGTCTCAGAATATATCGCATACACAGACATTATAGTGCTAACAGTCAGTGATGTCGAACACTCAGTTTGTGTATCTGGCTCGTTGTCTATAGCAGTTACTAACTTTGTGCACCGGGTAATTCAATACGAAAAACCCCGCAACATCCTAATTGTCTGAGACAAGATAAGCGTTAATCTGTCTGGAGATCTGTCAAGGACCACAGCTTCATCATGTCACACGATTTGTGTGAGATTCTGGCACAGCTGTGAGCTAGCACAACATTAGAACTTGACAGACAGCAGCTTAGTGGGTGCACCGACTAGTGGGTAGACGGGGTAGTTGGTGCACCGACTAGTGGGTAGACGGGGTAGTTGGTGCACCGACTAGTGGGTAGACGGGGTAGTTGGTGCGACGTTTGTAGGTAGACAGTGTATTGGGTGCACCGACTAGTGGGTAGACGGGGTAGTTGGTGCGACGTTTGTAGGTAGACAGTGTAATGGGTGCACCGACTAGTGGGTAGACGGGGCAGTTGGTGCACCGACTAGTGGGTAGACGGGGTAGTTGGTGCACCGACTAGTGGGTAGACGGGGTAGTTGGTGCGACGTTTGTAGGTAGACAGTGTAATGGGTGCACCGACTAGTGGATAGATGGGGTAGTTGGTGCGACGTTTGTAGGTAGACAGTGTAATGGGTGCACCGATTAGTGGGTAGACGGGGCAGTTGGTGCACCGACTAGTGGGTAGACGGGGTAGTTGGTGCACCGACTAGTGGGTAGACGGGGTAGTTGGTGCGACGTTTGTAGGTAGACAGTGTAATGGGTGCACCGACTAGTGGATAGATGGGGTAGTTGGTGCGACGTTTGTAGGTAGACAGTGTAATGGGTGCACCGACTAGTGGATAGATGGGGTAGTTGGTGCGACGTTTGTAGGTAGACAATGTAATGGGTGCACCGACTAGTGAGTAGACGGGGTAGTTGGTGCGACGTTTGTAGGTAGACAGTGTAATGGGTGCACCGACTAGTGAGTAGACGGGGTAGTTGGTGCGACGTTTGTAGGTAGACAGTGTAATGGGTGCACCGACTAGTGGGTAGACGGGGTAGTTGGTGCGACGTTTGTAGGTAGACAGTGTAATGGGTGCACCGACTAGTGAGTAGACGGGGTAGTTGGTGCGACGTTTGTAGGTAGACAGTGTAATGGGTGCACCGACTAGTGGGTGGACGGGGTAGTTGGTGCGACGTTTGTAGGTAGACAGCTTAATGGGTGCACCGACTAGTGAGTAGACGGGGTAGTTGGTGCACATGATTGCGGGTAGACAGCTTGATGGGTGTACAGATAAGTGAGTAGACGGAGTGAACGTGCTGAGGTTAGTGGGTAGACTTTCTAGCGGGTGCACAGGTTATTGGGTAGACAGATTAAAATTTGCATAATTGATCATTATGCACCTGGGCGTTTTTGGTGTTTCGCCCATGTCCAACATTGAAACCCAGACTATGAAAAATCTAATAGATAGGTACCCGATAGGATGATTTGTCAATGTTAGTTTACAATTTCTACTCACAAAATAGGCAGCTAGGGTTTTATACACCACTAGGCGCTGAGAGTTCTAAACTTTGGGATCGTGCGGGATATAATATCATGGGCCAAGAACACATTCCTTTAGTATGAAGCGTTCAATTAATATAACATCATTTGATACTTGACATGTAGTGATAACAATTAGCACGAGCCTTCTACACTAATACCTGGCTATTTGTTTGGTTCAGACCGTAATTGACGAGGCCTATCAGTACTTGACCAGCGATCAGCCTGACCATTCCATGCACCAGCACTTCTGTCCGGACATGAACATCACGATGTGTCCAGTGACCGAGTCAAGTCACCAACTGGCCCTCTTCATATATAATCCGTTGTCACGATCGATCACATCATGGATTAGACTTCCGGTCACGCATGCGCGCTACGTTGTCACGGGTCCTGATGGAGAAATACCTGTTCAGGTGAAACAAGAGTATTTTTTGTAAATGAACACAAATATATGCGACCTAAAAATATATGCGACTTAAAAACATAAAGTATGATACAAAAATGTCTTCGTTTTGTTACATTCACGGCAAAGCAGTTGTTGTACTTTCAGGGGGATAGTTTTACAGAGATGAATTGTTCTCATCTGTGTTGACCACAGTGTATATTTAATGGACCTTTGTTTCAGATGACTCCAATTTCAGAGTCAACTTCCAATATCTCAGACCGGAGGTCCGATGCTAAGCTCGAGGCTGTGTTCCAGGCGGAGCTTCCAGCAATGGGCATGGCGAGCTTTGTTCTGCAAGGAGAACCAGGTAGGTGCTTACACACTTGACACCTAATATACTGTATATAACGTTTACTGCCATCACTGTTGCGTGGATCATGGTTCTTATTCAGCTATAAACAATATTCACCATATCTCAAACACCAGCACTTTGTTACTGAACGTCTGTAACAATGTTGGTGATGTTAAAAGTAGTTCCGGCAGACATATACGGATCATGTGACAGTCCGTAGCTATATAGGTATATGTGTTATATTTGTCATTTGAGATCCATACACGTAGTTGTCTATAACGTCTGTTATCACTCCGGCTTGATACATTTCAACGTAATGGGGAGCGGGTATCCCACAGACAGCCGGCCATGGCTGTTCAGGGACGCCACTCTGATAACGACTGAAATCCATTCAAGTCCCGAATAGTTTCACACCCAAATGTACAGGTTTTATGAAATCAACCCTAGTTTAAATATGTAGTGTTAAGGAGGGGCCGAATTGTCTGATTTCTATACATCACTACATCAAAACATCTTCCTTGTCACCGTTGTTATGGAAAAAGCAATCAGAATAACATGGGTACTTTGGTTTATGTCTTCATTGTACATCGTTAGACGCTACCTTCCTATTGCGAACCTCTATACGTGTTATCCTGGGGTCAGATCCCGCTTCCTTCTTCACACGATTGTGGCCGGACAGGCAGTAGTTGTCAATGTTCACGGGTACGTGTCCTGTTCAGACGCCTGCATGGTGCACAGTGGGCAGAGTGTCTGTCCAGGGGACACATGGTCGGGAGTTCGATCCCCTGGGCACCAGTAGACGTTAACAGATGGTGCATGTACTTGCTGGTACTTCACCTGGCGCCCTACTGTTCGGCTCGGAATCCGTATACCCCAGACCCATGCTCTCATGTACAGGGTGGGGTAGCTGGTGGTCTCTACATCGGATGTATGCCTGGAATCAGTGAAGCAAGAACGGCACAGTGTCTGTAATTCATGTCAAAGTGTGTATTTCACAATTAAACTACCAAAAAGGCATGTATTTCATTGTTGGAGCTGTGTGTCACCGCTATGCACTGTCAGCAACAAGCGACCTATTTCTGTGTCATTGTGTGAGGACGTTACACAAAAGAACAGTCATGTCTATGATGAATGCTTGATCGACGGCGAACGACAAGTCATTTCTATTCCCTAATGGACAAAAACAAACATAATGTTTACTGTCACTTATGCGTAAGAAATGGCCTTTCATTTCGAGCTGTGATAGCGTGATTATGTTTTTGTCCACAGAGGACGTTACAGCCAGTAGAGTGGGTGATTTGTGAATGTTCTAGAACTAAGATGTTTTTTTGGAACAGCGCCCTGGGGGAGTATCAGTGGAGTATCATCTACTTTTTACTCAAATAATAACGCTTCACTCCGACGATGAATATATAGGTCGTGGATAGGCCATTACAGGTTGGTTACAGTTGCAGTGTTTGATGGAGTGAAAATCTGTTTAAAGAGGCGGCATTTCTGACCTATTTCTGTAATTCTATATCCACCGGCAGTAATCATGGCTAGGCAACCATCTACAACTGGTTCTGTGTCCACTTTGTGCTAACACTGTTATATTGCTCCAAAAGGCTTCAACCCACATCACCCACCCACTCGATGCTCCAGGGATAAGCTGATATTCCAATAGAATAAATAGCGTTTGAAAATTTAATGAATATGATGAAATTTAATGCGATAGCAATATCCTTGTAAGAGGAACTGTCAAATGCACACAGACTATATTTCCGATGCTCCTGTCGCTACACCTGAGTATATATCTCAAGGTCTCGTGTTGTGTTTCTAGGTGACACTGGCCGAGTCGTTACCACCAGTCCGCAGCTGCCTATGGTAATTGACAATGAGGTCAGTATGTCTTTTGAACAGGAATTAATTCTATGTTTTATACGACCTTGAATGTTTACGAAAGAGGGGTCAGAATAAGTGGTGTGGGTAGGCAAACTATGGTTTATAATCTGCATCACATAAAACAACTATGTTGTGATCGATTTTATATAATTCCAGCTAAGCCCAGAATAAGTCACTGGTAAATTTGGAATTGTACAAATGCTGTACTCGCGAGATTTCTTTACCTTTGGTTCTACCATGTGTATACGTTAAATTGAAGGTAAAGTTTTGAAGCATGCTTGATCGACACGTTTTCTCTTCCAGCACCTCAAAGTGACCATCGATCATGACGGTCTGATATCACAGATAAAAAACCTTGATCTTGACCTTGATGTCGAACTCAAACAGGAATATGGTTATTATGAGAGTCGAGTCGCTCCACGTGCATCCGGTGCCTATATATTTGCCCCAAGGTCTAGTGACGTCAAACCCATTGTAACGGAACAGCCAGTTGTTGTAAAGATCTTCAAGGTAAGTACATGTACAAACACGGCTGTACAAGACCGGGTACTTGGAGATGAGTTGGATGAGGATGGGGATCGAATCATATGCGTGGGGAGAATGCAAGTGAGGGGAGTGATTGGGGTAGGTCCCAACAAACCCACGTCCGTTCACATACAGTATTTGACACTTCTACATAATGACCGCCATGTGCATTGTGTTGGTAGAACATGATAACATGACCAAACGTGTGGATAACATGTGTCAAGACACTGTTTGCATGGAATACGCAATATAGTTGTTGATCTACAAATTGAAGTAGTGGTTGGATATTTCACGACACTAAAGGTTCTATTATGTGATCCACTGAAAAGGAAACGGATATTTCGGTTGTCAAAGTGGCCTGATGAGAATCTCTCTGTGACATCGATTCTTGCAAGAAAACCAATGTTTGACCAATTATCCTGATTAGCGTGGGATCTCTGCCATACGTATTACTTATATATCCACATTAAGCACACTATGCTGTACCTTCTGACCCCAGGGTCCCGAGTCGATAGAGGTTCACCAAAGGTTCAACGAGTACGTATCACAAGTGGTCCGACTTTACAACGATGCGGACTACCTGACGCTGGAGTGGACTGTCGGCCCTATCCCCGTTGAGACGTACGTCAGATGTTGGATCACTGATTCAGCTGTTACCTAGTTCCAGTAATACAGTTACCGCCATCAATCTTTGTTAATCCCCAGTATAGAAGTCACACTGATGGCAGAAACTGAACCATTTCGCATTTGTTGAACGAACCTTTCTGTTTGAATAATCAAGTCTTTTATGAAAACGTTCCAAAATATTGATTGAATTTCAATAATTTTACACTTACATGAACAGCATGAGCGATATGATATCTATTTCGATTAGTTACACAAAAGGTCATAAACACTTCGATAAAAGGATTTTGTAGCCCACTATCTCAGACGATCCTCTTTTTACAGATAGTGTACACTGTTTACGGATAGACTTAATTACATGCCATAATGATTTCATCTGTTTGATTCCTCACAGAGACCATGTGGGCAAGGAAGTAGTATCTCTTTTCAAGACAAATTTACAAACGAATGGAGAATTCTACACTGACTCGAATGGTCGCGAAAACCTCAAAAGAAAGTAAGTCCCAGTCTGTTGCTGTATGATGTTAATCAAACACAACCAGGTCATTAATTGAGCCGGTTTCTTCATTGGAGCGCACTCTCTTATTGTCTGATAAACCGTGCTATTACTGAAATATTGTGACGTACACTTTAGATTCAACTGAATCATTGTTAGAGTCTCGAGAAAACAGTATAATGCACTGTCTGGGTTAAAGAAAAAAAACCTACACGGTTTACTGTAATTATGTTCAAGGATGCATAAACTAGCATTTCAAACATAGTACCAGATAACAGGATTAGTTAAGAATATAGGAAGTCATCTTATGCCTTTTCATATTAACTTTACGTATTTCTGTTGATGGGTTTACACACAATGAAATATTAATATTACTATAAACGGCCATGTGTATCGAGGCACACCAGGTCCGGTCGTGTGAGGCACCACAATCCGGCCTTGGGCAGCCAGAAACCTCTGATCGTGAGTTCGAATCCCGGGATTCCCCGACTATGTATCTAGGTTTGCCAGCACCAGTCTCGTGCTCGTGGGTTTCTCTAAGGTGGTAAACGTCGTTGACCTGCATTACATATCTTTCCCAGCTCTGCTGACACGTCGTCAGGGGCGAAGCTACCATTATGTAAAGCTTTACAACCTATCGGGCTTACACGAACATATTGGCTTACTACGCGCCTGATCATGGAGCATCTGCAATACTGTTCAAGTGTGGTGGTGTGGTGAGAAACCCATATCACTAGTTTTAAATTATTCACATTTAATTGAAATACTACTTTGCACGCAGCCGGGATACGGCAACGATATATTATATTTGATAGTCACGTCATTTTGCAGTCTTCAAATGATCTCTTACAAAACGCAATACAGTGAAATGGATTATTTTGAATTGACGCAATGTGCGTGTGTGCGGCGAGGAAGAGGTTTGGGGTTGTGGGTTTAAATGACAGTTCTGTCTCTTAAGATCTTGTCATACGACACATCAGGGTTCAAAGAAATCACTTAACGTGTCAATTCACAAATGAGGGGAGATAACTGCTACCTTCAGCAAGCTATAATTTCCCTGTGCCTAAAAAGTCGTGGAAAGTGGCAGCGCTTTGGGTGTAAAAAATAGGCTTAAGTTTATTTTACTGCGCTCGGACAGGCTGGGGCCACCGGTGTTTATCAATACCAGTCATCCAGCCTTATGCTATTGCGTACACACTCATTCCTGATGGAGTGAATATAGTGTCTGGAGAGGGGAAGGAGTTGATGATTCCATCCCCAGTCCTCGTCACACCCGAAGACGCGTTACTTGTTGATACATTTGCCTGACGCGGGTTATTGTGGCTAGCATCGTAGAAACCGACATGGGTTTAACGCAAGCAGCTGCAAGTTTAACCCCCATCCACATACGGTGTACATGTTGTTTTTAAGACTAACATACTACTTCCCTGTTGACTAGACGTGACTACCGGGAAACATGGAACCTGGACGTCAAAGACCGAGTGGCTGGGAACTACTATCCAGTAACAAGCAGGATGTTTATAAAGGTAAACCCTGTACTGCCAGTGGCTTAATTCTGGGCAGTTTCGACTGATTCTATCAAATTAAATTATCAGAATGATACAAAAACTGGATGAGGATGTTGGTGGGTTCCAATATGCTGGGACTAAACGTTAAACTTATACATAATGAATATTGTTACAGATGCGAGCGGTTAAAGCGATAAACTTGGTATCACCATTCAGGCGACTCACCAACACTGACACTATCGACCCCACCCCCACCCCACACCCCTCACTCAGGTATTGGGTGAGAATTGGGTTCGCGGCTGTCGAAAGATACCACTAACGGTCCCTTTGAGACTGCATGTGGTGTTTCAGACCAAGAGGCATAATGCAGATTGTGTACTTATGGTGACTTGAGTAGGACCTAAGTAGCAGTGTCGTTAGCAGTAGAGACACTTGAAGAGCTGTCACACATTCTTTTCTGCCTTAGGACGCTGACCGTGACGTCCAGGTGACGTTGTTGACAGACCGGTGTCAAGGTGGTGGCAGCATCCACGACGGGGAGATGGAGTTGATGGTAAGTGTTGTCGCTGTACAGTGGAGATACTGTGTCAAGAGTACTCTGGTAGTTAAGGTGTTGATGTGCAAAGTTACGTCTTTTTCACGTTTGGATCCGCTCGTCGTGGTGTCCCTTATTCGTTGTAATGTGAATAGCTGAAACACCCTTCATAGCTGTAAAACCAACTCACTCACATATGTACCCATCACGGCAAAAGGCCTTACATTGATGCTGTTTATGCTATACTACTTTCCTGATCACATAATGAACATTTTAAGGTATATGAAAACCTAGTGTAGCTAAAAGCAATGATTATGGTGACTCTTCAGGCGGTCCGAAGATATGGGCACTATCTGAAGGAATCCTTATGCACATTGATAGGCCATGTTGTAGGTACATCGCCGGACGCTGTTTGACGACGGCCTTGGGGTCGGGGAGCCCCTAAATGAGAGAGGGAAGAATCGCCAGGGGCTCATATACAGGGGTGAGTTGAAACAGTCGACAAGAGTAAAATATTTGCAAGTCCAATGATAACGCTGACAAAATAAAGTGTTTCCTGACTGTACCCGAGTGTTTGCCACCAGGCAACAATGTACTTTCCACGCATTCCCTTTGTCGTCAGATTTTATGAATGTTATGGGCCATAACTCCTTCATTTTTCAAACAATACTTATACCATTGTATTTCACGAACATGTCCCCCATTCAAATAGTTGTCATATATTATGTGTATTAATAACATGTACTCCACGTCCCATATATTAAAATACATTTCGTGTAATGAATGCTATTAACCTGATATGTGATAAACATGACCATTTTCTTTGACATAACAAAACTCGTCTGACTTTTTCAGGAACTCATTATTTGTATGTTGGTACGAAGACAAGTTCTGCTAAATTCCAACGAGAAAAAGCTCAAGAAATCCACTTCAAACCAACACTGTCTTTTATACCGTTAGATTCTGATAAGCGAAACAGATGGGACACGGCAGAGACTATGGCGGTGAGTGTTCTTATGAATTGTTCTAGCGATTGTATGATCTCCAAGACAATTTTAATTTGTAAAGGCAATATTTTCAGAAATAGAATGTCCAAATATATCATAAACAACATCAGTTCCCTTTACAGTAGTGAACTATGTGTGTAGTGAGAGGAATCTCCGCCGAGAGAGTCTACCAGAGAATCAGAAATACGTGCTATAGTCTGTTTGCAGTGAAAACGTACCGATGAATTTCACTTTAAACAAAAAAGTAAATCAAGTTAAGTGAAATTAAGATTGCGAATCCTCATAATTTTACCTTGCCAAATGAACATTTAAATCTCAGAATCTTTTTCAACGTATGATAAAAGTTGTTTAACAAACGATCATAGATTCAAATCGCTATTATTGATTTGTATTACAAGGGGGTGAGCGCAGTAGATGGAACAGTGAAACAAATGCACGTGCGGTACGTGATGAGCGTTAACTTAAACCAACACTACTTGTTCTCGATGTTTCATTTAAAGTGCATACCCCTTGTAATACAAACCAATAATAGTGATTTGAAACTATTATTGTTTGTTAAACAACTTTTATCCTAAGTTGAATAAAATTCTGAGATTTAAATGTTCAATTGGCAAGGTAAAATTATGAGGATTCGCAATCTTAATTTCACTTTATTCGATTTACCTTTTTGTTTAGAGTGAAATTCATCGGTACGTTTTCACTGCAAACAGACTATAGTTACTGTCTCAAGTTGAATGATAGATCGTAGAACCAGCTGACAAATGACGCAAATAATACACACAGCCCTTCTCCCATCCAGTGGTCAGGGCTGAAGTCCAGTCTCCCCGCCAACGTGCACGTCCTGAGTTTGGACTATGTAGAGGATAACAACACGGATGTGCTTCTGTTGAGACTGGAACACTTCTATGAGAAGGGGGAACACCCTGAGCTGTCCCGACCCTCAACAGTGGACCTGGAGGTAGGTGGATCTACTGATACTGTTGACCAGGAGGTAGGTGGATCCTCGCTGTCAATCTTATAATGTAGACGTGGAGGTGGGTGGGTCTTCGCGGTCAATCTTATAATGTAGACCTGGAGGTGGGTGGGTCTTCGCGGTCAAAGCCAGACTGATCTTGGCGGCGATCTGTAGATCGAGCAGTAGGTGGAACTACATATACTGCAGACACATAGGTCTGTGATGTCTGACCTGGACCTAGATTTAGGAGGAAGAACAAAGTCAATCTGCCTCTATAATCCATAGCGTAGGTTGACATACAAGTACGCCATGGACACGCTCTAGGTAATTTTCTTTGATTAGAGACGACTCGCTCCTTCTTTCTATCCTTGTTCACTAACAAATTTAGCAAGTTCAATTAAATGTTACACGAAAAAGCAAAACTATGGTCGACCTCTCATATGAGATATCTGTGAATGAGGACCTACAGCTGTTTCATATCAATTACATGAAGGAATTCGTTACCCTTACTTTGTGTAGAAGATGAAACGGTGATACTGTGCAGTGCTTGTTGGGTGAATCTACAAGACCAAGCTGACTGTTCTCATGTTTTGTTACAGAATCTGTTTGGTGCCTTTCAAATAGTAGGAATAGAGGAGCTGAGTCTTGGTGCTAACTTTATGGCTTCACACGTGAAGAGGCTGAGGTGGAGAACAGAATCTGGGCTCACTCCAGAGGAAATAGGTAACGTTGAGACGGGTCGTTATTTGTCACCACGGATACCGTCGTGACAGTCCATCGTAACGGTACATTTGTGAAATATATCCTGAACCTTATCCTGATACGCCGAAGTGGCAACACTCTTGAAATACCCCCATGCTTAGTGGATCAGTGAACAGGATATACACTTCAAATGACACACTATATACCATTATATCCTAAACACATAGTAAAGGTCTGATAAGGAAACATTAAATGTCATCCTGCTTTAGATGTTAAATTTAAATGTACCTCTTCCATTTCCTGTCTGTCTCTCTTCCTGTATCAGTGTGTGTGTTTGTTAGTGCATGTGTGGGTGTTATACTCGAGGCACAGTAGTCTAAACCAGACAATCAAGTGATTGACATCAAGAGTCCCCTGTTCCAATCTTCACGAGAACTTGAGATACAATGGACTCTGCTTGTTCCGATGCTTGGAGACACATCGTTATGTGGAATATCATATTTTATTTGTGAGCATTTTGTACTTGCAGGTGCTGCTGTAAAGTTGCAGTGGGACCTCCCCCTTCAAGTGACGCTGAATCCGATGGAGATCAGAACATTCCACATAGAAGTCGATGATCAAATCAAACATTCCAAATCATTTTTCAAAAATATTTTCAGGTAGCAAATGTTGCTCAATGTGTAATATTTATTTTTATTTACTGTGATATAATATACATATACAAATAAATTTATTTATTTTATACCTACTTCTCTTTCATCAGTTTTTGTCAGGGATACACTGGTTTAACGCCGTCTTGAAGAGTATTTCAGTTAGGACTCAAACCGGCAATCAAGCTTCTAATTCTCAGCATCGGAAGATAGTCCCACAAATGTTCAAAGGGATATTGGGGATCTTTATGGGATCTTTTAATGTTAGATGGCGTTGCTCTGCAAATGGGCGATCGTGGTGAGATCTAGCGTTGCCATCCGGAAACTTGACGACCGTCAAGGGGATGGTTATCAGCATGTAGGACGACGGCGTGGAGTGCCCCGCGCTGTTATGAAATCAAACTATAGTCCGTTTGGCTCAAAAGCGGACCGATGAATTGCAATCTAACTCGAAAACTAATAAACATTAAATACTCAATGAAACGCTGATCATAATCAAAACATCATACCCACTCTGAGGTTTTTGCAGAATTTTTGTCCTAAAAATAAAAAAGTTGTTTAACAAACTATCATTAAAATATTGACACAGTTCACTATTTGTTACGAGGGAGGAGTGCAGAGAAAGGGACAGCCAGGTGTTCGAGAACGGATGGAGACGGCACAGCACAGGTTAATGAATAAATAACTTTGTCTGTGAACGTGCTTCTCGAACACCTGGCTGTCCCTGTAATCAACTGTCTGTGGGTGAAAGGGGGTCTGTTCCACGACGGTATCGTCACACGAAGACGTACACTGCAACCCATGTGAATTGATGAGCCAGAGGTTTTCTCGGTAAGGTTTATTTACAAAATACATCACTCACACCTGCACACAAACAGTTAAACGCCATTGTCCGAGGGTGGCTCCGTGGCGGGGCCGGTGGTGACTCTGAATGTCCGTATCTCCATTGGCCGGAGGAGGATGGGAAACGGTGGGGAATGGACGTCACGGGAATCGGCGTATTCTACAATATAACACGGAGTCTTGGAGACACAGACACACTGCTTCCTTACATAACTGGCGCTATAAGGCAGTGTTATCAGCTGCAGCAGTGTTCCACCTGTTGTACATTGTACCTGTGCAGTCAGCTGGGGCAGTGCTGTGCTGTATTTAGACTTGTGTTACAACCTCGCAGACATCTCCAGTCACGCTGAGAACAATGTAGATTGATTTGGATAGACCCAGAAGGTACCTATTCCACAATCATCTGCCTTTTAGGGGTGTATAAGGGGAGTTAACTCAGCATTACCTAGTTGCGAGTTGGATTACTTTTTTAATGAGAGGTGACTATTCTTACTATCAATGTCTCTATTGCTGCAAACACTGCTCTTCTACTGGACTGTATCTGCACAAATACTGGCACACAATATTGTACTGCCATTGTCATACCTCTGTGTGTGTGTGAATTAGTTAATTTTAGAATACAATTGTATATTATAGTGCATGTGTTTGTTGTTTTCACATCTCCTTCTTTTACGAACTGTTTCCCTGTCAACTTTAAATTGTCAACTTGGGAATGAGTGAGTATGGTTTTACGCCGCTAGTAGCAATATTCCAGCAATATCACGGCGGGGGACACCAGAAATGGGCTTCAAACATTGTACCCATGTGGGGAATCGAACCAAGGGCTTCAGCGTGACGAGCGAACGCTTTAACCACTATGCTACTCCACAGCCCTACTTGGGAATGAACCCGTCACAGCAGTTATACTTGGTGCAGGATCAACCTGTCGATGTGTTCTTCATTTCCAGTGATACCAGATTTATTACACGGAATGTATAAATAGTCGCGATCAGGCTAGCGATAATGGCGATTATTGATTCGAGTACTGAGAATGTTCTATGTGCACACTGTTGTTTTTAACGCTTATGTCAGCAGTGACATGTTTGCCGAGGGTGTGTTCAGTTGTCTCCCGCACAAACCGTCTCACTCTGACTATATCATACCTCAAACCCGAAACAGACCATACTATCCTTACCGCCACTCCTACCTACCTACCCTCCTACTTGTGTGATGGGATATCGCCAAGCCACCCATTCCCCACCCTCCCGTCACATACTGCTAGTATCGTCAGTGGCGTTCCACACATCTCATCCTGGTGATGGGATATCGCCAAGCCACCCACTCCCCACCCACCCGTCACATACTGCTAGTATCGTCAGTGGCGTTCCCACATCTCATCCTGGTGATGGGATATCGCCAAGCCACCCACCCACTCCCCACCCACCCGTCACATACTGCTAGTATCGTCAGTGGCGTTCCACACATCTCATCCTGGTGATGGGATATCGCCAAGCCACCCACTCCCCACCCACCCGTCACATACTGCTAGTATCGTCAGTGGCGTTCCACACATCTCATCCTGGTGATGGTCGAAGCCACCCACTCCCCACCCACCCGTCACATACTGGATATCGTCAGTGGCGTTCCACCCACTCCTGGTGATGGGATACCCACCTCCCCACCCACCCGTCACATACTGCTAGTATCGTCAGTGGCGTTCCACACATCTCACCCTGGTGATGGGATATCGCCAAGCCACCCACTCCCCACCCACCCGTCACATACTGCTAGTATCGTCAGTGGCGTTCCCACATCTCACCCTGGTGATGGGATATCGCCAAACCACCCACTCCCCACCCTCCCGTCACATACTGCTGGTATCGTCAGTGGCGTTCCACACATCTCATCCTGGTGATGGGATATCGCCAAACCACCCACTCCCCACCCACCCGTCACATACTGCTAGTATCGTCAGTGGCGTTCCACACATCTCATCCTGGTGATGGGATATCGCCAAGCCACCCACTCCCCACCCACCCGTCACATACTGCTAGTATCGTCAGTGGCGTTCCACACATCTCATCCTGGTGATGGGATATCGCCAAACCACCCACCGTCCCACCCACCCGTCACATACTGCTAGTATCGTCAGTGGCGTTCCCCACATCTCATCCTGGTGATGGGATGGCGCCAATCCATCCTGGTGATGGATATCGCCCACCTACTCCCCACCCACCCGTCACATACTGCTAGTATCGTCAGTGGCGTTCCACACATCTCATCCTGGTGATGGGATATCGCCAAGCCACCCACTCCCCACCCACCCGTCACATACTGCTAGTATCGTCAGTGGCGTTCCACACATCTCATCCTGGTGATGGGATATCGCCAAGCCACCCACTCCCCACCCACCCGTCACATACTGCTAGTAGCGTCAGTGGCGTTCCACACATCTCATCCTGGTGATGGGATATCGCCAATCCACCCACTCCCCACCCACCCGTCACATACTGCTAGTATCGTCAGTGGCGTTCCACATATCTCACCCTGGTGACGCCACACACCCATCCGGGCCAGCCCATTGTCTTAATCCACACACCCTATCAAAACAGACCGACCTACCCGGGTAATGTGACATGTCAAACCGACCCACACGCTACAAAACCTCAAAACCAACCAGCCTCGAACTATGTGACTCACCGAGTGTCCCGCTTGTGGTGGTACCATCAGTCGTGTTCCACTGAAGCCGCCTCACCCTGGTAATATTGTGGTCGGCCCCCAGACTCAGCTCCCGTACTGTAGTGATGTCAAACCTGCTGAACAGGTACTGAAATGAAGCAGTTCACCACAAGCCTGTTAGAGCCTGGCACACGGTGTGGCAAAACATCTCGGTTTCCTTAACACGCCACGAGAATAGTCTTGTTCTGAAACTTCTAACATCAAAACCTGGTCATCCAACATTGGAACTGGTTGATTGATTCTCGCAGATCGGATCTGGATCAACCGTAAACCCTTTCCAAGCCTTAGAACACATATTCTACCGACAAACATTACGAATTTAAGAAATTGGGTTACTTGTCGTGTGTAGATATATTTTTAGCAGGAGATGGTGACAATACTGTGTAACTTGGGTCCTTGAGAAAATGTCAACTCTTTGGAAATTTGGGTGAAGGAATGAATTGTCTTAATGGCGGTTTGTTATCGTAGCTGAGTTTCAGTTCCGTGGAAAAAAGTCCACATTGGTGCCAGACATTTGTAATTACCACTTTGAAGCAGCCCAGGAGTAACGGTGCTGACATTTAGTATTGTACACCGTTGGGAATAGGGTCCGGAAACATTACATCTATAGAAAGGTAACTGACAGCTCCTTACAGCACTGTGCCACGTGTACTCATGGTAGATGGTGCGGCATGCTAGACTATCATATCACACTGTACATAGTGAATGACAGCTCCTTACACCAGGAGGCCCCCAGGGTACCTATGGTGTAATTTGTCCTTTAATTCACGATGACACATTTGCTGGTATACGTTCTGACAGTATGACATAGTCTAGACACGTATCGGTTGAATTAGTACAGGCCGGCAAACAGCTGACGTCTCGGTACTGCTGATTGCATGCTGGGCTAGACAGGAACAGTCGTGAAACGTAAAATTGATGTCAAAATTGGCATCCAACTGTGGATGTTTTCTTAAACCAACCTGCAGAGTTACGGTCGCTTCTTCCTCATCTTCATCTGCTTCACCGACTTCCAGAAAGTTTTCCAGTCTCAGTATCAGGGTGTCGGGATCACCTGGGGTCTGGTCAAGGGTCAGCAGGTGAACGTTGAACGGAAGAGGGTTACGTAGGCCTGAAAACTAACCACACGGGAAAACTGACCATCAGAGTTTTAAAATGACAGCATCGGTGTTTTTACGAATCCTGAAGTTTAATCTACTTTAGCCTTTAATTCTGGATGGGTTTTTTCTGTGAATGGATGTTATTGTACGTTGCAATCAGCAACATGTACGTTACAGAAGTCTCCGCATCCTCAAGAAGCAGAATTGAAAAAGACATCATTAACGGCGTTTCAGAGTATGTTCAGTTGAGCACCACAGTAGGTATTTCAGGTATTTCAACAGTTTTCACGGCGTGCCAGCATACTAGGCAAGGACAGCCCAAAGAAATACATACTATAACTATAAATCATCATAATGATAACGTATCTATTTTCGAATTCCCGAATGCAGGATCCACGTACAAAAGGACTAGCTCAGAACAGAGAACTAAGGCACCTGATCTGTGAAGCGTTTATCGTGAGATGTTTACCGAGGTGACGAGATGGTTGGTGGTGGGTGGATCCGGCTGCATGAAGGACACAGTGGGAGGGTGGTGGACCTGGAGTCCCAGGGCTCGGTACTCTCTGGCAGCCTTGGCTATTGTGTTGAGGAACACGTAGTGTTTACCTGTGGGGAACATTAGGGAACAGTAACTTGTCCGGAGAGGTGACACTGGGCTCAGCATCAGGATCAAGAATATTTCACTGATACAGATACGTGCATTAGTATCGACCTTTACCCTATCCACTTCACTATGGGGGATTGGGGGTGGGGGCAATTATAACATTTCAATGCTCGACGAAAGGTCACTGTGTTTGTGCGCAGTGATGCGCAGATGACAAACCAATGATTTTAGTCGGGACGAACCGAGGACAAACTGAACACAAGGATGACATTTGAGTTGCGAACTTCAGGCCATTTCTATGGTGTAAATGCCCACGACAAAGGCACCATCTTCTCCCTGACCTCGTAAGACAAGTCCCCTCCCGTCCTCCCCGCGTTCATTCAGGGGTTCCTCCACGCCAAGGTCATCATCCCTGAACGTCCGCCGATGAACCTGGTCCACAGGAAGAAAAAAAACATCACGTAAGGTAATGGTCTACAGAACATTGGCTCAGTGCCTCCAATTCACAACCCAGAATCTGGAATATTTTAGTGGATATATTGAAGATTTAAGACTTCTGATAGTGAAGCTATACTTGTTCAGAAGTTGCCCTAGTGCACCCTGTTCCTGGAGTTGATGTGCCTGACAGAGAAAGCTCAGTATTCCATCATAGCAGACAATATACACAGGCTAGACCGCTCTCAGCCTAAGATCAGAGGTTGTACAATACGTCCTTATCATTCTGCATGTATTAACTACAATACTGTCCATGCTTTCAGGGTCGTTTAAACCAAATACACAACCAGGCAACACCCGGACATCACGTTAACAAGGTATTCTGTTGAGGAGAAAGGACATTTGACCAAAGCACTGTCACCAAGTATGTCCAAAGAACTCCGACGGCCATCCATGTGAACATACTGGCAGGTTCAACGGATGAGACTCCTTCATTTGCAATCGTTTAGAGATGAAGAGACATGGTCGAGAATGATCCAATAGCAGGACGACTTGCAACTGTCAACACTAGGGAAATGTAGGACACAACTATTGACTCTCTACAAGTCACATAACCAATACCGGTACTGTAGGTTGTTTCGGCCAACGATAACATTCTGGGGTGAGGTGAGGTGAGGTGAGGTGAGGTGAAATTGGGTTTAACGTCGGACGCTCTAACCACTACAGATAACATTCTGGGGAATGAACTAGGTATGACAAAGAATTCAGAACACCAGGTTCCAAGTTTTCTTATTTTACATCTAGCTGATTTCGGTCAGGCATTTGTGTCCATGGATAGGTCATGAGTTTACGTCTCTCAACCAGAGACTGAACAGTCAAAGGATTGGAAACATTTTAGCGATCACTCCTTCGAAGAGTGAAAAGCCAGTCATAGTAGCTGACAAGAACCCTACAGGACTCCAACAGGACTCGTACAGGAAGACTACGTTCCGAATGTCATACCTTGGCCCGATAATTGTATTACGTCCATTTGCTGGCTCCACCTTCTCACAGTAGCCAATCAGATAAGTCGTTACAAAAGAAGCCGATACCATTCAGGTCAAATGCCAGAAGCCCACCATCAAAACAAAGATCAAGGGTATTGCATTCTACCCGCTTATTATGCACTTCTCCACCAAGCCCAGTCAACTGTATAAATATTCATATTATTTGTGCACTGAATAAGCATAGCAAAAGACCTTGTAGCACACTGTCGCACTTGCGTTCATCGGGGTTTAATACGTCACGCGCAACTCCGGTGACTGGGCGCCAGGTGTTTGATTGCTGATGAGTTCATTTTTGGGTGAACGTCTAGTGCCAGAAAAAAAGGTCGCCCTGGCCGACTTTTTACGATGTGCGTCAAGAACAGCTACGTCATTAGAAGCAATGAGAGTCCTCTATCGGTTTGAATAATGCCATCCAAATGTCAGATCATCAATTTACAGAGAGCAATAAAGTTCCTAGATCCGTCTGAATCAGGTCTATCATATGTGAGAAATTAGTAGTAAAACAAGTCCACAGGATTAACTCTTGCCCAGTTCACACCGCAGGAGCGGTGAACGGCAGGAAATATTTCATAGCATGGAAGTGAACGATTTATCACACGAGAAGTGAGCAGGTTTTATTTGTTAGGTATAGGAAATTGTCAATATCTATATTTGTATATACCACATTGTCCCCAAACTTCATGCCGTAAAATAAAAGACATGTGCGTATTCATACCAAATATCTTTCCATTCCGTCATTATAATAATAATAATAATAGTCCATTTATATTGCGCGTTTATCCATGCAGATTGCATGCCCAAAGCGCTGACATATTACCACTGGTCAACGAGTACTGAACACTCCATGTGGAGAATACAACCGGTCGCCTGTCAGGCGCTCAAGGTTCAAATTCAGACTACCATCGTATCATACCAGGTACCCAAGTTTACTGCTGGGTGGACGGAGGCAATTTTGAACAAACTCACTTGCCTAAGGTGAGACCACATGCGTCACATGTGCTTCGTTGTGGGGCAGGACTGAAGTCCTAGAAACTCTCAGGAGTCAAGCTGCCAAACACGGTCACCCATCCGAGGACTGTCCGCGACCAAAGTTGCTTAACTTCAACTGATTGTGACCTGAGCTCTACGCACAGGACCACACACCGCCACTTTATACAAGACCATGAGCCTGCAGAACAATGTTTAGCTTCGGCTACGTTTCCGTAAAGATGCATAAATATGTCACAGTTTACGGTATCATTCCTGTATAAACGACAAACAAATTACATCATCATTTAGAGTAATTATCGAACTATCTTTGTGCCAAATTTGGATGCTTAGTTTTGTACCATTTTTGGGCTTTCATCCTCGAAAGACCACACACCATCAAGCGGTTAGTGAGCGATTTAAGAACATCATGGTAAACTATGTCATGTCGAACTCTAATTTACACAGTAAACGCTTACGGTGGTTATTCAATAGAGTTTCTAGTGACAAGGTGTGCTGTACTGCCCCAAAGTAGTGTATTCACAGAGAAACAATATAGAGACATCCGTATTTCAGTCACGTAATGCTGAATCAACTTGATCATTCTTTTTCACCTTGTTTTGTATTACATAGTAAATATTTTTCTTATGTACGGATTCTCTCAGTCAACTTCTATAACTGAGTAAAAGTGGCAGTGGTTTGTATTCTTAACTATTGTTTCAACATGATCATATCAGTCGCAAAACCTAGATACAGATACTAGCTATAGAAGTGAGCGGCATCACCTTGGACGACTCATTAAACGAGACACATACTCACCCCCCTGTGAGCACGTCTACACCAATCAACAGCAGTGCCGTGAAAGTGCGGTTTCATTTATCAGTTCATCATCTACACTCTTCACAAAAAGAAACGCATAGGTGATTTTGAGAATATTGGACTCCTGTAGCTGCGGCAAAAACAATACAAATATACTATTTCTTTCCAAAACGTCATTTTTGTGCTTCAGCGCCAGAACGCGGCAATTTTAACTTGTCCCCTTGTTTTAGAAGTGTTCGAAGAAATATTCGCTAATACGTCACTAAGAAAACATGCAAAGCAAAATGCACGTGCAAGTAAGTGGAAAACCATGGGGTATCGATCATTATAAAAAGGTAAACGTTGTGTTTTTGCCTGGAAAAGATGACTGACTGACTGATTGAGTTTGGTTTTACGCCGCTTTTAGCAATATTCCAGCAACATCACGGCGGGTGGCAAAGATGAAATCACCATGCCACGACTTAGTGCCACCAAGCGAAACATCGCCATTATAGGCCGCCTTGAAGCTGGGGGTCGCAGTCTGCCCGACATTTCAACGTTCATCAGAGCACCATATCTCGCCTTTGGGATCGTTTCCTGCAGACCAATTCCGCCCAAGATCACCCAAGAAGCGTCCGTACAAGAGTTACCACCAAGCCCAGGACCGCTACATCCGGGTTGCTCAGTTGCTTCATCGTCTTGCCACAGCCGTGGAGATAGTCTGTCTCACAGTCCCTGAACCACATTATTTTCCCCACTGCCAAGCCCTCTCGGCAGTGCTAAAGCCCTAAATATAGCAAGTCTAGATTCCCTCAGGTTCTGAATCTCTGGTCTCCCTAGGGCTCCTTTTCAATATAAATGGGCTTGTTTGTTACTATCAAAATTATATATATTCAGAGACTAAGCCTTAGTCTACCGTGGAGACTGCACAACGCATCCTTGGCTTGAGAAAACATTCCTACCAAGCTGTCTGGAATCGATTGCGTGGAGTGGGAATTCGACCAAGAAGGCCAGATGTCGCCCGTTTTGAGTAGGTCTACCGGTATATTGCAATACGCCTTTAAACCGATACCTATTGCAATGGTTTTTGTTGTTGTTATCTTTATGGTTTAATTTCAAATTCATACAGACTTCCATTCACGCTGACGTTTTCAATTGTAATTGATGGACAAAACAGCATACTTTACATACAATACATTTTATAAAGAAAATACAATCCTTCAAAATCAATTCGAAATTCGAAATTTCTGTTATCACAACCATTGAGTTATTGTTATGCTTTAGCATGTGTAAAATAGGCTCTGCGTGTACAATCAATGTCACTCACTGTCAAACACTTAGGTTGATGATACATCACAATACGCATCGGAATACGGGTACCAGAATCACAATATTTTGCAATCTAATTTATCAGCCCTAGTTTTGAAATACTTCCATCGGCGCAGTCGCTTGCGATGATGTCGTAGAGTCCTGAACTGGAACCTTAGAAACCGGAGCCGAGTCTGGTTCAGTGATGAATCGCGATTTCTGCTTTACCGGCGAGATGGAAGACAGCTTGTTTACCGTCGGAGAAATTAACGTTTTGCCCCTAATTGCATTCGACAGGTCGACAGATTCGGTGGAGGCAGTGTCATAGTGTGGAGTGCGATATCCAGCACATAAAGATCTGATTTAGTGGTGGTTCAGGGGAATCTGACAGCAAGTCGGTACATCAACGACGTCCTTGCACGTCACATGCTTCCGACAGAGGGAGTTGTTCCACCATGACAACTCTACTTCACCTACAGTATGCGTTACGGTCCGCTACCTTGCCAATTCTAACGTCAATGTCTTGCCATGGCCTTCCCGATCACCAGATCTCAACCCGATAGAACACCTATAGGATGAACTCGATCGACGTGTACATCAACGTCAAAATACGCCTCAAACACTTCCACAACTGGCCATCGCATTGCAGGAATAATTGGGAAGAACTCCGCAAGACTGACTTCGTCGACTTATCCAGTCTGTGCCGAGACGGTGCCGAGCAGTAATTGCTTCCAAAGGAGGCCAAACAAAGTACTGACTTTGACGCCATCTTGTGCACTCAAGTGAACAGAAACAATAAAGGCTGATGTTATGTTAGCGAGGTCTTTGTCTCTATATAGACGTGTGGATTTTCACCTTTTTACCATTGAAAGTACATGAAATAATTGCTCTTAAACTAACGCAATAAATTCTTCTAATAATGGTTTATGCGTTTCTTTTTTGAAGAGTGTATTTCTTTTGGTGTACATTGTGATTCGTCATCCTTTGATACTAAACTGAGCTTTTCATGTTCCTTAGAGACAACAATTTCTTTATCAGTTTCATTTCGATGATTTGGCAGATATTTTAAATCTTTTTGTACTTATTTGAGTTTACCTGTAATGTCACCTACACGTAGTTTTAAAATAATATTTGTCTTCTCTGTGTGAATGTCATTACAGTGATATATAACCCCACTGAAGTCTTGAAAAAGTTCAGAACAGTAGTAGTATTGATATGGTGACATTTCCGTCGTTTAAACAGCCCATCTGAAGAATTGAATACTTGATAGTTAGTGGTAATGCTGTATAGCAAATTGGATGACGAGTTTAGGTTGACCGTATATCGTTAACCAACAGAAAATGAAATCGTTCACCATGGCCAATTGTCTGGGTTCTTAAATCGTTCACTAACTGTTTGATGGGGTATTCTTTCGAGCATGAAAGCTCGAAAACGGTACAACACTAAGCATTCAAATTTGGCACAAAGATAGTTCGATAATTACTCTAAATGTTGGTGTATTTTGTTTGTCGTTTATACAGCAATGATACCTTAAACTCTGACATGTTTATGCATCTGTACGGAAACGTAGCCGGAGCTAGACCTTGTTCTGCAGGCTTATGGGCTTGTATAATAACGGAATGGAAAGATATTTGGTGGGATTACGCACATGTGTCTTCTATTTTACAGCATGGATTTTGGGGACAATGTGACCTATACAAATATAGATATTGACAATTTTCCTACACCTAACAAATACAACTCACTTCTCGCGTGATAAATCGATCCTTTCCATGCTATGAAATATTTCCTGCCGTTCACCGCTCCTACGGTGTACAGTTTAAAGAAGGACTAAAGAAGTCACTTCATTTGTCACTTACTGAATCACCTAATCACAGCAGCTGGTATGCCGAACTTCGAGGAAACTGGCCTTATAACAAGACTTTTGTTCAGTTAGTGAGTTTTACGCCGCTTTTAGCAATATTCCAACAATATTCCAGCAATATCACAACGGGGAACACCAGACATGGGGCTTCACACATTGTACCCATTTAGGGAATCGAACTCGGGTCTTCGGCGTGACGTGAGAACGCTTTAACCGGTAGGCTAGCCCACCTCCCCTGTTTTGTTCAGAGAAAGGTACAACTACTTTAACCTCGTATTCATGAAGTTTGTAATGCTGGGAAATCCGTTCTGGCAACCGTTACAGCCACAGGAAATACGATACCACAACAGAATCCTAGTGAATTCAAAAACATATCTTATCATAGGAACGAAAATCTTGCATGCTGAAGTCTTGTATAGTCGAAAATGAATGCTTGAGTATAGGTTTACGCCACTTTAGCAATATTCCAGCAACATCACGGCAGGGAACGCAAATGCATTTTGAGAGTATTTAAGCGCATGGTCAAAGAAGAACAGTATAACTCATAGTAAAACTCGAAACAAGAGCTGAGTACAAGTAAAGGCCCCCCACTTATCTCTGTTATGTGCTGAACAAACATGCTGAAATGACCAGAAACAGGTTCAAGGAACTTCAAACATCGAAAAGTTCTGAATTAAGACGTCATTGATGACAGTAAGCATGTCAAGTTTCGGCTTTGGCTCGTACAACTCATGGCCCATCACCCACATGTGTCAACACGCTTGACTTTGTGCTAGGTGAGCTACAAAACAGTCTGCTTGGTCTCAGTGGCGGACACAGCAGGGGGAATACTGCAGACACTGATTAATGTTGTGTCTGAAATAGGAGATAACGCGATAGATGACAGTTATTTCCAGAATAACAGGATATCATCCACTGGAGACAGTGTCTACCAGTCTTGTTTGCCACGACAAACAAAGGGACATAACTCTTGTTGGCATGTCGCGAGGCAGCTGTTGGAATCCTGAACGCTGCCTTGTATCGCGGCTTAACTGTCACCCGCATGTTTGCACACAGAAGCCAACACGGGCATTCTGCACTTACTGGAACGAAACCACAACGCATTTATAGATATAATGGCCACTTTGGAAAATGTTTCACGTTGTCACAGGGTGGCAACAATTGCCTAGTCTCGCACGGTCTAATAGCTGTATCGTTTGAGTCGTTTCCCTCTCCTATATTTGTCCGTTTTCTGTCGCCGTTCGGGAATGTCTTTTCCCAGTGCTTTTTTCCATTGTCAGAGAATGTTGTTTCCCAGATGTGTAACCGTATACTTGTTTCATGTGTATGTGTTTTATATATAGTTGCTTTCTTTTTCATGTTTAAAAATGTTTTTGTGATTTTGATTTTCATGCATGTACTTGTAGATATTTAGCATGTATTTATGGTTGGGCTGTAACTGTACACATCTGCCTGTAAAACTTTGCCGGTACGGCTGGATTGCTTATATTCAGTGCTTTTATACTTACATGTTGCGTACTGGGTTGGTAGTTATTTTGCAATTCTGGTTTCCCCTATATTTAGAAACACACTTCAGTTTTATTACTAGACTGCTGCATACCCCGGCTGCCCAGGGCAGGGTGTCCTCTATGACGTTCGCGGACATGGATTAAAACCCATCAAAGTTGTCAAAAACACTCGGCCATCTCGAGGCCGATTACGGGCCGTCAACCTATTGGATTTCATTCGATGTCAGGCTTCGTCAGTAAGTAGTTATTGGGAACTGGCTTACTTGGTGGTATAATAGAGGATAACGTTACAGCTAGGGATTTTCATACTCTATACTTCTAGTAATCTAGTAGCAGATTACCAACGTTCCCGTGATTGTCCGGTTTCGGTCAGGAACCTAGGTATTTACTATTGGGAGTCAAGTTAGGTGAGGTACCTTTCTTAGTGATTGTGAGTATAGATATGCAGTCGATCTAATATGCTGTATTGTTGGGATGTTTATAATTAAACAGGCAAAGTGGCAGGAAGGTTTGCTATTGAGACGTTTGCAAGAGAACTGTTGGGGGCCCTCGGTGTTTATTTCACCGCTATTTAACCCAGCCCATGTTATTCACTCATGTGAGTGGTGCGTAAAGTAACGCTCATCTGTTAATGGGTCGCAGCGTATATAATTGGCTGTCAAAGCATTTTTTCAATAACTGTCGCCACGTCTTCAAATGTTACTTTATTCTTGGTTAATGACGCCAAGAGCACATCTCCGTGACAACAGTGAATTCTTCGTCCCACAGGGTGTACCAGCACATAACAACCTCACCCTGCAAGCATACTCGCAATTTAGCTTCATCTGTCCGTTCATGACCTTAACCTACAGTAGACAGCCACCTACCTTAACCTACAGTAGACAGCCACCTACCTTAACCTACAGTAGACAGCGACCTACCTTAACCTACAGTAGACAGCGACCTACCTTAACCTACAGCAGACAGCCACCAAATTTAACCTACAGTAGACAGCCACCAACCTTAACCTACAGTAGACAGCCACCTACCTTAACCTACAGTAGACAGCCACCAAATTTAACCTTCAGTAGACAGCCACCAAACTTAACCTACAGTAGGCAGCCACCTACCTTAACCTACAGTAGACATCCACCAAATTTAACCTACAGTAGACAGCCACCAACCTTAACCTACAGTAGACAGCCACCTACCTTAACCTACAGTAGACAGCCACCAAATATAACCTACAGTAGACAGCCACCAATATAACCTACAGTAGACAGCCACCAACCTTAACCTACAGTAGACAGCCACCAAATTTAACCTACAGTAGACAGCCACCAACCTTAACCTACAGTAGACAGCCACCAACCTTAACCTACAGTAGACAGCCACCTACCTTAACCTACAGTAGACAGCCACGAACCTTAACCTACAGTAGACAGCCACCTACCTTAACCTACAGTAGACAGCCACCTACCTTAACCTACAGCAGACAGCCACCTACCTTAACCTACAGCAGACAGCCACCTACCTTAACCTACAGTAGACAGCCACCTACCTTAACCTACAGTAGGCAGCCACCAACCTTACCAACAGCATCGTACTCACCATCAACTCCATCTGTCCGTCTGACAGACTAGACCCACCCTGACATCTGTCTGTGAGCACCGTCAGTTGAATATTCCGTTCTTCGTCCTGTAAGGGAAGATGATACTTAAAACAGTGGGGATGTAGTCCATCGGTTGGGAGTACATACAAAGATGGGTAAACAAACAGCAATGGTGAGGTCGTACATCAATGAAGAGGTCGTACGTAAATCTGATCCCCGGATGTAACGGCAATGGCAGATAGGACGCGCGCTTGGTGCTGTATTTGTCAGCAAGACAAGTCATCTATTATCTTCACTGCGATGGTAACCCAGATTTTTGTCAATGGGTGTTGTGTATATTACCGAAGTAATGTTATGCTGCTGAAGCTGCCGGAAGTATAATCTTACCCGAAGGAACATCCTCGCTGTGACAGGGTAGTAATTCCCAGACACGGGGCTCGTGACGTTCAGTGACCACGTCTCCCGGTAGTCCCTCCTGTTATGCACAAACAGTATGAGGTTATCCTACACTTCTCCCTCCACAACCACTACTAGCCACCTCCACATTCCTCTACCTCCCACCCACAGACCTTCACATTACTGAAATACGGGTCAAGTCCTTCGTAATTCTTTCGCCTTGTCTCACCTCCCTCTTCCTTGAAATGCAATGACCTGAGAAGTTCCAATATTTTCCCAACGATTATTCTACATTAGCTTTTTCATCCTACGAATCTTGCAGTCCCTGGAGCTGGAATATGCTTATAAGATACAGGGGAACTGCAACACAGTCACAGTGACATGCATAACGTGCAGTACTATAGGCTAGCAGTTGTTAGCAGTTCTATAGGCTAGCGGACGTTAGCAGTACTATAGGCTAGCGGATGTTAGCAGTAATATAGGCTAGCGGATGTTAGCAGTACTATAGGCCAGGGGATGTTAGCAGTACTATCGTCTAGCGGATGTTAGCAGGACTATCGGCTAACCGTTGTTAGCAGTACTATCGGCTAGCGGATGTTAGCAGTACTATGGGCTGGCGGTTGTTAGCAGAATTATAGGCTGGCGGTTGTTAGCAGGATTATAGGCTTGCAGTAGTGTAGGCTAGCGGTTGTTAGCAGAATTATAGGCTGGCGGTTGTTAGCAGGATTATAGGCTTGCAGTACTATAGGCTGGCGGTTGTTAGCAGGATTATAGGCTAGCGGATGTTACCGTCTGAGGATAGGAGTTTATTTTACGCCGCACTCAGCAATATTCCAGCTTATATGGCGGCGGTCTGTAAATAATCGAGTCTGGACCAGACAATCCAGTGATCAAACAGTATGAGCATCGATCTGCGCAACTGGGAACCGATCACATGTGTCAATCCAAGTCAGCGAACGATTATTCTACATTAGCTTTTTCATCCTACGAATCTTGCAGTCCCTGGAGCTGGAATATGCTTATAAGATACAGGGGAACTGCAACACAGTCACAGTGACATGCATAACGTGCAGTACTATAGGCTAGCAGTTGTTAGCAGTTCTATAGGCTAGCGGACGTTAGCAGTACTATAGGCTAGCGGATGTTAGCAGTAATATAGGCTAGCGGATGTTAGCAGTACTATAGGCCAGGGGATGTTAGCAGTACTATCGGCTAGCGGATGTTAGCAGGACTATCGGCTAACCGTTGTTAGCAGTACTATCGGCTAGCGGATGTTAGCAGTACTATGGGCTGGCGGTTGTTAGCAGAATTATAGGCTGGCGGTTGTTAGCAGGATTATAGGCTTGCAGTAGTGTAGGCTAGCGGTTGTTAGCAGAATTATAGGCTAGCGGTTGTTAGCAGGATTATAGGCTTGCAGTACTATAGGCTGGCGGTTGTTAGCAGGATTATAGGCTAGCGGATGTTACCGTCTGAGGATAGTCTCCCTGCCGTTAGAGTCTGTGTAAAACATTCCATTCGTATTGAGATCGGTTGTGAATCTTGATATAACCTCCTTCGTTCCTTGCATGCTGGCACAAAGAAATTGATCAACATGATTACAAGAACACACTTGAGTGTGTAACATTACTACGCTACTTGAAACCTCTGTAACGTTGCCGGCTACACATTTGATTGAACTTTTACACATATAACAATGACATATCATCCAGGACGGAAGGAAACTGACGTGAGTTTAGTTTTTACGCCGCACTCAGCAATATTCCAGCTATATGGCGGCGGTCTGTAAATAATCGAGTCTGGACCAGACAATCCAGTGATCAAACAGTATGAGCATCGATCTGCGCAACTGGGAACCGATCACATGTGTCAACCAAGTCAGCGAGCCTGACCACCCGATCCCGTTAGTCGCCTCTTACGACAAGCATGGGTTATTGAAGATCAGTATTCTAACCCGGACCTTTACGGGTAAGATATTTGTCGGACAACGAGTGGGTTCAGTTCTTTCATAACCATGGTGCGCGAGATGGACGCCTTTAACCTACATCTACTCTGTATCTCTGTCGGACAGCTTGTTATCACGCGGATCTAACAGTACGATATACTTTTCTGGTATGGGTCCAACCGTCCACTCCAGTTCCAGGTATGGTGCGCCATTATATAGTCTGATCACCTGACTGACCCATGGGCTGAACTCCTGCCTAATCTCCTGGACATTGGGGCCCTGGAAAGGTAATACCATGAGTATGGCTTGAGCCACTTCTGGAACGACACACAGCATGTACGTCACGGACACATTCGGAGAAACAATGATATAGCACAAAGCCAGGCTTTCCAAACTACATTTCCAGAGGCTGGTTTAACATACTACAGTGCTTACAATACGAACTGACCTGCATGGTATGACTAGTGGCATTTGGTCCTTCGCTTGGCTCCGTGGACATAAGTGGCGTACGTAGTTTGAGGAAGATCTTACCTTATACGCATGAACTTTAACACCTCTGGAACTTGGCCCCTTGAGCGGAACTGGCCTTGAGAACTCTTTGGGCACAAAGGCATATGCTCCCGAGGTCCGCTTGTGGGATCCCAGGAACCCACCAGTGCGGTCATTGGGGTCCCTCGCCTGACCCGCACTGGTCAGGTAATACAGGTACCTCTGTTCCAGTTTGATGTCCACGCCGATCTCTTTGTTCCTCAGGGTCTGGGGCACACCCGTGCGGGGGTCAATAGTCAGGGACAAGTACTGGAAGGTTGAGATTGGACGTGGTGTTATGTCGCTGTCTATTAATGAATACTAACACAAGTTACCCCCGTGGGGGGTGGGGTGGGGTCAATAGTCAGGGACAAGTACTGGAAGGTGGAGATTGGACGTGGTGTTAAGTCGCTGTCTATTAATGAATACTAACACAAGTTACCCCGTGAAGTGGACGTGGTGTTATAGTCAGGACAAGTACTGGAAGGTGATTCTATTAATGAATACTAACACAAGTTACCCGTGGTAGTGGGGTGGGAAGTCAATAGTCAGGGACGCTGGAAGGTTGAGAAGGGACTCGAAGCTAGCCTTATTTGAATGTTGTAACTACTAGGTTACCCTATTGCCATTAAGGCAGACATGAATTTCAACGAATACTAAAGTACTGTCGGAAATAGAAAAAAAATCTTTTTTCGCATTGATATCTACAATTTATGTAGTTAATATGTGTAAGTGTGAAATATCTGTCAAACTAAGTTCGGCCTAACTACCGTCTCAGTGGTAGGGAGATAGCAAACGTAGAAAAAGGACTTTACTGAGGAGAGATTAGTGCAGAAATGAGAAATGAGGGTTTTTTCCAAGTCCAAAGCGACTTATTTGGAACAAGCCATGGCTTTATGCAAATTAGTGTTCGATGATATTATATTACAAAGGACAGTTTAAGAATGTCCATTTTGAAATTAAACTTACCTTCATTATAAACGATAGCTGACGTAAAAAAAATAACTTTAATACTGAAACTATGAAGGATGTAGCTGCCATGGAGTCTCACTATCACTATAAAAAGAAACATGCAGGAGGGGTCGTCTCAAAAGCAAATTCAGGACGGGTGTCGCAGACGGTGGTTGGGTCGGGCTGGGGGATAGAGATATAAGCTGAGATAAGATCATCCTTTAGGGGAATTAAACTGGGAAGCAAACGGCATGTCATAACAATTTACAAATAATATCCAGTCATGTCGATCTTCGGCTGGTCATGCCACCTATATATTTTGAGACATTTAATACGATGGCTGATTGAAGCTTTTCCATGGGTATCATACCCTTTTACGTATCTCAACATAAACTTTATGATCAATAGATGAGACATATTCAACACACATGAAAAAGCATAAAATATCTTTGAGATGACCCCTTGTGCTTGTAGGCAGGACGTGCATTTCATGCCAGGTGAGACGACGGTCCCTCGTCATACCTGGCTGAGCGACGTAATTGCCATCTATAGTCCGATCTATTGTTTTGAGCAGCTGTTCGTATTTTTTCCCGATTTTAAGAGTAAACATGCTTTTCTGGATATACTATTACGCATCCCACTGAATACCCAGTTAGGCCGATGTGGGCTATTTCTATATATGCTATTTGTAAATTTGAAAATTTTGAGGATACAGAGTAACAGCCTAAAAACAGTTTTCTTCTATTTCCGACGGTACTTTAGTGCTTTCTATAGCATATGTGACTTAGTGATTTGAGTCGATACAAATACATGTACCTGGTTAGTGATGTAGTAACGGCCAGTCCCAATCTCTTCTTGCGGTGGTATCAGGGTAGCGTCTGTGGGCAGATACAGTACAACCAGAAATTATTGAGAATTTATTATTTTTTTTTTTTTTTTTTTTTCACTCATTACTCGCGTATTAAATGTGAGGGGTGGCATATATGTGTTAGGGGCAACGCCTCTCTGTGTATGTGAAGGGAATATGAACAGTGAGCGGTACACAGATAGTCTCGAGGGACATTTACTTCCATCTCGCTCACGTGTTCTATGGACATTTTTGGATTTTCCAGCAGGACAACGACCCAAAACATCGTTCAAAGCATTCACAGGCCTGGTTTCGGACCCAAAATATGACATTATTAGATTGGCCAAGCTGTAGCCCTGACCTAAATCAAATAGAAAATGATTGGGGACTTATGAAGGAAAGTGTCAATAAGAAATATCTGACAAATATTGCTGAAATGAAAGAAGAGGTGGTCCGATATTGGGACAGCATGGACCACGACTTTCTAACTTCTTTGATCAGTAGTATGCCCCGCCGCATTGAAGCCTGCATTGCTGCCCATGGTGACTTGACAAAATACTAACTGTTCACCTGTCTTTGAATCTGCAGTTATGTTCAGCTAATATTCACATTAATACGTGAGTAATGAGTGAAAAAAATATAAAAAATTACAATCTTTACATTCTCAATAATTTCTGGTTGTACTGTAATACAACATGAAGTAGGAGCACGGAATTACTGTTGCACTGTTGAACCATGCATAAACGTTTAACGGTGCTTTAATTAAACGACTAGAAGGCTGATATTGCAATCATTTGATTATTGTTGAAATGGTGAGTGAGTGAGATGAGTTTTACGCCACACTCAGCAATATTCTAGCTATATGGCGGCGGTCTGTAAATAATCAAGTCTGCACCAGACAATCCAGTGACCAACAGCATGAGCATCGATGTACGCAATTGGGATACGATGACATGTGTCAATCAACAGCCCTGACAGCCCGATCCCGTTAGTAGCCTCTTACGACAAGCATGGGTTACTGAAGATCAGTTCTAACCCGGACCTTCACGTTTATATGCAGAGGTTCATTGTTGACATGGTTGCGTTCACATACATACTAAATTTTAAAGACAGTTTAAAATATGAATGCTTCGAGGATCCTAGTATTTAGAAGTATAGTATTGTATGTTGGTGGGGATAAACACATGTCATACCATCATCAGTTTCAAGCTTGTACACAGCGAATCCAAACGGTGGAAGATTCGCTTCAAAAACAACATCGACCCGGGGTTTCTTTATACCTCGTTCAGGGATTCTGAGGGTGGATTCCGTTAATGGCACAATCTGTACACGATGGAATAGACAACGAGTGAATGGTATTTTCTACCACGGGCAGTGATATTCTAGCCATATCATGGAGGCCTGTAAGAGTCCGAGACACTATGACCGATCACAAGCTCTGACCTGCCAGTATCCATCTTCTTTGCCCATATGACAAGAGTGTACACAGGGGACACGGGCACACGGCTGTTCCAGAACACTTTCCTGAGCCGGACAGTGAATTCCATTACCAACAGCACACTATACAAACTACCCAGCTGCGAACACGCTGAACGGCGATTGTTTTCCAATCCACCACCTAGCTACTGACATCAAAGATGGGATATCACGTGATCACCGTTCTCATTACGTACACGTCTCCATGACTAGTTGGGTGGTGATGAACACCGTGCCAGGTAGTGACCTCGGTAAATCAATAGATAGACATACACTGCATATTTAGGAAATGTGATGTAACACAAGTTCATATTTCCCATGTGTTTACCTGAGCTTCTGTAGCCTGTGATTTGGGCCCAGTGATGATGAAGTGATGCACTGTGACAGGGAGACGCACCCAGTAGGATGTAGGCTGTCCCAGGGGGTTGAACACAGTGACGAACACCTGCAACATGCGGGAACCTTAGTTATCAGTGTTGTAATAAGAAAACTTTGGACACCATCGTTACTCATACTTTTACAGGAATGTACTACATTGAGTGAATGTAGTTTAACGTCCACTATATTCCAGATATATCACGATGGCCTGAGGGTAGCATGGGCCAGGCAGGTTTACAGGGAAATGGGCAACGAAAGACGCCCTCGAGATTATGACTTATTCTCATTCATTATAGTCAGGTGTGTTTCCAACACCATATCCTCACGTACACATTTTCCAAACCTTCCTCTGGGGTTCCAGACTTACTAATCAGCAACGCCCATCTATTGTAAATCCGTGTACTGTACACCCATATACTGCACATCCGTGTATCGTACATCTACTGTACATCCGTGCACTGTACACCCATATACTGTACATCCGTGTACTGTACACCCATATACTGCACATCCGTGTATCGTACATCTACTGTACATCTATGTACCGTACACCCATCTGCTGTACATCTATGTACTGTACACCCATCTTTTGGGCACCTATGTACCGTACACCCATCTACTGCACATCTATGTACTGTACACCCATCTACTGTACATCCGTGTACTGTACACCCATCTACTGCACATCTATGTACTGTACACCCATCTTTTGGACACCTATGTACCGTACATCCATCTGTTAAACTGTGTACCGTACATCTGTACATCTATGTACTGTACATCCATCTTTTGGACACCTATGTACCGTACATCTGTAAATCTATGTACTGTATACCCATTTACTGGACACCTACGTCCCGTACACCCATCTGCTGGACATTTGTGTACCGTACGCCTAACTGTCTTACACAAACCTTGTCGGCCGTCTCCGTGATGTGGCAAACGCTGATGTTGAGGTGGTTGCAGAAATGCTGCGTCGGAAGGTTTTTGGTTTTCTGTGTGAGGAGCTTCCGGTAGGCTGTGCTAATAACGTACTGCAACAAACATTGGACGGAGAACCAACCTCATGTGGAGTACAGTATGCAGGAAGTGGTCGACACTGCCGATCACATACAGGTACAGTAACGTACAGACTTATAGGACACACACTTTCAAAGGCAAACGGCCATTGTCCAATATACAGTGGAAAAGTTTGGATATGTTAGGAAAGTGTGGCTATTAACAGTGTCAGCAATGAGATTTACCTCTCGTTCAGGATTATTGCACTAAGAGACAGACGCGTCGGTGCACATGTATGTGTGTGTCTGTTTATATTGGTCCGGACTAATAATTATGCCCACTGCAATGTCCGGTTGTAGTTTAATATACATACTATATACAGACGCAGGATACTAATTCCCCGATGGCTAGGCAGGATATCAGCCTTTAACATCTCCTGGTCGTATGCAGTACATTGTTGTGCGGACTTATTGTAAATCAGGTTCTTCAAGAGTGAGAGGCAGACAGTCATATCTCATGTAGCAGTGGGGGCCGTTATATAAATAGGTTCCCCCCTGTGTGTGATGAAGACGACATAGGACCGACATAGGTTCCCTCTGTGTGTGATGAAGACCGACCTAGGACCGACCTAGGTTCCCCCTGTGTGTGATGAAGACCGACCTAGGACCGACATAGGTTCCCCCTGTGTGTGATGAAGACCGACCTGACAGGCTCTCTCCCCCCTCGCTCAGCATCTTGTTGTAGTCGTCAGTGACATGCTGCTTCTCCGTGCCCCTGAAACACAGGACAAAACTGAGATTTGTTCATTTTCTGCTGTAGAAATTAGTACACAATGCAATAATATCTACAAAATACATTCGCACGTACTGTTTTACATAGATTAAAATCTAGTTAGATATCTTTTCAGCAACGTCGCACGCGCTGTATATCCATAGAACTCCCTTGGTCACCAGACCAAGTTGTAGCTGTGGTTTCCAGAATGTGCACATGTATTAAGGTGCCAATACGTACGTTATAGCGTCATGGTGCTGCAGGAGGGAAACGGCTTTCTCTGAAAAGAAATAAACTGCCACGCATGAGACGAGCAACTGTCTTGATCGTGTCTTTTTATTTTGATGTAGCCAAATAAATGTGATTGAAGATGTTGTACCGCAAGCAAGCTGCTGCTGATAGCATTAGACACAGACTTATGTTGATATGTCGAGGAGTATATATAAATAGCTTCCGATTCCTGTTTTGAGGAAAATGTCTGACGCGTTGATTGAAAAGTCGCGACGAGAAACGAATAAAAGTGAGCGAGTATTGCGAATGGTGTCAATATTACAGGCCGTTATCCCAGAAGTAGTTTCACGAGGCCTATACCAATACCAAACATCCAATCCCGAGTTTTGGCTTGACGAACGAATACTTCACAAACAACGCAGTGCGCCGAAACTATGTCATTCTGAGGCCATCCTATACGTGAACCCGGGGAAGCGAATCAAGATTGAGAAGAATACAGAAATACGCTCAATTCCATCTTGTAGAAAGCATTAGCTAGATACGGGAAATTAGATAGGGAATATAAGGCGAAAACGTCTGACTGGAAAATGACCATGTTTGATTAAAGTTAATAAATTCTTTGAAAAACACACCAGAAAAGAGCTCCACTATGAATTACAACCCATATTGATCTGTTTATTGATCTGCCTCCTATGGCATATATGCCCTCACAAACAGTAGGTATATTCGAACACAAGATATAACAAGAGAAATACAAGAGGGATAGAGTGAAGGCAATGAATGGATAAGATAAAGGAAGGACTAACGGTAACATGAACAGACTGTGCTGGGTTTGTATACTAATGGTACAAACAACAAACGAACACGACAGGTGTCTGTATACTAATGCTACAAACAACGAATAAAATACGACACTGGTTTGTATACTAATGGTACAAACAACAAACGAAACGACACTGAATACAATACAACAATACTAATGGTATAAACAACAAACGAATACGACAGGTGTCTGTATACTAATGCTACAAACAACGAATAAAATACGACACTGGTTTGTATACTAATGGTATAAACAACGAACGAATACGACAGGTGTCTGTATACTAATGCTACAAACAACGAATCAAATACGACACTGGTTTGTATACTAATGCTACAAACAACGAACGAATACGACAGGTGTCTGTATACTAATGGTACAAACAACGAACGAATACGACAGGTGTCTGTATACTAATGCTACAAACAACGAATAAAATACGACACTGGTTTGTATACTAATGGTATAAACAACGAACGAATACGACAGGTGTCTGTATACTAATGCTACAAACAACGAATAAAATACGACACTGGTTTGTATACTAATGGTATAAACAACGAACGAATACGACAGGTGTCTGTATACTAATGCTACAAACAACGAATAAAATACGACACTGGTTTGTATACTAATGCTACAAACAACGAACGAATACGACAGGTGTCTGTATACTAATGCTACAAACAACGAAACGAATACGACAGGTGTCTGTATACTAATGCTACAAACAACGAATAAAATACGACACTGGTTTGTATACTAATGGTATAAACAACGAACGAATACGACAGGTGTCTGTATACTAATGCTACAAACAACGAATAAAATACGACACTACAAACAACGAACGAATACGACAGGTGTCTGTATACTAATGCTACAAAACAACGAAGGTGTCTGTATAAATACGACAGGTGTCTGTTACAAACAACGAACGAATACGACAGGTGTCTGTATACTAATGGTACAAACAACAAACGAATACGACAGGTGTCTGTATACTAATGCTACAAACAACAAACACAGGTGTCTGTATACTACAAACAACGAACGAATACGTATACAGGTGTCTGTATACTAATGCTACAAACAACGAACGAATACGACAGGTGTCTGTATACTAATGCTACAAACAACGAACGAATACGACAGGTGTCTGTATACTAATGGTACAAACAACGAACGAATACGACAGGTGTCTGTAATACGAATAATGCTACAAACAACGAATAAAATACGACACGAATACGACAGGTGTCTGTATACTAATGGTACAAACAACGAACGAATACGACAGGTGTCTGTATACTAATGCTACAAACAACGAATAAAATACGACACTGGTTTGTATACTAATGCTACAAACAACGAACGAATACGACAGGTGTCTGTATACTAATGCTACAAACAACGAACGAATACGACAGGTGTCTGTATACTAATGGTACAAACAACGAACGAATACGACAGGTGTCTGTATACTAATGCTACAAACAACGAATAAAATACGACAGGTGTTTGTATACTAATGCTACAAACAACGAACGAATACGACAGGTGTCTGTATACTAATGGTACAAACAACGAATAAAATACGACAGGTGTTTGTATACTAATGGTACAAACAACAAACGAATACGACAGGTGTCTGTATACTAATGGTACAAACAACAAACGAATACGACAGGTGTCTGTATACTAATGGTACAAACAACGAACGAATACGACAGGTGTCTGTATACTAATGGTACAAACAACGAACGAATACGACAGGTGTTTGTATACTAATGGTACAAACAACAAACGAATACGACAGGTGTTTGTATACTAATGGTACAAACAACGAACGAATACGACAGGTGTCTGTATACTAATGGTACAAACAACGAACGAATACGACAGGTGTCTGTATACTAATGGTACAAACAACGAACGAATACGACAGGTGTCTGTATACTAATGGTACAAACAACGAACGAATACGACAGGTGTTTGTATACTAATAGTACAAACAACGAACGAGTTAGTGAGTGAGTTATTATTTAACGTCACATCGGCAATATTTCAGCCATATCATGACGAGAACACTTGACATTGAAATAGAATATATATAGAGATTATAAAACCTGCCGACAAAGGACAGTAAAGCAACTAGAGTATCACAGATATATATGTAAAACTAGTAATTGAATCTAAAACATTTTAACTATAGGGGACAACACAATATAAAAATGGGCTATAGATCGCCAACAACTAAAGGTAGATCACCGTACTAGGAGCCATGGGGACTTACATTACTTTTGCTACCTGCATGGACCCTAGCTGGATTTACACCATCCCTTCAGCTGTTGGCGTTTATACCGAGAATTAGCCATACATTAAAATGACAAAAATACTACGATTAAAACACCTGATATACTTAAATTTACTGGAAATGTTTTGGGACTTACGTACCCTCTACAAACAACGAACGAATACGACAGGTGTCTGTATACTAATGCTACAAACAACGAACGAATACGACAGGTGTCTGTATACTAATGCTACAAACAACGAACGAATACGACAGGTGTCTGTATACTAATGGTACAAGCAACAAACGAATACGACAGGGGTTTGAAGTAAAAGAAAATAATGGCCAGAACTGATTGATGGGCACTGCATCCCTAAGATGTCTGTCTGCTTGAGGTTATCCGTGCACGGGGTCAGGGGGTGTGAAAGACAGAACGTGGACAAACATGGCTCGCAAACGACACAACTAGTGGAGCCGTTTCAGAAGTTCAGTGACAACATCCAGTTGGCATAGTGATCTCACATCACACATCACACACACACACACACACACACACACACACACACACACACACACACACAGTGACTCTTTCATGTTTGTATGATGTTTCAACTGGAAAGTCCAGGGTGACTGACACATCTCAAAACATTACAAGAGACCGTCGGCAATTCACCCAGTTCCAATCAGTACAATTGTTCTCTGGCAAAAAATGTCGATTTGTTCATGGACATGTGCTGTTGACCAAGGACACCCTGTTTTCGGATCTTACGTGGTACTGTGGGAAATGAAAGTCATCCTAACAGATAGCTTAGAGTGAACTGACCACCTTCCACTGAATGTTAAAACTACAGAATCATAAAACAGAATGATACAACATTGACAATAGTATTTAAGTTGCCCTACTTGAGCGGGACAGGGAGAGAAAAACACACACACGCACACACGCACACACACGCGCACACGCACACACACACGTGTTGTAGTGGACAAACAAGTCCTTCAGGTACAGGTACCTACTCAACACTGCGATGTCCCGGCTTACTTGAGTCAGGCGTGCAAGTACAGCCAGCAGTTTGCACGTCTGAAATGAGAACTTGTGCGTCTTAACTTTGTGAATGAATATTATGGGTAATCTGATAGTGTCTTGAACATTAGGAAACATAATTGAGAAGTTACATTTATTACACATATCACCCAGTAGTTACACACGGTGTACACACTACGTGTAGACAAGATCCGAGTGGACATTCCTACAACTAATATTTAAGTGAGTGAGTGAGTTGAGTTTTACGCCGCAGTCAGCTATATGGCGGCGGTCTGTAAATAATCCAGTCTGGACCAGACAATCCAGTGATCAACATCGATCTACGCAATTGGGATACAATGACATGTGTCAACCAAGTCAGCGAGCCTGACCACCCGATCCCGTTAGTCGCCTCTTACGACAAGCATGGGTTACTGAAGATCAATTCTCACCCGGATCATCCCGGGTCCATATTTTTATGAGAGTGCCATAATTTCCTTAATTATAGTGCCTAAGATACTATCAACGCAGGCTGTGGTATTTTCACCCACCTGTAGTAAGCTGCTGGCCACTTTCACATGGCGCTTGAGTCCGGGTCTGCTGGTGAAGAAGCCGGTCCAGAAGGTGTTGGGGATGGTGGAGTACGGGAGGAAGTCGCCGGACATGGTGCTGAACTTTACACCCTCCTTGTTGACGCTGTTGATGTAGCAGCTGGGAGTGGAGTACAAAGCGTGCACGACGCTGCCGAACTTTTTGCTGAAGTTGCAAAAACATATAGGAAGCGTGGTTGTGTATGTCTGTACGTGTGTGTGTATGTGTGTGTGTACGTTTGTATGCACGTGTGAGTTCGTGTGTGCTTGTCCGGACGTATAGTGATATGTTAGTACAGTGCCAGCCGAACTGAGTTGTCATGCGACGCTATACTGACTGACTGACTGAGTTTGGTTTTACGCCGCTTTTAGCAATATTCCAGCAACATCAAGGCGGGTGACACCAGAAATGGGCTTCACACATTGTACCCATGTGGGGATTCGAACCCGGGTCTTCGGCGTGACGAGCCAACGCTTTGACTACTAGGCTACCCCACCGCCCCGTGCAACGCTATAACACGGATAACCCACTAAGGAAAGTATACCGTCTCAGAACCAGTCAAACCGTTTCACTTCCTAACCGCCGCGCGCCAGGCAGGGGAAGAACAAGCACCACGTTGTCAGTTTATCAAGATGGGGATGAAATGCCATCGATTTCCGCTCCGATAAACTGAAGGTTGAATACCTGAACTTCGACCGAAGTCTTGTGTGACACATTCTAACCTCCTGATGTGTTCAATATATTCATACAGAAAATGGGCCAATGTACAACCGTGTGGGTGTGGGTGTGGGTGGGTGTGGTGTTGTGTGGTGAGGTGAGGTGAGGCGAGTACGGTTTTACGCCGCTTTTAGCAATATTCCAGCAATATCACGGCGGGGGATACCAGAAATGGGCTTCACAAATTGTACCCATGTGGGGAATCGAACCCTGGCGTCCGGCGTGACGAGCGAACGCTTTGACCTCTAGGCTACCCCACCGCCCCAGGTGAGGTTATGTGACTTTGCATTCAACATTTTTGGACATGTTTAGTGACGTGCGTGCTTGTACGTGCTTAGGATGCTTCAACACTAATGCGAGCAAGATAGTGGTAGCCCAACCTGCAGTTTCATATGGACTGCCTCTTCGGACACAGCATATCGTTGGTTTGTTTGTTTATTTGTTGTTTAACACCGCACTCAGCCATGTTCCAGCTATATGACGGCGGGTTGTAAGTAATCGACTCTGGAACAGATGATATAGTGATCCACAACATGGGCATCGACTCCTCGCAGAAGTCCATCATTCCTTGTCTCATCCCCTCAATACCGAGGGCAGACCAACAACGACTACCTTGTGACCTTTCTTTGGTATGTCCGGGGCGGTGACAAAGCCACAGACGCCCTATCCACGAGGCGGAGGTAATTGCGCTAATTACACATGAGGCTGTCCCATCCCAATACGTTACGTTATAACGTTATACTTACAGGCATCTAGTTTTCTGACAACATTCCTGAACAGTATGCGAGGCAACACGTTCGCCGGTTGATCCCAATGCAAATAATAAAGACCATGTTTTAGCCTGTTGACCTGGACTTACCTCAGCGTTGACCGTGGCTATCAGCTGGTCCAGGGCCCGGTACCAGTTGGGGGCAGAGCGGAAGGCGAAGTCCCCACCCACGGGGATCAGGATGTGACTGGACTTGTACGACTCCGCCTGGAGAACACACACAAGGAAGCTGGGAGTCAGGTTTCACGCCGTAAGTTTCATGTTAGTTCCACTAATAGTGGGTACGTGTTTTTGCAATACCCCAGCAAAATATCGGAGGGGGTCACAAGGAATGTGATCGATCATACAGTGTACCGTGTAGCACATCGAGTACTCGCCATTCAGCGAAAGTCTTTACAAAAGGCCATTGTGCGTACTATGTGTTAGGTTACAGAGTTTGATTTCAAACTATTTTAGCGCTCACAACTATCTTATGACAAAGGACATAAACATATCGGACGCACTTATTACCTACATCGAGGAATCTATAGTACTGTCGGAAATAGAAAAAAAACTATTTTTAGGCTGTTACTGTGTATCCCTAAAATTTACACAACTGCAAATAGCACATGTCGAAATAACCCACTTCGGCCTAACTTGGCATTCAGTGGGATGCGTAATAGGATATCCAGAAAAGCATGTTTACTCGTAAAATCGGGCAAAACTCAGAAAAAATACGAATAGCTGCTGAAAACAATAGATCAGACTATAGATGGCAATTAGGTCGCTCAGCCGGGTATGACGATGGACCATCGACTCACCTGGCATGAAATGCACGTGCTGCCTACAGGCGCCCCAGGGGTCATCTCAAAGAGATATATTGTGCTTTTTCATGTGTGTTGACTATGCCTCATCTATTGATTAACAGCTGAAGTGTCTTTCTTTCATAAAGGTTATGTTGAGATATGTAAAAGAGTTTGATACCTGATAACCATTGAAACGCACCGTATTAAATGTCTCAAAATATATAGGTGGCATGACCACCCGATCGCGAAGATCGACAGGACTGGATATCATTTGTAAATTGTTATGACATGCCGTGTACTTCCCCAGTATAATTGCCCTAAAGGATTATCGTATCTTAGCTAATATCTCTATCCCCAAGCCCGACCCCAACGATCGTCTGCGACACCCGTCCAGGTTTTGCTTTTGAGACGAACCCTCCTATCTGTTTCTTTTTATAGTGACAGTGAGACTCCATGGTAGCTACATCATTAATAGTTTCAGCATGAAAGTTATTATGTTTTTACGCCAGCTATCATTTATAATGAAGCCACGTCTAATTTCAAATTGGTCACTTAAAAAGTGTCCTGTATAATACAATATCGTCGCACACTAATTTGCATACAGCCATGGTCTGTTCCAAATAATTCGTTTTGGACTTAGAAAAAAATCGCATTGCTCATTGCTGCACTAATATCTCCTCAGTAAAGTCCTTCTTCTACGTTTCTTGTGTCCCTACCATTGAGACTGCAGTTAGGCCGAACTTAGTTTAAGAGATATTTCACACTTGCACATATCAACTACATAAATTGTAGACATAAATGAGAAAATACAGTTTTTTTCTATTTCCGACAGTACTATAACCCCATGCTTCTGTAAAACCAGGGAGCGATGCAGCCACCCTGTCCAACATTCAGTTGGTCCAGCATCTAGTCAGTTATTGTTTCACTGTGGGGTATACATAGGGGTACAGTTATACAGTGGAGGATTTGAACACTTTATATATTATCAGAAATGCTTAGGTTTTTGCATGACACATTACACCATTAAAATATACGGGAGCAGACCCAAATGCTGCCATCTCTCTATACACGACCACCTACACAGTCAGGCCGTTCACACAATCGTACATACCCACTTCACTGCAAGGTTAATCAACGTTTTAGCCTCAATCTTTTGTATCCGTTTCTGAAACATAAATACGTTGCATCACAATGCAAAAACACTTTTAATATTTTCATATGTACAATAACAGTTCTTTGTTCACGTATGTTCTATCATGGAAAACATGGGTTATCCAAAAAGACAAAGATTTTTGGATTCGAAAATAACGCCCAACAAACCATGAGCTGAAAGGAACAAACTCTTCCGATCGTTTTGTGAAATGGGCCGGAGAACGGGCCGAATATACGTATGCGCAAGTACCATCTTTCAACGTATTTTAGTGTGACGGTGCTGGGAATCCGACCTTCCACTACCTAGCCAGGCGCTGTATCGGAGAGTCTGTATACAACTCGGTCCTTCATTTTTTAACATGAGTACTTAAGTACATTATTTTTCAATGTGATGAGCTCAGTCGGTAGAATGATGACGTACGGACGTTGACGGTGGGCGTCCCTCCCAGGCCAGGCTGGCTGGGCTGAAGTATCCGTCATACAGCACGCTGGTAAACAAGCTGTTTCCTGGAACATCAACCAGGTGTATGACTCCAGTTGAACAATTCCAGTAGAACACCTCGAGCATAAACAAATGCACAACGTATCCAGGTCCTTATCGTGAGTTAGACAGTAAGAGAACAACATACGGACGAGTGACGTATCACATGTCTTACGATACAATTTGTTGTATGTATTTGACTGGATATGAAAGGGACGTGTGTCAGGCTAACGAAGATACAGGCAGATAACTCAGAACCGTTTTGGCACTTAACTCCATGTGCATGTCGGGCTTTGATGTCATCGACTTCCGGTCCGATACACTAAAGGTTGATATCGTGAGCATTGAACCACGCCATGTGTGCTGATCTAACGTCACATATATAATACCTAGCATATTGTGACCAAGGTACAGACCGAGGTACAGACCGAGGCAAAGACATAGGGTGACACAGGGTCTGAGCTGATCACAACCAAACACATTGGCTCCTTCACACATTCAGGAAAATACCACCAAATAGTACTGAAGTAGGACGTACCCAGATTTCGTGGACTGGTCATCCACACTGTCTCCATGTCCCGAGACTTGATTCTTCTTGTGTGGTCCTGGAAGTCTATTCGCCCGAGAAAGATGGCGTCAAATCCCATCTGTGGATAAGTACGAGTGAACTGAGAACATTTGTACAATACATACCGACAGCCACACAATACTATATTCCTCAATACTATATGAAAGCGTGCGTTGTCCTCGAGATACTCCAGAACCCATGCCAAATACACTCAGTCTGATAATTTCAAGACAATCCAGTACCTGAGCGAACAAAGACGAGTGTTCCCGAGAATGTCCGAACTGGTCGATGTGCCAGCCGATGTTCGACATCGCACATTCTCCAAACTCCTTCTGTATCCACTGGAAACCAAGTGTGTGTTGGTTGATGATGTCGTCGTAGTAGGTTGTGGCAGAGTCGCTCATGCTCCAGCCACCACTTACAATCTGGAGACGTCCTAAAAAAGATAATTGGTTTACGCAATAGGCAATCCTAAACAAGTCCCAAGATAAACGGTAAGTACCACAGGCAGTGTCGAGGCTGAGCTGCGCAGTGATCTAGCTGAGGAACAGATGAGGGGATATAGGCCTAACGTCGTGTTCAACATAACTGCCTTAATCTGGCAACGTGAGTGAATGTGTGTCTTTTGGAAATAACCATGATTAATGCCGGTTTATAGTGACAGCAGCTAGCCCTCGGAGATACCATACCCAAGCTAACATGGATACCTCGCTCAGAGAAAGGTACATGTATACTGACTCCGAGCCAAGCAGTCTTTGACTTATCCCCTAACTGCCCGGTGTCAGGCAAGGTGAAAACAAGTTCCATCTTGTAAAGTGTTTAGGTCTGGCGCGACTTGGGATGGAATCACCGACCTCCTGCTCTCGATGCTGATGACGCTCTGTCAACTAAATTGTAATTAATAAAAAACTGAAAATGTTCGTACCTACCCTGCGCGACAAGGCCCCTGACTGCTCGTCGTGTTTTCAAGTCTTGTTCGTTAAACCAGCGAGAGAAGAAGGCCATCTCCGCAAAGATGAAGCGCCTGGTAGGATTCTTCAGCAGCTGGGGGATGACGCTGTCGAGGATGCAGTGGCTGCACTCAGCCCCGTTATAGAACGACGCGGCTACAATATAGCAGTGGATTGAATGAATCTTGCTTGGCTCTGTCAACCTGATACAACTCAGACTAGAAGAACAAGCGGTGGACATAATGAGCATTAATCCACACCGGATGATATTTACTAATAAATGCCGTGTATTGCATAGCAAACTGTTTATTCAATAACATGATTAACAAGAAGACATGATCATCAATATCCCCAACCACAGAACTGTTCTGTTCCTATTCTTCCTACAAATAGAGATACAAAAGCTGTTAAATTAGAAAATCTGTCCCCATTGGAGATAACGTGCACTAAGTCAAGAAACGCATGACAAGGGCCATAACTCTAACAATTGTAACACGGTTTCCATATTCCAACTCCATCAAGGCTTTCATGTCCTGAAAATGAATACCAAATCTGGTTTCCCTATCTATAGTGGTCTTAGAGAAACTCTGTTCCCATCATCTCGGACGGACGGCCGACGGAACTCAAACCTATATCCCCTTCCGACTTCTTGGCTGGTGATAACAGCTAAAATAATAATAACATGGACACACGAACTGGACATTAGGTTACTCAGCTGGTATCAAGAGTTGCTTGTATGTGTGTACAACAGGAATGGGATTACATATCATCTCATGAAAATAGAAAAACGTGCTTTAAAACAAGTTATTATAGTTTAGAATGAAGATGTTGTTACCGTTGCCGCCGCCCCTCCCAGCGTAATACTGGTCTGCCGTCTTCTTCCAGCCAACGTCATTGTGTGAGTGAGGGACGATGTGTACGTTGAACATCCCCGATCTTGTGGGATTACATTTCTAGAACATTGAAGATACATTCGAACATACTGTGCAAATCAACCATTTAATGAACTACACTTTTTTTAACCAAATGTACCCTTTGCAAACATATGAGTTTTCATCATGTTGTTCTGAAAGTTATTGTCGGGTGTAAGCCTGTGATGATCAATATTATGTAACCATGTTATATTGAGGCTTCAAACAGCAACGACTACAACAAACACATATCCGCACAATTACTTACGCACACACATGAGAGATGGGGTAATATAATAGTCTGGGCGATACAAAGAGCGACAGGGATGTAGACGACAAAATATATAAAATATCACATTTTATGGTTCAGTTAACCTGAACTCACTCTGTCATTGCGGCAAGTAACTGATAGTGGTTCCGGCTCAATCACGTCGGAGTCTGCTTTCTCATTTTCCAGATTTTCTTCCTCGAGGATAGTGTCATCAACGCCAACAGGACGGTCGTCGTCGACTATCATCACTCTTGGACTTAATCTAGAGTGATCTCCCTTGAGGAACTTCAAACCAAGGCTGAGAGAATCCATAAAGAAGAGGGCGAATGGAATGGCTGTTATCACCGCTATTGTGCAGACTAGACGCTTCGTCCGGGCTCGAAACATGGCTCGTCGGATACGTTGTACACTGCGAGACACATATACACTGTAAAGGCGTCATCAAAGAGGCTTCTGTCGAAGCCCCACACAGGGATGTCTGGCTAACGTTTACACTGGATTAAACAACTGAACATCACCAAAACATTTATTTCTGATTTACAATATCTCACTGTTGATAGTCGAGGGCAGTCGCCATAATATCTATATATACTGTACCTCTTACTTGACTACTATTCCACGGGGATGTCTATGTAGTCTAGTGGTTAAAGCGTTCACACTGAAACCGCGTTCGATTCCCGTCAAGTAATGTGTGAGGCCCATAGTATTTTGTGTGTGAGGCCCAATATTGCTGGAATACGGCAAAAAGCAGCTTGAAATCATGCTCATTTTCTCACTGACTATTTCGCCTCTCTGACAACATTCGCCTCCGTCAGGAACGTCTCAGCTTCACATCGAGACTGTCTTGGAGGAAACCAGAGGGTGATACCATGAGTAAATGTAATCGAGTCTCCAGGGTTAGAGAGGAACATAACCAACTCTGACATTGGCTCACTGATCACGTGATGTGCATACATGCTGACCACAAATATAAGGTCAGTTTATCATGTTGCATTTTTAAAAGTTGAGGGGGGAATAACTATAGTTATATTTCTTGAGTAGGTAATACACAAAGCTGCTAGTCCCAAGAGAGAAAAACGTTTCCGTCTCAGAAACATTACTGACAAATGACGTATACAGACCAATTGGTGTGATTGTAAGTGGTCAAAGTGTACATGCTACAGAAAATAACTACACATACCTCAACAGGAATCGAGAAACGAATTTGTATATATTTACATATGAACCCAGTTTGACGAGAGATTTACCAGTTTTGCCGTGACAGCGTGACATGAGTAATACAAGCGTGAGTCTCAACCAAGGGCGTTAGAGTGAGTGAGTGAGTATGGTTTTACGCCGCTTTCAGCAATATTCCAGCAACATCACGGCGGGGGACACCAGAAATGGGCTTCATGCATTGTACCCATGTGGGGAATCGAACCATGGTCTTCGACGTGATGAGCGAACGCTATAACAACCTGGCTACCCCACCGCTCTAAGGGCGTTAGAGTTGGCAGGTATGTAAATATCTACAATAAAGTCGTAAGTGTACTCTACCACGTGATTTATGGCCACGCCCCAAGCGGTTTGACGTCCATCAATGAAGCGTTTGAGCCACTTCCGCACTTTTGAGAATCTGACACTCCAGAACAAATGTTGAGGTCATTATTTCTTAACAGAGCTTGGAAATATGATTTGGGACGGGGGCAGGTCTTGAGGTAAATACATTAAATGTCGTTAAACTTGGTGTGACTGTGAACACTACATGTACCGTATTAAAGACAGGAATACCATACACACAGCAATCTAACTGTATTCTGTCCCACAGTATCTCGAACACACTACTTGATCATAAATGCACCTGATTATTCTCACCTGATCTACTCCAGTAAATCCGCTTTATTGTCAACACCCAACGTGGCGAGGGGGCGATGTGCACGTGCAAGATGGGAGAGTCGACTTTGTGCGCAGGTAAAACATGTTTTGAAACTACAGGTAACACAACACCCCCAGCAAGGGAACAGAATGGTGGCGAGGAGTACCCATATTGAACTGAAGATAACCATCGTAAATCAACTGATAGCGTGAAGCAAAAGGCCGTTTATTAAAAGAATACAGGGCCCGAACACACCGGTTTGACTTGATATGTTGAAGAGCAAATAAGCCGAAAGGGGAAGAACGTGAAGGTGTGTTATCTGCATCAGGTCAGGGTTGGCCTTTTCAGTTACTGATAGTTCACAGAGCTATGTCATTATTAACTGATAAATCGCTGTTTGTGGATACATTTACACGCGTGACGTTCCTCAGAGCTAAAAACGTCGTGATCTCGTCCACCACGTGACCACGTTAGATCCTTCATTTACTACTGTACCCACAGCTGTCACAAGCTACGAAGACGTACAGGTAATTCTCTGCACATACAAGTGGCGCTTTTGAACTGTGATTCTGCTGAGTTTTACCGAAACAAATTGTTGCTAACTAAAGATGTCAAGAAAAGGATACATTCATCTTTCAACACCGCTCGTTGGGTACACAGACTAGGTCCACATGTTTGTTGAAGAGTCGACCTGTTGCAGCGGTGGTGGGACACGGTGACTGAGATGGCTGCGCGCCATCACATCCCGACTGCGTGGGATGGTGATTAGAAAATCAATAACAGGTGTGGTGGTTCAGATTGAACAGTTTATGCTTCCGACATTGAACTTTCATATTACCACAGCTTCGATCATACACCGCGAGAAACAAGTGGCGGTTACTTTAAGCAGCGGATAACCAATGGAATGAATGAGGACGGTTCAACTCTGATTTTAACCTATTACTCATTACTGACGCGGTGTTAAACATCACTCACTCACTCACTCACTCACTCACTCAACCTCGGGCTGCTTTCTCTCATAAACCCTTTAAGGTCGGGGTTAGCATATTTAGTGGTTACGGAGTTTGTTAAACGGCCAGCCTGGCACAGTGGGCTCGGTTCCCATTACTCGTTGGGCGGTGTGGTAGCCAAGTGGTTAAAGCGTTCCCTCGTCACGCCGTGTACAAGGGTTCGATTCCCCACATAGGTACAATGTGTGAAGCCCATCTTGCTCATGCTATCAACCACTGTTTGGTCTAGTTTACACATACATATTTACAAGCCACCATCATGTGGCTTAAAGCGGCGCTAAGCTATATTATATTATTCCAGATATATGACGGCAACCTGTTGAGGATATTGCATGTGTCTAGTGAAATATGATGACTTTCTCAACAAGCTTTTCCTCGTCACCAGATCAGACACATCGGATTTCACTAGACACATACTGTATCATATTTCTCATTTAAAAAAGGTATCATGTTGACATTGGTTTGAGTGAGTGAGTGAGTATGGTTTTACGCCGCTTTAACAATATTCCAGCACGGCGGGGGACACCACAAATACAGTCATGGAACGTAAGTTTTCGTCAGTCGGCAAAATTACCATAGACTTGCACGTTATTTTAGTGTAGCTGTAATAACTTTCATTAATTCAGTTTTCGTTATTTGTTTGTCAAATTTTGCAGGTTGTTAGGAAATCAGCTTGGTCACAGATACATAATTTCCATGTAATGTTCCCGCAAGTATTTTCCGCATTGTAGTTACATGAGAAACATATATGCAACATTGTGTATTCTTTCCCCATAGACCGCCATGTTAAAAATTGTCTTAACCATGACACGCATCAATCAAAGTGCAGTCATTCTTGAGATACTGAAAGGAAAATAAAACGGAAATTATGTTTTGCAGCTGAGAAGATTCATGACACGTGCAAAATATGAAGAAGATCAAACGACAAATAAATGCAAGATAATTTTTCTAGCTGCACCAAATTAACATGTATGTCTATGGAAATTATGCACAGTGACGAATACTTATGTCCAATGACTGTAGGTTTCACACATTGTACCCACGTGGGGAATCGGACCCGGGCATTCGGCGTGAAGAGCGAACGCTTTAACCACTATGCTACCCCACCGCCCCACCGTGTTTTGAACGATTTACTCAAGACAAATAAAACGTAAAACCTTAGTTCTCTCTATCATACACGCTGCCCTTTTCAGACATTGCTTCCTGCACGTAAACAAAATACAGTGACATTAACAAATACTAATTGTGAACTCCATAAAAAACCCAAAACAAACATGAATTACTTTTTATCTACTTACATACATACTGTTTAGAATTTATTTCTCACTTTCAAAATTAATTCCGATTTGTGGGGTATTTCGTATAACGTACATGGACGTTCATAAATTTGTCAATTATAAAGAAATAAACGGTACCGTGAGGCGCGATATCTTAGGTGAGGTGAGGTGAAATTGGGTGCTTGAGAATATTTCGCTCATATGACGACGTGCACGCGTGTGTATGTGTATGTGCGGCTGCTGGTATTAGCCCAGACTTAAGCTGGTTTTATAGTGCTAGACCACTGAGATACCATGCCGCAGTGAAGCATGAATACCCCACTCAGACACATGATACTGACTCCGAGCCGACCAGTCCTTGTTGTACCCATTAATGCCGAGCGCCAGGCAGGGACCAACAAGTACCATATTTTAACGTCTTTTGGTATGACGCGGTCGGGGATCGAACCCACGACCTTCCGCTCTCCGGGCGGACGCTCTAACCACTACACCACGGAGGCGGTCGCGATAGCTTAGCGATTTATTTGATGTATAGCTGTCAACACGTGAAGAGAGTGAGACAAAAAATGATTTCTGTAGACTCCCCGATCAGCTAATCGATGCAAGTTAACCCCTGGCTGCCGAGTTTTTTCAGGCAGCACATTTTCATACGAGCTTTGAAAAGTGAACGTTGTGAGCGAGAATTGGGCTCGCGTGGTCCTGGATCTACGTACGGCTATAAAATTACACAGAAATGTAGAATATTAAATTTCCTATCCGTTGGTATAAATATAAGTGCAACTACCTCGGCGGTTTGAAAAATAGACCTTGCTAAATATTGTCCAAATTTTTGTTATGCGTTAAAAAACAGTAAATTTCTCCGCTTTTTATCGCGCACCCATAAAAGCACTGTGCTACGAATTTTTTATTTTGGCATCTTTACGGAAAGTGTGAGCGAAGAAAATACAGCCTGATATCTGAACGACATAAGTGTATATGAATTGGATTTATGTGCTTATGCATAACATTATACGCTCAACATTAAAAATGACTCGCAATAAATGTCAAAAATGGATTTTCTTCTACGACGTCAAACGACGACAGAGAGGTCATACACGTATAATGATAAGGGGGCATAACTCCGTTATTCTTAACACGAGGTCAATGTAACTCTAATCACATGGAGAGTATTTGTTGTGGATACGGACGCTATATTTTCGTTATTTTTTGTTCACGGTGAACCAAACTATTCCAATTCAAAGTTCCCCAATGTGAGCGGATACGCTTTGGTAGTTTCACAATTTATAAGAAAAGATGACAACGTACTACATGTGAAAGCACGTAATAGCGATTTGGATGGCCCTATCCGATATATAAGTTAGTTCTTAGATTCCCATATTCTCCTGTTTGTGTAGATGTATTTTGACTAATTTTGCATCGTTATTACCAGAATACTAGCCATATCTTCAAATGTATTGAAATTGCTGAAAATAATACAACATTTTAGTTGACGTCATTGCTTGTTTTATGCATTTTGCGACGTCGGAAAGTGACGACATTGGTATTCTGATTAGTATATATCTCACCTAATTTCCATTAATTGTGTGAAAGGTCTCGGCTTCTTTTTCAGAATTAACACTCTTTAGACAAAACATAAAATGCCTGTTTTTTCCATTTTAAATAGTGTCCTGAATATATCAACAATTAGACAGTTTGACTGTGTATCTTATCATGAGCAACACGCGCACCTGTTTGGCATCAATTTAACGTAAATGAAAAATAACAATTCACAACACCTGAATATTTTGTTTAGGATAGGAATTTACTTTATTTATGATTATGCAGCTATTTCTCTTCATACGTATGCAATGGAAGATGCAAAAAAGATAGCTTTTTATATATGGAACTAGTACGTACTATATATTAGAATATGGATGTAAGATTTGTCCAAATTAAGACATGACATGCTTTATACATTTTTTTTAAACAATTTTCGTATAAATATAGTTAGAGTTTGATATCCTGTCATCACAATATTTTTAAATCGAATATGAATTGATTATATTATCGAAAACAATGATAGTGAATCATAAAACGTTTCCGACAAACGCGCACCTGGCCAATCAATTTACATCATTGTTTTCTCTATAAAACGACACAAAAATGTGCAATGAACAAGACATTTCCTTTAAATGTGTGTGCATATACATTTCATAACATACATAAATCATTTTCATTAAATATTATCAGTTTTACTTATAAGGTTTAATCAAATCGCCATTCATTAACCTGTTCATGTGAAACTGCAATATTAGTTCAAATGCATTGAATATTGTACATCATAGGAACTAAAGTAATATTGCAGTTATGGCTACGTTTGATCTTCTAACACTTGTGTAAAGGTTTAGAATATGGTGTACTGCACTAAATGTGTCAATTTCTTATGTAAATATTATTCAAACAATCAAAACCTTTCAAAGAATAAAACACCGTAAACCCTATATGCAAGTATGATATGATATTTGACAAGGCTAAATGTAGATACTGAGGTCAGTTTCATGAAAAAGTATCTGAACTATCCGCAAAATATACATTATAATACTGACAGTGTAATCGGAAGGATTGGGCGATTGTGTTTACTCTTGTTCAACCGACCTTCACCTCAAAGAAATTGCCTAATATGTACAACAATGTTGACGTATGACATCACTACCGATGACCTATTTCTTACAAAATGGCGGCTTTGCTGACAAGGATAGATAGGATTTTGCGAGGACTCTTCCATTGATTCAGGGATCGTTTGTACATAAATATGAGATGTAAGTAATCAGAATGATTCTGACTAACTGTGTATTGTTATATGTTTCTATCGTTTTCACTGTAAGTAAGAGAAGAAGCCAGAAATGCTGATATATTACAGTTGTCGTTCTGCGTGATTTTGCGCCAGTCATGGCGTCACGCTGCACGGAAACTTTGACAATTTCTTATGAATTATCAAATCATTGCATTGTATCTATTTATAATTTCCTATTTCTTACTACGATACTCTTTCCATGCATATTCAAAAGGTATTGAGCTATTGCAAGCTATGAATAGACGGATGAATGTTGGAAAATTTCAGAAAATGCTACGCAGTGTAAAATCGGAATTTGTCTTTGTTTACGTTTCGAACCAGCGCAGTCTTTCGAGCACAGCGTTCGTTTTCACACCCAATATGTTTCGTCTCATTTTATCTAGACAGTTGGTATTGGTGACACAGACCAGTTGCAATTTGATTCTAAAATGTATGGGGAATTCAGTGATGCATTTTTCGAAGCTGAATATGAAATATACGTGATGTAATAGGCGTCTCAATACCGGCCTTCGCGAAACGTGATTTTGTAAACACTATCCAATATGGCGGAAAGCGCTCTACGGCGTTCGTGTAAGTGCATTTTCGAAAACATCCCAACCGATTCTAGATTCATCGGCAACGTTTCAGAATTATAATTAGCGATTTCATGTAAAACTGATATCAGTGATCATGAATAGGTTAGTTTTGAAATTCAGTACTCCCAGGAATTATCCGATTTTCACATTTCAAAACATACAGCAAATAACGCTGTGAATCGCGATTTCATACTGTGTCAAAAATGTCGCCATTTTCGATGAAGCCTATTTTGAAAGGTCATTTTCAGCACTTGAGCTTTGTCTAAAATAATAGTGGATGGTATCAAGAAACAGGAAATTTCCCGCAGAATTCGAAACTGTGAAGTGTATTTGTGTGCGTGGGATATTTTGATTTTTATTGGACTTCAAATTGAGGGTTGAAGGGAAGGACATATATGTCCCTGTGGCATCCATACCTTTGTTTACATTTCGAACCAGCGTAGTCTTTCGAGCACAGCGTTCGTTTTCACACCCAATATGTTTCGTCTCATTTTATCTAGACAGTTGGTATTGGTGACACAGACCAGTTGCAATTTGATTCTAAAATGTATGGGGAATTCAGTGATGCATTTTTCGAAGCTGAATATGAAATATACGTGATGTAATAGGCGTCTCAATACCGGCCTTCGCGAAACGTGATTTTGTAAACACTATCCAATATGGCGGAAAGCGCTCTACGGCGTTCGTGTAAGTGCATTTTCGAAAACATCCCAACCGATTCATCGGCAACGTTTCAGAATTATAATTAGCGGTTTCATGTAAAACTGATATCAGTGATCATGAATAGGTTAGTTTTGAAATTCAGTACTCCCAGGAATTATCCGATTTTCACATTTCAAAACATACAGCAAATAACGCTGTGAATCGCGATTTCATACTGTGTCAAAAATGTCGCCATTTTCGATGAAGCCTATTTTGAAAGGTCATTTTCAGCACTTGAGCTTTGTCTAAAATAATATTGGATGGTATCAAGAAACAGGACATTTCCCGCAGAATTCGAAACTGTGAAGTGTATTTGTGTGCGTGGGATATTTTGATTTTTATTCGACTTCAAATTGAGGGTTGAAGGGGAAGGATATATATGTCCCTGTGGCATCCAGGGGGTTGCCATGTTCCAGCAATATCACGGTAGGGGACACCAGAAATGGGCTTCATACATTGTACCCATGTGGGGAATCGAACCCTGCACTTAAGCCCGACAAGCGAACGCTTTAACCCCCTGCATCGACGATGTTGTGGAAGGAGGTACAGAATATAACACGACATGGTAACGTCGAGCTTACCCGCCGTGACATCACTGAAGTGTTGTTTAGAAATACGTTAAGCCACATCCATCCTACTATATTCACGTACCTCAACGATCACCGCATTAATCTCTCGAACAACACCTCCTGCACGGATGTCAGCCTCGGGTACTTACTTCTCCGCCACAGGGTTAGCGTGTCGGAACGTCATGTGTAGATCGGCTCGTGATACTGTCTTTCAGTGAGTACAAATACCTGCCTTTGTGTGCACTGGACTGAAGCGTAATCACAAACATTCAATCTGATATGTACCTGGGTTTAAAATGTTCAATGACACTGTGTTCACGCCGGAATGTTGATGAGATCATTCATATATATTTCTTCACAGGGTCACTTCTGCAAGTGTTCAGGGTCACTTCTGCATGTCTTTTCAGTACAAGGTCACATCTGCACGTATTCATGGGCACACCTGCACGTGTTCAGGGGCACAGCTGCATTTGTTTAGGGTCACATCTGCACGTGTTCAGGGGCACAGGTGCATGTGTTTAGGGTCACACCTGCACGTGTTCAGGGGCACAGCTGCATGTGTTCAGGGGCACATCTGCATTTGTTTAGGGTCACACCTGCACGTGCTCAGGGTCACATCTGTACGTGTCCAGGGTCACATCTGCACGTGTTCAGGGTCACATCTGCATATCTTGATCTCCTTCTTGGCATTCATCATTCACAATCGAGCTCTCCATGTTCAACTTACCACCATAAATAATTAATGAATAAACAGGAGTAATATTGTCCATATATATGACGTGTGTTTATTTACAAAATGGTATCAGAATACAAATCCATCTTTTTGTAAGTGATAAGGTAAGAAAATCCTCTGGACGACACACAACACGGGATACCCCTCATAGTGGTATGGTGTACAACAAAGTTTGAAAAAAGTAAGATTAGGCCCCAAAATGTTTCCAGTAGACAAACCCAACCTACCCATCACTTCAGTTGTGAACTTTAATCTATTATCACACGTGTAATTAGCTTTAAACTCCCCAACTTAAATCCATAAATTTTTTTATAAAAACTTATCTAAGTGAGTTTCATACCTACCCCGGGTGTATCTGTGGAACACAATTCAAGATTGCATTCACAACGTCTATTGAAAGTCTTCTTTCCAGTTTGTATTGTAAGAGTATTGTCAACAATACAGTTCTCATAATTGACATATTTTCATTTCCGGTATCGGGAGTCAATACCGCGCCTGTTTCAACAGTTTTACTCAGTTTGTACAGCATGACAAAACTCGCGAACAAAATACTTAAATAATTACAACATTTACACATGAGATTTTATCAGTAATGCATAATATATGTCTTTATGTTTATATGTACTAGCTACGTCACAACTGAGCGCTCTATATGTATGTGAAACGTTCTGATTTCCATTGGCTTTAATGATATGATGTACGGAGGAAGATGAACGTCGGCGACTGCATCTGCAACAACGAAATGAGTAGTTAGGTGAGTGAGTTAGTTACGTTTTACGCCGCACTCAGCAATATTCCAGCTATATGGCGGAGGTCTGTAAATAATCAAGTCTGGACCAGACAATCCAGTGGTCAACAGCATGAGCATCGATCTGCACAATTGGGAACCGATGACATGTGTCAACCAAGCCAGCCAGCCTGGAACAATTAAGAAGCGTATCAGCGGTTATAGTGCAAACACAAGCATAAATCCCAGACTGGCTTCTATGTACAAAACCACAGAAGGGACCTCTACAGTTGGACTATTTACAGATGTACAAATATTCAATAACGCTGAAGTGATTACTCTCTCCAGTCTTAGTAAAATCAAATTTAAGTTCTAGGATCGAATTGTAGTGAGATTGCTACATATTGATATGCTGTATAACAAGTTTGGGTATTCTGATTGTTCCAAGAGAGGTAACGTTTTCCCTGGGCTATCGATGTATATACTAAATAACACGCGTTTAAGATGGAACGACTAGACATTGATGCAGTTACCGCTTATATCTTCCGGCGTTGTTTGACCTTCCAGGGTGTGCCAGCGGAGTCGCTTGACGTTTGTGATGTTGTGGTTGTCGCCGAGACTGCGTTCAAGCACCGACTTGATGCCGTCGATGTAATCCTGCAAATACACAAGCAGGCATTAAACCGTCACCTAGAACCTTGACTTCAACACAAAGGTACACAGTGTACTGTTACATTACCCTTTATATATTACATTAAAGCGTTGGCTCGTCACGCCGAAGACCCGGGTTCGAATCCCCACATGGGTACAATGTGTGAAGCCCATTTCTGGTGTCCCCCGCCGTGATGTTGCTGGAATATTGCTAAAAGCGGCGTAAAACTAAACTCACTCACTCATTATATATTACAACTGCTGAGTATCGTGTCCATATCCTTAATCAAAGGTCTATATTATACCATTCATATTTACATGTGAATACTTGCAGTGAATACTGAGTTTGACATTTGATTGAATAAGTTCAGTGATCAGGTATATAGTTGGTAGACTTATATTATGTTCATGCCAGATTCTATTTCTTTGGAATACTTTTCAGATCGATTATATAGGTATACCGTACACCATTACACGTAACCACTCCCCACTATAATGAATACGAACAAGCAAAGCCAGTTTTGCAGTTTGTGGGTTTTCCTTCTTCTCAAAGCAGTTTTCCAGCCTCAGTAGGAGCAGGTTGGGGTCGCCGTGGATCTGGTCAAGTGTCAAGAGATGGACATTGTCCGGTAGGCTTCTCTTCAGCCAACTCGTCTAAAATATGTCCAGATGGAGGACATCATAGTGCATCATGCAAAGTAATTTTTAGTGTAATAGATAATGTTATATAATTATATTTTTAACTATTTGCCAATCTACTATAATGAGTAACAATTATTTAAGGCGTCAGTTAGCGGGATAGCACAGATCTGAGGGGTTAAGTGTCCAACTCACCTTTGACCTGCTCGCCTTGATGTCAACCCCCGACATGAAGGACAGTGTAGGGAAGTGATGCACCTGTAGCCCAAGATGGCGATAGTCCTCCGCTGCTTGGTCAATCGTGTTCAGAACTACGTAATGCTTACCTGCCAAGACACATAGCATACATTCACAGTTCTACTTGTCCGAAACATCATTTATTTAATATCACAGTACATGGGAAATATTAAATAAGAAAGATAAACCTGGTCACGTGTTTCCCATTTTTATACGGTCTCTTAATATTGACCCCCATCAAATTAGTCACAACAGTTATTTCAAAGCTTAACATTTCGGGTTGTGGTGACACAGCTATTTATTATAACATTAATGTGGAGAGCTGAAGGATCGATTGCTCCTATGTGTATATTGTGTGAAGCATACTCCCGTTCCATCTGCTCAACGTAACTGAACTTTGTTACCTTCAGGTCGTGGCATTAGACGACGACACACGTGATTGGTGGACGTCTATAGGTGTACACTGCGTCAAATGCTACACCCTCACTGTGAGGACTGGCACGCCTTACCTTGGTCCGGGGTTTAATATCATTACACTACAAAATTGTTCACCTACATAAAGGGACAATACATAATTAATAACCTCTTATTATTAGGCCCTTTCCATCTACTCCCTTCTCATCCAGCGGTTCCTCCACACCAAAATCGTCGTCCTTGAATGTTCGGCGATGTACCTAGACAAGGGGAGATAATTCAGGTGAGGCGAGGTGAAATTGGGTTTAACGTCGTGCTTGAGAATATTACGCTCATATGACGACGTGCATGCGTGTGTATGTGTATGTGCGGCTGCTTGTACTAGCCCAGACTTAAGCTGGTTTTATAGTGCTAGCCCACTGAAATACCATGCCGCAGTGAAGCATGAATACCCCATTCAGACACATTATACTGACTCCGAGCCGACCAGTCCTTGTTGTACCCATTAATGCCGAGCGCCAGGCAGGGACCAACAAGTACCATATTTTAAAGTCTTTTGGTATGACGCGGTCGGGGATCGAACCCGCGACCTTCCGCTCTCCGGGCGGACGCTCTAACCACTACACCACGGAGGCGGTAGGAGATAATTCAGATGTAAACCGAAACTATCTCAATACATTTAGGTAATCAGTAAGTTTACATACTGGGAACTAGTCGTTAATTAATGTGCTAAGTGCGTATATAACAAACAACATCTTGACAATCATGGTTTACCCAATGAATTGTTTCAAAATGGAAAAACAAACATCCTAACTTCAAATGTTTCCCCTTTGAAACATTACACTTACTCACACCTGGTGTACAAAATCTGAATTTGATATAACTACTTTAGAAATCATATGGGGTCATTTGTACTTATATACAAACGTGAAGTCTAGCTGTGTACAGTAAGGATGCTGGAAGACACGTGACCTGTTGTGTTCCCATCAGTACACTACACACGATACACACCATCAACACGATACACACCATCAGTACACTACACACGATACACACCATCAGTACACTACACACGATACACACACTATACACTACACACCATCAGTACACTACACACGATACACACCATCAGTACACTACACACGATACACACCATCAGTATACTATACACACCATCAGTACACTACACACGATACACACCATCAGTACACTACACACGATACACACCATCAGTACACTACACACGACACACACCATCAGTACACTACACACGATACACACCATCAGTACACTACACACGATACACACCATCAGTACACTACACACACCATCAGTACACTACACACGATACACACCATCAGTACACTACACACACCATCAGTACACTACACACGATACACACCATCAGTACACTACACACACCATCAGTACACTACACACGATACACATCATCAGTACACTGCACACACCATTAGTACACTACACACGATACACAACATCAGTACACTACACACACCATCAGTACACTACACACACCATCAGTACACTACACACGATACACACCATCAGTACACTACACACACCATCAGTACACTACACACACCATCAGTACACTACACACGATACACACCATCAGTACACTACACACACCATCAGTACACTACACACGATACACACCATCAGTACACTACACACACCATCAGTACACTACACACGATACACACCATCAGTACACTACACACCATCAGTACACTACACACGATACACACCATCAGTACACTACACACACACCATCAGTACACTACACACGATACACACCATCAGTACACTACACACACCATCAGTACACTACACACGATACACACCATCAGTACACTACACACACCATCAGTACACTACACACGATACACACCATCAGTACACTACACACACCATCAGTACACTACACACGATACACACCATCATTACACTACTCACGATACACACCATCAGTACACTACACACACCATCAGTACACTACACACAATACACACCATGAGTTCCATCTGTCCGTCCTGGAGACTGGACCCGGCCTGGGACCGGTCAGTGAGAACTGTCAGCTGGACATTCCTCTCATCGTCCTGGTCAAAACAGAACAAACCATACACCACTGCTCAAAAGGTGGCATGTACTCTATCTGTCACAACTGCATTATGCAAGGGTTAAAGCTCAGCATTTGAGCGTACCTTTTAGTTTGGTCCTGGTATTTTTTAGTCATTCATTATCATTGGGACGAAAACACGTCCGTTTTTTAAAACTGATAACCGCTTTGTCACGGAATGTTTTCGAGATGTTCAATGGTGTTCTGGGAAAACCACCGCTTCACTTCTGTAGCCATGTTGCACGCATATATCAATGACGCCGTGTCTGCGGTGTCTGGCAACAAGGTAGAGTAGTCCGCCTCAAGCTTCTCATATACTATAGTACGTTTGGCTCAAACGCGGACCAATGAATTGCAATCGAACTCGAAACCTAATAAACATATAATACTCAATGAAACGCTGATCATAATCAAAACACCAGACCAACTCTGCGAGTTTTTTGCAGGATTTATGTCCTAAAATTAAAAAAGTTGTTTAACAAACTATCATTAAAATGTTGAAACAGTTCATTATGTGTTACGAGGGAGGAGTGCAGAGAAAGGGACAGCCAGGTGTACGCGGGGCACGTGCACAAGTGCCGACAAAGTCATTGATTCATTTGCCTGTGCTGTGCCGTGTCCAGCCTATGTCGCACACCTGGCTGTTCCTCTCTTCACAAACAAGAGAGACAATGCGCTGTTCAAAATGTGAGTTACATGCGTTATATCCGTCCGCAGTAGATAAACAGGTGGCATCTTTGTCATTGTTAATATCTCCATGGTCAATTGTACATTGGTACAGGTGCATGTTATCAATGAGAATGGTCATGCTTACTGTGATGAATATCCGTCCTGTTACTGGGTAGTAGTTGCCTGATATTGGGCAGGTCACGTTAAAGGGGAATGGTTCCCGGACATTCAATCTGCAATAAGGAATACATAGTTACCAGGATCCCATGCAGACGTATCGGTGATAGTTACACTGACAGTCAGCACATGTACACTTTATTCACTGGCAGGTATATGTATCATCACAGTAAGAGTGTTGACAGTACTGATAGGCCATCACTTGTGTAGCTAGCGAATGAGTGAGTGAGTGAGTTTAGGTTTAAGTAATTTTAGCAATATTCCAACAATATCACGACGTGGGAGACCTGAAATGGGCTTCACACATTGTACCCAGCGTAGTTAACGACTCGAGTCTTCAAGGAAGAGGAAATGATGTACCTTCTTGTAATCATCTCCCGACCATTAGAGTCTGTGTAGAAGGTCTTCCTTGTATGCATGTTTGTCTGTAGCCGGGATATCACCTCCTTGGCCTGCCGGGCACTGAAACAATACACATATACGACCTAACGAGAAGGTAACGAACACACGTTTTATGTGGCTGTAGTTTGTGTCACTGAAGGCTGTTATTGCAAAACACATCCTTCTAAATATGGTTGTTCTCTGACAACATTTCGAGTAACATAAAATCAGAAAGAATCTTTATGATGTCATGACCCCGCGTTAAAAGGTTCTCAGGAAATGATGAAATGAAATATCTTAGACTACCTTTCTGGTATGGGTCCTACCGTCCACTCCAGTTCCAGGTATGGTGCGCCATCGTACAGTCTGACCACCTGACTGACCCATGGGCTGAACTCCTGGTGTATCTCCTGGACATTGGGGCCCTGATAACACGAACAGGAAAGCTTTAACTCCAGGACTTTATCAGGCTGATCTTACAGTTATATTCTGGTGTTTGAATCTATCATGGACCTTGGTTTGTCAACACACTAGCTGTGTTCGTTTGTTTCACCCACCGACAATGAAGTATGTCCCACTACTGGAATTCAAATGACAGCTCAACTCATTCATTTTCTCGTGTTAGATCAACATGTATCAATATAATCCATATTTTTCTGAATCGAAACACTCTGCATCACATAAAATCAAATTGACCGAACCCTTTCAATAGTAACAGGAAATTTGTGAAAAGAGTCTATGGGACGATATCCGCTATATCACAACTATGTAGTTGAAGATTGTAATTAAAAAGTGATACTCAGGTTTTCGCTGAAAAGGTTAGCATTTCCTGCACTATCCGTGGCACACGTTACAAACACATGCAAGGGCAGGCCAACGTTTACGTGTTACATTTACTAACATGGGAATCAGGCAGTTTCAGTTCATGACCCGGATGGAGACGTGTGTTTCCATTTCGTGCGGCATCTCACCTTGACCACCTTGACCTTGACCTTCCCGTCATGTCCCATCAAAGGAACTGGCGGCGTGTTTTCCTTGGGAACAAATGCATAGGCCCCGGACGCTCTCTTGTGACCCCCAAAGAAGCCCCCCATTCCTCCCCTTCTGTCCCCCGGGATTCTGGTTCCACCTTCACTCCCGATGTAATACAGAAAAGACTGTACGAAGTCTATGGTGACGTCGGTTGCGACGTTCTTTAACGACTGTGTAAGGCCTGTTGTGCCGTTGACGACAAGCGATAAATGCTGAAAATATAGAGTGTCGAGTTTCATAGGTTTGTACAAGATTTGAGAACATATTAAGAATCAAAATGTGCTTACATCATATCACTTAATAATAAAGAAACGGTTTTTTTTACTCTTCTTTATACGATATATACACTGATGAGTTATCAAGACAGGATGGGTGGAAATTTAGTATAGGAGAAGAAAGTTAAAACTATTTACAGCAGACAAAGAGAGACAGATAAAACTATATACAGCAGACAAAGAGAGACAGATAAAACTATATACAGCAGACAAAGAGAGACAGATAAAACTATATACAGCAGACAAAGAGAGACAGATAAAACTATATACAGCAGACAAAGAGATGATAAACTATATACAGCAGACAAAGAGAGACAGATAAAACTATATACAGCAGACAAAGAGAGACAGATAAAACTATTTACAGCAGACAAAGAGAGACAGATAAAACTATATACAGCAGACAAAGAGAGACAGATAAAACTATATACAGCAGACAAAGAGAGACAGATAAAACTATATACAGCAGACAAAGAGACAGATAAAACTATATACAGCAGACAAAGAGAGACAGATAAAACTATATACAGCAGACAAAGAGAGACAGATAAAACTATATACAGCAGACAAAGAGAGACAGATAAAACTATATACAGCAGACAAAGAGAGACAGATAAAACTATATACAGCAGACAAAGAGACAGATAAAACTATATACAGCAGACAAAGAGAGACAGATAAAACTATATACAGCAGACAAAGAGAGACAGATAAAAACTATATACAGCAGACAAAGAGAGACAGAGAGAAAACTATATACAGCAGACAAAGAGAGACAGATAAAAGACAGATAAAACATATACAGCAGACAAAGAGAGACAGATAAAACTATATACAGCAGACAAAGAGAGACAGATAAAACTATATACAGCAGACAAAGAGAGACAGATAAAACTATATACAGCAGACAAAGAGAGACAGATACAAACAAAGAGAGACAGATAAAAAACTATACAGCAGACAAAGAGAGACAGATAAAACTATATACAGCAGACAAAGAGAGACAGATAAAACTATATACAGCAGACAAAGAGAGACAGATAAAACTATATACAGCAGACAAAGAGAGACAGATAAAACTATATACAGCAGACAAAGAGAGACAGATAAAACTATATACAGCAGACAAAGAGAGACAGATAAAACTATATACAGCAGACAAAGAGAGACAGATAAAACTATATACAGCAGACAAAGAGAGACAGATAAAACTATATACAGCAGACAAAGAGAGACAGAGCAGACAAAAACTATATACAGCAGACAAAGAGAGACAGATAAAACTATATACAGCAGACAAAGAGAGACAGATAAAACTATATACAGCAGATATAAAGAGAGACAGAGCAGACACAGCAGACAAAAGAGACAGATAAAACTATATACAGCAGACAAAGAGAGACAGATAAAACTATATACAGCAGACAAAGAGAGACAGATAAAACTATATACAGCAGACAAAGAGAGACAGATAAAACTATATACAGCAGACAAAGAGAGACAGATAAAACTATATACAGCAGACAAAGAGAGACAGATAAAACTATATACAGCAGACAAAGAGAGACAGATAAAACTATATACAGCAGACAAAGAGAGACAGATAAAACTATATACAGCAGACAAAGAGACAGATAAAACTATTTACAGCAGACAAAAGAGAGAGATATACAGCAGACAAAGAGAGACAGATAAAACTATATACAGCAGACAAAAGAGACAGAGCAGACAGATAAGAGAGATAAAACTATATACAGCAGACAAAGAGAGACAGATAAAACTATACAGCAGACAAAGAGAGACAGATAAACTATATACAGCAGACAAAGAGAGACAGATAAAACTATATACAGCAGACAAAGAGAGACAGACAAAGATAAAACTATAGAGACAGACAAAGCAGACAAAGAGAGACAGATAAAACTATATACAGCAGACAAAGAGAGACAGATAAAACTATATACAGCAGACAAAGCAGACAAAGAGAGACAGATACAGCAGACAAAGAAACTATATACAGCAGACAAAAGAGAGATAGAAACTATATACAGATAAAACCATTTACAGCAGACAAAGAGAGACAGATAAAACTATATACAGCAGACAAAGAGAGACAGATAAAACTATATACAGCAGACAAAGAGAGACAGATAAAACTATATACAGCAGACAAAGAGAGACAGATAAAACTATATACAGCAGACAAAAGAGACAGATACAGCAGACAAAGAGACAGATAAAACTATACAGCAGACAAAGAGAGACAGATACAGCAGACTAAAACTATACAGCAGAGACAGACAGATAAAACTATATACAGCAGACAAAGAGAGACAGATAAAACAGATATATACAGCAGCAGACAAAGAGAGACAGATAAAACTATATACAGCAGACAAAGAGAGAGATAAAACTATATACAGCAGACAAAGAGAGACAGATAAAACTATATACAGCAGACAAAGAGAGACAGATAAAACTATATACAGCAGACAAAGAGAGACAGATAAAACTATATACAGCAGACAAAGAGAGACAGATAAAACTATATACAGCAGACGATAAAGAGAGACAAAACTATATACAGCAGACAAAGAGAGACAGATAAAACTATATACAGCAGACAAAGAGAGACAGATCAAACTATATACAGCAGACAAAGAGAGACAGATAAAACTATATACAGCAGACAAAGAGAGACAGATAAAACTATATACAGCAGACAAAGAGAGCAGAAACTAAGAGAGACAGATAACAGATAAAACTATATACAGCAGACAAAGAGAGACAGATAAAACTATATACAGCAGACAAAGAGAGACAGATAAAACTATATACAGCAGACAAAGAGAAAGACAGACAGATCAAACTATATACAGCAGACAAAGAGAGACAGATAAAACTATATACAGCAGACAAAGAGAGACAGATAAACATAGACAAGACGGAAAAAGTGGGATTTTAGAGAAGATTTATGTGAGTCCAAAGGTTAAGCATTTTGGGAAGGTTGTTTCAGAGACTGGCGGCTGCGTGTTGGAATGATCTTTTCCCATAGGATGAGAGTCGAAATTAGGCATGACAACTAGCTGGTGATTTGGGATCGTAATGGTCGGGTTGGGTTGTACTGACTGAGAAGACTGGAGAGGTATTCAGGTGTTTGTCCATGTTGAGATTTGAAAGTGATACTTAGAATATTGACGTTAATCCGGAATTTGACAGACAACTAGTGTAGAGACATCAGTGAAGGTGTGATAGGATCTTCCCTGGACTTGAGGCAGACGATGCGAGCTGCTGAGGTCTGTAGTTTTTTAAGTTTCTGAAGTTGAGTTGAACTGATGCCAAAGTGCGGACTGTCACAATAGTCGAGTCGAGAGGGTATAAGGGATCGCACCAAGGAATGAGCACATTCTGTTGTGATGAGGTTTCTAATGGAGCTGATGGCTCAAAGATAATAGTGACTGTTCTTGTAAAGATGGTTGACTTGCAATTTCAAAGACAAACTAGCATCAAGATATACACGCGTGAGTGTGCTTGCTCACTTAACCTATCCATATTACTTACTGGCGACAAGCCAACCAGTCCGTGTTTTGTTATAACGCCGATCAGGCTGGGTAACAACAACTAACACCACTTTGTTTGACAGTCGATTGTCTCAAATCAAGCTTCGAATGAAGAATGAGTGTACACATGTTAATCTAAAGTCATGGGGACCATGCTTTCAGAGTCGTTCGGGACACGTGGAGTGTCAATATTAAATGTTAGAGCTGGTAAGTATTCTACCGGAGCGATCCGAGCGCACGGAGATCGACTAGAAGTACATTGATTGCAATCTTTCTGTATGACAGCCCAAGGATTGGATATAGAGACACATATGGTATACACGATGTTTCATGCATTAACCCTCATGTGCACACAGTTTGATGATGCAACTGGACATGACACACACCTGATTCCCAATGGTAATGTCGCCCTGACCTGCCGGATCTTCTGACTGGGGCTGGGAATTCAAACCTAGAAAACAAGGTCCTTGTGATAGTGGTGCCTCTGGTAAATATCCACACATACGTCAGTGTGAAATCTGACATAAACAATACATTTTCTAAAGCTAAACAGCAGTCGCCAGCTTTTATGACCTTTACTGGATTTGATAAAACACAGCAATTCTTAATTCGTGGTTATATCAAATGGTTTGAGGAACTTTGCGACTACTGCAACATACCGCCAGCCTTCCTGATGTAGTAGACGCTGTAGCCGAGAGTGGGGAGTGCGGCCTTGAACACCAGCTCCGCCACACTGCTGGACGAACCTCGTTCTGGAATGTGTTTTGTGGACTCCGGTATGGGCACAAGCTGCTTCACAACAATAAATGATGACAAACACCAGCAGCATGTGTGAATATGTTGCAATGTCTTAGCAATATGGGGTTCATCTGAGTCCAGTGCAAGATGCTGAAGTCAAGGGTCTGAATGGACTGCAAACGTTCACGTAATGTCTTGAAATTGTGCTGAGGTATTCATTGATGGTCAAGATATTGTACACAAAAAATGTTTTTGATCCGCTTATGTCCATTTCTGTAATGGTTTGATTACAGTGCCTATCTAATTTGGAATTCGTACTGACGTTTTGTTGCTGCTGAGTATAGAGTATTGTATGTTTGTGGAATCGAAACCGGGTTTCAAATGAAAAGGCTTGAACTGCCAAACTCAACTGCCCCTGACATTTGTGGAAAACATACATGTAGAAAATAACTTTAACGAGCCGACCGTGCATCTATAAATACCTAGAAAAGACTGTCTATGAATTAAATTGGACATACCACCTGGAGCTAGTGTTGCCTTACATTATCGGAACGTATCATGCACTTGTCTGGTACAGTATACATGACTGTGTTTGTCATCACGAGGAATATACATATATTCCTGTGCAGAGTTGCGTCACTTGGAGGTGTCAGGATCCAGTGTTTCAGTGGTACCACGGTACGATGATTTTGTGTTGGATCTTCCTTACACTGAGATGCAGTTATATCATTTCAGCTACTGTTCGAGCCTAAGTGTGAGCCTAACTAACTTACTTACAAATGTTCTAAGTCAGAGGCGCGATCCGCGAGTGCCCATGTGAATAAATATCTACTGGGCAAGTTGACATTAAGAAAATAGAAGGAGCCGCGATAGAATCCATTCGCCAGGACAGTTTTTCCCCTTTGATCTAAGTGTAAAGGGCTGGGAATACGCTACCCTGACACTAACATAACTAACATCGAGAATGGAGCAGATCAGTGAAGTTATAAACTACAAAATGTTTCTTGATATATATCGGTTTCTCATAATACTACTTACTGGATGAGAAATAAATTCTATAACAGCAAATGAAATTACCTGAGTTTTCACGTTTCCTCCATCAGGGGAAGCAACTGTGTAGACCGCCACCGGAACCGGAAGTCGAACCCAGTGTGTGACGTTCCAGCCTAGAGGGTTGAAGACCTGCACTGTAAACTAGGTGAGAAGGGAAGTAAAGCGTTAAAGTGGAATGCACATTCTGTATATATGATGTGTAGCTGGCGAAGTAATAGAATGTAATACAAGTTGTCTGTTTGGCCACTGGTAGAGATAGGAACGTCCTTGTATTTGATTTAATCCCAATCTATAACAAATGTAGCCATCTACATATGTACTGGTAGCATAGACATTAGAGTACGTTTAGGTTTGTTTGGTTTTAATTTAAGTATTTCTATCCATCAATCGTCATTATACTGGTGTTTGCTGACGGTGTTGTAATACTTGCATGCAGCGTTCAAGTCACTATATAACTGACATATGACACGTAACACTAAGTCCCACACGCCCACAGGTGACACCTCACCTCAGTATGATTTTCCGTCAGCCCGCACGCGCTGATATTGAGCAGTGGACAGAAGTGGACAGGGCTGGACACCTTCAGTAGTGACTGGTAGGCCCTCGATACCACGGACTGAAGTCATAAAGGCAGACAGTACATTAAACATGGTATACAACACCTGCCCCGATAACGTTAACATGTTACAATGGTTTCTTTTAATCTAGTTTTAATGATGATCTATTGAGGAACAGAGTTATCCCACTTGTCGAATTCGTGTATAATGTCACTCGTTCTTTCGTCAACGTCCTTAGACCTGGGGTACTCCTACTTGACACCTCGGGTACTCCTACCTCACACCCCGGGTACTTCTACTGACATCTCGGGTACTCCTACCTCACACCTCGGACAGTCCTACCTGACACCTCATGCACTCCTACCGCGGGTACTCCTAACTGACACCTCGGGCACTCCTACCTGACACCTCGGGTACTCCTACCTGACACCTCGGGCACTCATACCTGACACCTCGGGCACTCCTACCTGACACCTCGGGCACTCCTACCTGACACCTCGGGCACTCCTACCCTGACACCTCGGGCACTCCTACCTGACACCTCGGGCGCTCCTACCTGACACCTCGGGCACTCCTACCTGACACCTCGGGTACTCCTACCTGACACCTCGGGCACTCCTACCTGACACCTCGGGCACTCCTACCTGACACCTCGGGCACTCCTACCTCATACCACGGGCGCTCCTACCTGACACCTCGGGCACTCCTACCTGACACCTCGGGCACTCCTACCTGACACCTCGGGCACTCCTACCTGATACCTCGGGCACTCCTACCTGACACGACTGTTCACCAGCACTCAGCATCAGGTTGTAGTCATTTGTTACGTGCTGCTGCTCGGTCCCTCTGCAATACATTCAAAGTTTGTCGAAGTAAGTGAACGTTATTTTACGCCGAGGTAGTTTAGCTACATAACGGCATCCCTTTACGAATGAAGTCGGGAACAGACAAAGCTATGGCTGAAAGTATGAACATTGAAAACCTCATCTTCTGCCACGACAGAGCTATACAAACAGTCCAGGGCAGACTAGCATGAAGTAATCAACAGTGCCTTTCCCGTACGCAGGGAACACAACTGATTTGTCCTCATGTTTCTATACACAAATACATAGATTGGGACCTCGGATGCATCTGAATTAATTCGTTGGCCGTTCATTCTATTCCCTTCAGCAACCAAGATGTATGCGTGTCTCACAAACGCAGTGAACGTCTTAGACATGCGTCTATTCTATCTCCTATATCTGACGTGATATAAATCAAATATTGGTCAGTATGGCGATAAACCCAACTGACAACCTCTTCACGGTGACGTGAGTGAGTTCAAGGTTATCATGGGTAGTAGAGGGATAAGTTTACAATTCCTCGCTGTAGAATATTCTCTGGAGTCAGCAACTTACGTTATGGCGTCGTGGTGTTGGAGGATCCCCACAGCCTCCTCTGAAAGGTCGTACATTTACCATTTAAATGCACATGAAGAATGTAATGTAATTGATTACCTTGAATTATAACGTATAAAGTATGTTTTAGAAATATAATCACTGTGAAATATGAAATAGCATCTCCCCAGGTTTTGCAACACCAACAGTGTATGGTTCACTGGACATGAAGGACACTCTATAGAGAGTGTTGTGTGTCCAAAATAGAGGTTAGTCTCCTCCTTTCAGAGAAAGATATTAATGTACATATTACAGAGGAATGAGATGTTGGTCCCTCAGAAAACAGCTCGTTTTCATGGGCTACGAGTATCGTTTGCGAACTTGACGTATGGTCCGTGCACTATATATCGCAGTGTGGTAATATCACCACATGTCGGGCGACGGACAAACGGATCCAGTGGCTGGATATTCCAGGTAACGAGAATGGTAGAGTACTGTCGGAAAAAGAAAAAAAACCCTGTTTCTTCGCATTTATATCTAAAATTTATGTAGTTAATATGTGAAAATGTGAAATATCTGTAAAGCTAAGTTGGGCCTAACTACAGGCTCAGTGGTAGGGAACTAGGAAACGTAAAAAGAGGCCTGTACTCAGGATAGATTAGTGCAGAAATGAGCAATGCAGTTTTTTTTCCAAGTCGAAAGCGACTTATTTGGAACAGACCATTGCTTTGTGCAAATTAGTGTGCGATGATATTGTATTACCCAGGAAACTTTTTAAATGCCCATGTTGAAATTAAAATAAGCTTCATTATAAACGAGAGCTTACGTAAAAAATAATAACTTTAAGACTGAAACTATTAGGGATGCAGCTACCAAGGAGTCTCGCTATCACTATAAAAAGAAACAGGTATGAGGGGTCGTCTCAAAGCTAAACCAGGACGGGTGTCGCAGACGGTGGTGGGGGTCGGGCTAGGGGATAGAGATATAAGCTGAGATAAGATAATCCTTTATAATAGGGGAATTAAACTGGGGAAATAAACGGCATGTCCTAACAATTTACAAATAATATCCAGTCTTGCCGATCTGTTGGTGGTCAGGGGCGGTGGGGTAGCGTAGTGGTTAACGCGTTCGTTCGTCACGCCGAAGACCCGTGTTCGATTCCCCAAATGGGGACAATATGTGAAGCCCATTTCTGGTGTCCCCCGCCGTGATATAGCTGGAATATTGCTAAAAGCGGCGTAAAACTAAACTCACTCACTCACACTGGTGGTCATTTCACCTATATATTTTTTAGACATTTAATACGATGGCTAATCTATGGGTATCATACTCTCTTACATATCTCAACATAAACTTTATGAAAGAAAGACACGTAAGATGTTAATCAACAGATGAGACATATACAACGCACATGAAAAAGCATAAAATATCTTTCAGACGACCCCTTGTGCCTGTACGCAGCATATGCATTTCATGCCAGGTGAGTCGACGGTCTGTCGTCATACCTGGCTGAGCGACCTAATTGCCATCTATAGTCTGATCTATTGTTTTCAGCAGCTATTCGTACTTTTTCTAAGTTTTTCCCTATGTTACGAGTAAACATGCTTTTCTGGAAGTCCTGTTACGCATCCTACTGAACGCTCAGTTAGGCCGATGTGGGTTATTTCGACATATGCTATTTGCCTAAAACAGTTGTTTTTCTATTTCCGACAGTACTTTAGTGATGTGGGAGTTCTTGCTAACGTCTCACACTTACTGAGATCAGAAACACCGCGAACAGCATCCTTCAACTCGGCAACAACAGCCAGCATTTTGCAGGTCTGAAAGTAGATGCAGTAACTTCTGTATTCTGGAAAGATGGAATTCTGAGCCAGATACCACGAGAGGCAACCGTGGAAAAAAATGCAAATGATTGGTATAGAGGGTAAATTTCTTAATCTTGTTAAATCAATGTATAACAATATCAAATCACTTGTACAATGTAATAATGATGTATCAAACTACTTCTCATGTAACAATGGCGTCAGACAGGGAGAGAATTTGTCACCATTACTATTCTCCATTTTCATAAATGATATTAAATCTCATTTACTTACTTCAGACTGTAATGGTGTAAATCTAAACTATATTGAAGACGATGATATGGTGATATTTGTAAAGTTGTTAGTTTTATTATATGCAGATGATACAATATTATTTGATGAATCGCCAGGGGGACTACAAGATGCTTTGAACTCATTTAAGGACTTGTGATTCATGGAAGCTAAATGTGAATAGAAACAAAACTAACATAGTAATATTCGGGGGAGGACCATCAACAAGCACAAAAATTAAATTTTATTTGGATAGTAAATTACTTGAAATAGTTGATAGTTATACCTACCTCGGTATAACGCTCCACAGAAATAGAAAGCTACTGCTTACAGTTTTAATACTTGATAGAGTGCTTCAAAAGCAATGTATACATAGTTTAGTGAAAAAAGCTAGAAAATTAGACTTGCCTTTAGACTGTTTATTGTTAGCATTTGACTTAATGATAATACCTATCTTGACCTATGGTGCAGAAGTCTGGTCTTTCGAAAACCTTGAAATTTCTGAGTAAATTCATTTAAAATTCTTAAGACTCATTACAGGATTAAGAAATTCAAACCCTCGTTTTATGCTTTATGGAGAACTAAGAAGATACCCCATTAGAATTATGATATATAAACGTTTATAAACACAAGTTTGGCACAAGTTAACTTACCAAGATGGTGTTTTTAAACTTACCAACTTAACTTACAATTATTTATCACTTCAAAGAACAATAAATAAATAAGATAATCCCTGGCTCTCGCACATTAATAATATATTAGACAATACTGGACTGTCGTATGTTTTTTGGAAAATCCCTCAATTTGTACAACCCAGTGGCTGGTCTCAAAAGTTGAACATATTCTTAAAGATCAATTTATCCAAAACTGGCACAATGACATTATTTCTAGTCCCAAGGGAATTTACTATCAGCACCTAATTTTGACGTATATCTCCTTCTTCCAAAACGTATTTCTTTACCATTATTGAGATTTAGAACATGTCACCATAGTTTACCTATTGAGACGGGCCGCTGGTGTAATATTCCAAGGGACGAGAGAACATGTCAACTATGCACTTGTAAAAGCATCGCAGATGGATATTTCTATTTTTATATATGTTTACATAATATGCTCTTGTACCACCAAGGAGGTTTATGAGAATAAAGGATTGATTGATTGATTGGAAACACATAGAACGATATACGTTCTACCCCCAACATGTTAACGGGTAATCCTGATACAAAGGAAAGACGTTGTCGGGATGGAGAGTTCGGAATAACGAGGGTTTGGTGTTGAAAATTATTTCAAGGTAGGAAGTTCTGTTTTTAGTAAATGCACATTCATGAGCTGTCGCACAGAATTCACTTTGTATTCATTTAAATCGCTGCTCCATGCGTTATTAATAGCTTCGATGCCAGCTGGTGCAATAGTTGTACGTTCTGAATGACGATATTCATAGTCATAGTTTTATTGTTCATCTTGTTATAGCTCTATCTTAGCCTACAAACAGATTCATAGCCCATATAGAACGTATCTGTGAGATGTTAAATCATGTGTTCCATGTAGGCGGGAAATAGTCCCTCTTGGCTAATGATAAAATAGGTTTTCCAACCAACACACCATACAGACAAGGGCCGATATTTAAAGGGGCTGAGGAATACCCTCATTTTAATGAATACCTGCAACAAACTGCTGGCCACTTTCACATGGCGCTTGAGTCCGGGTCTGCTGGTGAAGAAGCCGGTCCAGTAGGTGTTGGGGATAATACCGTAGGGGAAGAAGTCGGTCGACATCGTCTCAAACGTTGCCGCTTCTCTGTTGACGCTGTTGATGTAGCAGGTCGGTGTGGAGTAGAGGACGTTCACCTTGCTGCCGGTATTTTGCTGATGACAAATGATGGAAATTAATTATATCGGTCTATGTAGACTGTAAGTGTGCAATCACACAAAAGCACAACTAGTTAGTATTACATGCACATATGTTTGTGTTAATGGGTTATCTTGGAGACGCTATACCTTCAAGGTCAAGTATTGAACGTGATGACATCCTTAAAACATACTTAGAGACCCAGATGTCGACATCAGGGTTAGGATCTAGCTAACCATGCTTGTCGTGAGAGACGAGGAACGAGGTCGACTTGTCAGGTTAGCTAATTTGTTATTGCATCTTATTGTATCCACCTGCCTGTCAAGATTGGTGCTGGTGGTGTCAATTGTTGGAGTGTCCGGCCCAGGCTATTTACAGGCCGCCGTCATACAACTGGAGCATTGCTGAATACAACAACACACAAACATGACTACAATGTGCAGATATTCAAATGAAAGCAATTACCTTTCCATTGATATGTTTGATCAGATTGTCGATGACGTCGTAGAGCGAGGATGCGCTGTTAAAGGCAAAGTCTCCGCCGAAGGGTATCAGCACATGCTGTGTCTTGAACGCTTTGGCCTGCGGAAAATGATCACAAGTACATGACATAGATCGGCTATTGTCCTTCTTGAAGGACGGTTTAGTTTTAATATAGAACAAACTTTATGGATAACAACTTCTAAAGTTTGTTCTATATTGTACTTCACAAATTCTAAACAGCCACTCAAAGAAGTTAACGGTTTAGGTTTCTTTGCATTTCCTCAACCAAAAACAGCTATGAAGGTCTCACATATATAAACCCTGAGTATTTATGTCCTACAATGCATCTATTGACTGCTGGATAGTTGTAGAATAATCTCTAAATATGGCTATATCATCTACAAGAAGTAAGAACTGATTGGAACACTGTACATTAACTCCTCTGCATCAAAGATTTCATATCATGAAGTAATAGAGAAGAGCAAAGCTCACAGATAGTCTTCATGCCTTACTCCCGATCCCTTGGGGTAAAATACTGTAATAATATACTGAACATCTTTGAAAACGCACCAGCCTAAAATTTTTCATGTTTTCATCAAAATGGATTTCAGCATGACAAAGATCAATGAATATAACTAACATGAAGTCGAAGGGCATGTCCAGTTGAAAAGATGCTTTAGAAACAAATTCCTGTCCACATTATGACTCTTAATTCCAAAATGCATCAACATGCAGCCACGCCATGAAAAAGCGCGAATTTCATTCTGAAATTATGCTGACTGTGACATTCAAAGCAGGTGTATGAGAACCGATTCTCATTGCTTCACTAACGATTGTGAAACGAGGACAGAGATTCCGAGGTTAACACCTCACGAAACGAAAGGGAACGTGCACTAGGCATGATTCATGTTGGCACCAGCAGCAGGGATATTGCTCGACAACTTGGACTTGGCCACTCCACCACCGTTAGGCTTCATAGACGACATCAGTAGACAGTCAGCACCCATGACCTTCAATGACATTGGCAACAACGTGTTACGACGCTCCATCAGGCTCGCCATATTGACCTTGTCCATATCAGTGATTGAACACTGGCGACTGGCGACTGGCGACTGCCAGGGCTGCTGCACCAGTTCAAGGTTGACGTGAGGGTCATCAGCGCTGACTCCATGCGACGCCGTCTACACGCTACAGGGCTCCATGCTCGACGTCCAATTCCAACGTCCAAATGGGCTAGCAGGCATTTTTAGTAAAGGTTACAACAATGGCATGGTGTGGTAGTCACTGACGAGTCACGTCTTCATCTACGTTATGCTGACGGCCGATTACGTGTTTGGCGTAGACGTGGTGAACGTTATGCTGATGAGTGTATGGTTCAGACATACCTTTGGGTGGTGGGAGTGTCATGGTCTGGGGTGGAACAAATTACAAACAATCACAGGACTGCCTTCATGCCTACTTTTCAACAGGACAACGCACGGGCACACACAACAAGTCTTTCCATGCAGTATCTGGCCCAACAACACATCCAGGTTATTCATTGGCCAGCACAGTCGCCAGATGTATCCCCCATGGAGCACTTGTAGTTCGAAATTGGTCAAAGTCTTTCGCGGCGACAACAGATGCGAAACATCCGGGAACTTGAGGCTGCACTACTGCAGAAGTGGAATGCCATCCTCAAGAACTCTATTCGGACGCTTATTGACTCAATGAGGAGACGTTGAACTGCATGTGTCAATGCAAATGGCGGTCACACGCGATATTGACTTTTCGATTTGACCCCACGTGTGTTTGATCCTTTCTGACTGGAACATTTCAATGAATGAGCGTCTTTTCTGTGTTGTTGTTTTTGTCAGTCGTCCATCTGTTATTATCCACTCAAAAATATCGATTCCTTACACGTGCTTTTAATAATCTGAACTTTTATAAGTGGTGCGTTTTCGATGATGTTCAGTATATTATTGAAAAGTACACACGAATTAATGTTATCGTACATATTTTGCATCAATGTAAAGAATTTACCTGACAATGTTCAACCACTATTTAATAATTGATACAAGAGCCCAGCTCTCCACATGTTATCAAATGCTTTAATAAAGTCTAAAAAGGAACAATGGAGTTCTCTTTATTATTCAATATCCTGGTTAGTAGTGTTCTGCATTTAGTAGTTGGACGAACATGAATACATGACACATTTTATGAATAACAACTTCTTTTAATATTCTTTATACGACGTTTCAGAGCTACTTCTTGCTCCTTCATCAGGTGACTATTCTACTAAGCCTCAGAGATAACAAGATAATTCGAAAAGGCCTTCGTTTGATGTCACCTGTCCAACCATGCAACAGTGACATAATTGAAGTACTACATCCGGCAAGCACCACACGACTAATTAAGATCCTGCTGCAGCAACCTAGGAGTCACAAAGTCCATGTACAGTACACCTTGGACCACAAAAACACCCTGCTGAAGGAAATCCTGTTACCACCTGTCTACGACAAGATCCAAAAGTTATCCTAGAGAAACGCCCCATATATCCAGGAAACTGCTAGCTAAAGCCTTATATTTATACCAACATCCACCAAGAGGAAAACAGATGAATTTATCCCTGAAACAGAATAGACACCAAATGGCAACGTAGACTATCTCAGCCAAAAAACATCTCCATATTAAAGAATCCCACCAAGACACATCACAACCTCAACCACGATGAGACCAAGTCCATGTAGCAGAATTAAAGCACGATGAGACCATCACAGAGCTGTTGTCATCATGGACACAGAGGAATTCATGAAGCTCTTTAACACGTTCGTAGACAATCAAGTCAAAAAACCAGTCCCATCACCCATCCTCGTCAGCATCCCAAACCAGGAACCTACCAGGAACCTACCAGGCACCAGATCAGCAGACTACTCACCAGAACAGCCCAAACAGACGTCATCTTCACTTCTGACAGAACACTCAAAACATGTTACATGCAAATGGGAAAGGTCTCACTCAGTCCACCCCAAACCCCAGAAAATGTCTGTATGAAATATTATGCAACTGTGAAGACAAATAAACGGAATATATATCACGCCCCATAGCCACCAGATTATAAAAAACCAGAAGACCGCTGTTGAAACATCTGACATAAAATCTGCCCTTTCGGAACACTTCATCAAAAATCATGACCATCATATTTCCTGGCAACAAGATTCTGCATACCATCATCAACCACTGAAAAAGAGGAACTTCAAGAAAGCATTGAAATCCACAGGATGAAGCCAGCCATTAACCGAGACCAAGTCATCTACCTTCCCAGTGTGTACTCAGTTGTGCTATAATCACTGGTTTCATCTTACCGTTACTGATAATCACATTGGGTTCGTCTTTACATTGTTATCTTTGTACAATATTCCCATCTAATTGGCTTCGTGATTATATTGTTATCTTTTGGCACTCTCCCACCTTGCATTGTGTAAACATTCTCCCACCCTGAATTGTTTAAACACGTGCCCTACATATATTTTAACTCTGTGCACTGTCTCAGCATTCACCAGATGAAGGAGCAAGAATTAGCTCTGAAACGTCGTATAAAGAATAAAAAGAAGTTGTTATCTTGATGTCAGTAGATTGTAGAAAATTGTTATTACTGGATGCTGTCTGAACTGGCGATAATAGTTTATTTATTTCCAAGAAGTCATTCGTATCTATTACAGAAGTAAAACAATATCAAAACAGGTTACCAGGTGTGGATAATGGCCTGTAGGAGTCTAAGTCCACAGCATTTCTATAGGGTTTGATGCTCCTATATAACCATGACTGGGAGTAATCCAGTCCAGATAGCACGATTAAGAGATCAACATAAACTGATCCAGAGATGTTAAAAGAATCCGTGGTATAGTCACCTTCCAAACTGTCGACCTCCTGGGTTTCAGTGCACCCGTAATTCGTTAATAATTATGAGTTCACATACCCGCTTTGATGCCATCTTAACAAATTCCTCAGCCGTCTTGTCCTTTCGTCTGTCCTGCAATGGGAAACAATAATGTCATGCAATCCACAGTTAAACACCATCATCCCATCAGAAGCAACAGTGATGTATTCACAAGGAACCAGTTATTTCTTTGGAGTTGATGGTGACGGAGAGAAAATTCACACGAAAACCTTTAGAAGTTATGAACGATGCTCCTCAATTCTTTTTAACGGTTTGACGTTAAACATATGGTGTTCTCTCCTCCTTAACGAAAATCAAATAATCGGACGGGGCTATTATCCGTGTTTATCATTGGTTTTATGCACAACTATGTACAGCTAATTGAGGCGATTTCAGCAGTTACGTAGAAGTAACGTAAGTTTAGTTGGAGTTGTAGAACTAACAGTAGCAGTTGTAGTAGTAGTAGTGGTTACTGCAGTATTACGTGTAGTGGTAGCCAAAGCTGTAGTGGCGGTAGGTGTTGTATTTGTACAAGAAGAAGTAGTAGAAGCAGCTGTAGCTCTTGGCATGTTTTGTGGACGCGACTGTAGTAGTAGTAGTAGTAGTAGTAGTAGTAGTAGTAGTAGTAGTAGTGGGTGCAACTGTAGTGGTAATTGTACATAGTGTTTCTGAGGTTGTAGTTGTAGAGGTGGTAGTAGTTGATAGTTATGACGACAGCACCAAAGTTCAGTGGCAATGGTGGTAGCAACGAATTGGTGTCATTCTCAGTATTCCATCAGCGGTGTAAGCAATATCGCACCGACATTGAAACGATACTCCCGTAGAGTGAGTGAGTGAGTGAGTTTTACGCTGCTTTAAGCAATATTCCAGCTATATCACGGCGGGGGACACCAGAAATGGGCTTCACACATTGTACCCATGTGGGGAATCGAACCCGGGTCTTCGGCGTGACGAGCCAACGCTTTAACCACTTGACTACCCCACCGCCCCATACTCCCACAGAGAACAACCGAATCGATTATAATTGTTCACATAACATTCACATAGCAGCGTATTCAACTAACTAGCTGGTCTAATATATCTGTCAAGAATGCACGTTGCAGTACGTACATCCATTATACCGTAGTAGGAGCCGGGGCTGAAGTAGCCGTCGTACAGGACGCTGGTGAAGAGGTCCGTCTTGTCACCTGGACACAAACCGAGACACACACTCATGAACACAGGTATGCAGTTATATTGTATTCTGTCACACATTCGTCAATAAAAGTGTCAGTTTCACTACAGGAAGTGTTTGCCGCACGGGCCTCTGACATGAGAATAAGCTGAAGTGTCACATTACACAGTATAAAAGCTAACCAACCGAGGTTATCAGGACTTGTCTTCCATATGGTCTCCATGTTCTGTGTGCTTGTTCTCCGGGCGTGGTCCCAGACGTCGATCCTCCCCACCAGCAGGCCATCAAAGCCAAACTGTGAAGGACATGATCATGACAATGTCGGCTGTCTGCTACAGAGATTACATTATTACTACATTATTTACGTGCTGTCTTCTCACTAGCTTACCGTGCAATCATGTCTATTTCAGGCCACACAGCCAAGAGATAGTCGAAAGATATTAAAGTCACCTGTGTTACAACTTTATCACTTTTGTGACAGTTTTCATGAATATACTCATATTTGCAAACGTAATTCTACCTTTATAATATTTATGTAATGAGGTGAGAACTCAATATCTGAAGACAGGTATCTCTGTAAAACAATCCTTTGTTTCAATTAGTTCTCTCCCACTGTATGTATCGGTGGAAATGAATATACTGTCACGTGAATATATTTCTGTTAACGGTAAACACATTTAGTCTTTCTCACAGTCCCGTATCATATTGCCTTCCACCAACCTTTTACTGACTTCCTATACATCTGAATGTTTCAAGTCCAGATTGATAAAGGGTTCATGTTCTGAATCTCCTATCTCACGGAGGATTCATTTCAATAAGTCTAGTCGTTTGCTTCTATCAAAATGATATATGTTCAGAGAATAAGCCGTGGTATAGCAAATACACCATTTCATATATTGGATGTCATGGGCGATGTGATATGAGGACAATAGGGAAAGAGATGACTCTTGTAGATTGGAAAGATGAAATGTAAATGTCGATAATTTCCTCGGGTTATGATCTGATTCTACGGTTACCTGTGCAAATAATGCCGAGTGTTCCCTCGAGTGGCCAAACTGGTCTACATGCCACGCACTTTTCGGCATAGCACACTCGCCGAACTGCCGTTCTATCCACTGAAACCCATGGGTGTGTTGGTCGATGACGTCGTCGTAGTACGTCGTGGCGGAGTCGCTCATGCACCATCCACCTATTATCAGCTCCAATCTTCCTGATGTAACAAACATATAAACATAGTATTGTTGATGACACAGGTGAAAGCGTGCAAGCATAGACAGAAGCAATTCTTATTTGGCTTGAACTCGAACTACCCAATTACCCACTGTTGGCAAAACCTTCTTCGAATCCGTTAAGCAGAAAACAGAACATAACTATGAACAGCGCTTCAAGCCAAGGGATTACTATGACACCAATCCATTACGTCAACAAACCTGGCCATGTAATCCACTTTTCGTCTCATTCAAGTTCAGCCAGCTGGGAAACTATATTGTACCGGCATACACCTTTTGACGGCCCATGTACAAGTGCCAGAAACAATGCATGCATGTGGCTGCTGTATGCTGTTATATGTAAAACGATGGCGCAAGGCCAGTAGTGCTTACGTTCCCTGATGAGCTTCCTGACCTCCTCCTGCCTGTGCTTGTCCTGCTCGTGGAACCACAGAGAGAAGAACGCCATCTCCACAAAGATGAAGCGGCGACTTGGGTTTTTCAGCAGCTCGGGGATAACAGAGTTGAGGATACAGCGAGTACACTCTCCGCCGTGATATTGGGTCTCCTCTGGAAGGTACGCCAGAATTACAGCAGACACTCATCTTACCAATTATTTCTGGGTGTCTCAGTGTAGTGTTTTTACATATCCAAGCTGGATGGTTATTGGCAATGCTTTCGTGTACATCAGTGCTGAAGTGTCATACAATAAAACCGATCCGCACAGAATTCCTTACAGCAAAGTATTTTATGGCAGTTTATAATGTTTCAACTCAGTATTTGGTATAAAGAATATACTTTAATAGAAACCTGTCCAACTCCAGCTCTACACTTGATCCTATTTCATAAGTAACTGCATTATTCGTCGCATTAAAACCTGTCTTATGGATATAGATTAAATGCTTGAATAACACGAGGAAGTATATTTGGGACTTGCGACATCCAAACCTCGGCAAGAAACAACCGTTCACTTGATACTTCTGATCATTTGCCATGTCGTGATACAAGAGATGCATCATGAGCTCTTTCATCATCATCTGTAGGACTGACATCAACCGACGTATCAGGATGCACATACCAAAGTCACCAGACTTCCCGTTGTAATACTGCATGTACGTCTTTTTCCAGCCGACGTCGTCGTGGGAGTGGGCGACGATGTGGATATTTAGCATGCCGTCCTTCGTCGGGTTACATTTCTGCGCATAGAATATGCAGCTAGAGTTAGGCTGATTGAAGACCAAATCTTGGAAGAGTAGCTCTGATAGATTCCCAATCACATATCATTTACAAAGTACGTTGTATCTTGTTGTGTCTCAGCAGCTACACATATGGCATGTTAAGGTATCAGTAGATAAATCGATGTCGGATACAGTTTCATTATATAATCTGTCCTAACCGGCAATGCGTATTCAAATTATCAATGTTGTGACAAATCTTGTTACCACGTGACTTCAGCGTACATGACATGGTCCATGTAAATCATTATTGTTTCGATTTACAAACTGAACAGATGGCCATAAAGCATTGTGAATTGCTAGCTTAACTAGTGTCGTGTCACATAGTAGTTATATACCACCGATATATGTGGATGTAAGTCTGCCGTCACTCACCGTACTGTCACACGTGCCGGACAGCTGTGGGGGGTGACGAGGACCCTCGCTCGCGTTCCGTATACCCTCTCGTGATTCTGGACGTTTGGGGGAGGGTTTCTCTTCCTCTTTCTGCACTTCCATTCCTTTTTTCACTTCGTACATCCTCAGTTTGTACTGCATGTCGTGTTGAACCGGTTGTCGAGGGATGTTTTCTACCATCTCATCATGTCCTGCCACTAAGACATGGCCTGGCCGGGCCCTCGCTCTCTTCTCCCCAGTGATCACCGAGTCGACCCCCAGACCGGCTCCTCTTAATGCCTGTTGCTGTAGATGTTGTATTGGGGTGTAGCTGTTGCTACCAAAGTAGATGTAGGATATGAGCAGCGACACGGGGACCAGTATGACAATCATATGTAGACATTTCCGTCTGCGGTAGCACACCAGCCTCAGGACTCCCATCACTGTGGTAACATAGTAGTGGTAGTAGTAGTAGTAGTAGTAGTAGTAGTAGTAGTAGTAGTAGTAGTAGTAGTAGTAGTAGTAGTATCAGTAATAAAGCAAAAGCACAGAAATACATTATAAGCCAACCTACAGACATTATAACCCCGGCCAACAAGTCAGGATACCTACAGACATTATAACCCCGGCCAACAAGTCAGGATACCTACAGACATTATAACCCCGGCCAACAAGTCAGGATACCTACAGACATTATAACCCCGGCCAACAAGTCAGGATACCTACAGAATTTATAACCCCGGCTCAGGATACCTACAGAGATTATAACCCCGGCCAACAAATCAGGATACCTACAGTCATTATAATCCCTGCTCAGCATACCTACAAACATTATAACCCCGGCTCAGGATGTCTTCAGACATTATAATCCCGGCTCAGGATGCCTTCAAACATTATAACCCCGGCTCAGGATACCTACAGACATTATAATCCCGGCCAATAAATCCTCATGCCTTCATACATTATAATCCCGGCCAATAAATCCTCATGCCTTCAGACATTGTAACCCCGGCTGAGTATGCCTTCAGACATTATAACCCCGGCCAACCAGTCAGGATACCTTCAGACATTATAACCCTAGTCAACAAATCAGGATGCCTTCAGACATTATAACCAATCAGGATGCCTTCAGACATTATAACCTTAGTATGCCTTCAGGCTAACAAATCAGGATGCCTTCAGACATTATAACCCCGGCTAGTATGCCAGGATGCCTTCAGACATTATCAGCTAACGAATCAGGATGCCTTCAGACATTATAAACCATGCCTTAACATTATAATCAGGATGCCTTCAGACATTATAACCCGGCTAAAAATCAGGATGCCTTCAGACATTATAACCCACGGCTCAGGATGCCTTCAGACATTATCAACCTAGACATTATAACCACGGCTCAGGATGCCTTTCATTATTATAACCACGGCTCAGGACAGACATTATAACCACGACTAACGAATCAGGATGCCTTCAGACATTATAACCCTAGTCAACAAATCAGGATGCCTTCAGACATTATAACCCTAGTCAAAAAATCAGGATGCCTTCAGACATTATAACCCTAGTCAACAAATCAGGATGCCTTCAGACATTATAACCCTAGTCAACAAATCAGGATGCCTTCAGACATTATAACCCTAGTCAACAAGGATGCCTTCAGACATTATAACCCCGGCTCAGGATGCCTTCAGACATTATAACCACGGCTAACAAATCAGGATGCCTTCAGACATTATAACCCTAGTCAACAAATCAGGATGCCTTCAGACATTATAACCCCAGCTCAGAAAAATCAGATGCCTTCAGACATTATAACCCCTAACAAATCAGGATGCCTTCAGACATTATAACCACGGCTAGTCAACAAATCAGGATGCCTTCAGACATTATAACCCTAGCCTAACAAATCAGGATGCCTTCAGACATTATAACCGGCTCAGGAACAGACATTATAACCCCGGCTCAGGATGCCTTCAGACAAATCAGGATGCCTTCAGACATTATAACCCTAGTCAACAAATCAGGATGCCTTCAGACATTATAACCCCTAGTCAACTCAGGATGCCTTCAGACATTATAACCCTAGGCTCAGGATGCCTTCAGACATTATAACCACGGCTAACAAATCAGGATGCCTTCAGACATTATAACGGCTCTAGTCAACCACGGCTAACAAATTATAACCCCGGCTAAGGATGCCTCAGGATGCCTTCAGACATATATAACCCTAGTCAAGAAATCAGTATGCCTTCAGACATTATAACCCCCTTAGTATGCCTTCAGACATTATAACCCCGGCTCAGTATGCCTTCAGACATTATAACCCGGCTTCAGACAAACCCGGCTTAGTATCAGTATGCCTTCAGACATTATAACCCCGGCTCAGTATGCCTTCAGACATTATAACCCCGGCTCAGACATTATAAGTATGCCTTCAGACATTATAACCCCCGGCAACAAGTATGCCTTCAGACATTATAACCCCGGCTCAGTATGCCTTCAGACATTATAGACCCCGGCTCAGGATGCCTTCAGACATTATAACCCCCACGGCTCAGGATGCCTTCAGACATTAGTATTATAACCCCGGCTCAGTATGCCTTCAGACATTATAACCCCGGCTCAGGATGCCTTCAGACATTATAACCCCGCCTTCAGACTCAGGATGCCTTTCAGACATTATAACCCGGCTCAGTATGCCTTCAGACATTATAACCCCGGCTCAAAAGGATGCCTTCAGACATTATATAACCACGGCTCAGGATGCCTTCAGACATTATAACCCCGGCTCAGTATGCCTTCAGACATTATAACCCCGGCTCAGGATGCCTTCAGACATTATAACCCCGGCTCAGGATGCCTTCAGACATTATAACCCCGGCTCAGGATGCCTTCAGACATTATAACCCCGGCTTAGTTATGCCTTCAGACATTATAACCCCGGCTCAGGATGCCTTCAGACATTATAACCCCAGCTCAGGATGCCTTCAGACATTATAACCCCGGCTTAGTATGCCTTCAGACATTATAACCCCGGCTCAGGATGACTTCAGACATTATTACCACGGCTCAGGATGCCTTCAGACATTATAACCCCGGCTAACAAATCAGGATGCCATTAGACATTATAACCCCCGGCCAACAAAGTGGTATATCTTGAGACACTATAACCCCGATTCAGTATTGCCGTTAAATTGAAATCTCTTCTTCCGTGGTATTTTTCTACCGACCTGGTTCCCGATCAACAAAACGTTCGTAGCGCTGCGGCATTCGCAAGCCTATAATAAACTATAGAGTTACGACAGATCGTAACGTTACGAATACTTTGCGGATCGGGACCCAGATCATGAGGTTGTTATTACCGCGCTAAAGAGTTATTTTATACACAGTATCGTTCCACCACATCCCTCCAAGTGCCCATACGCTGTTTGTGAAAACATTTCTATATATTTCAATAAACACTTAATAGGGTTTGCGATCTGTTCTAGCAAGATGAGTGATATTTGTAGTACATACCGATCGGAGCTAACTCACGTTATATTTGGGATTACACTTTCTCAGTAAAGTACAGATTCTAGTGCTTTTGTTGGGTGGAGTCCCATGCGGGATTCGAACCCACACCTTCAGAGTCAGACACCTAATCGCCAGCACACAAAACAGCAGTCTAACCCACTCAGCCATCGCGACTTCCGTATAAATGGAAGTCGGACAACTGTGCTGGCGATTAGGTGGGATCGGATGGGACTCAACCCAACAAAAGTACTTGAATCTGTACTTTATTGAGAAAGTGTAATCCCAGATATAACATGCGTTACATATGACCACTTTCTAAAATCGAAAGTGTTTGCTATTTGTTATGCAGTCAAGATCAATAATTTCAGCCTTGCGAAAATGTGCAATGAACCAGTTCCATTCGTTATGGTGTTCAGCTATATTGACATACGGCACATGTTTAAACCTGCTTTGTCATAAAACGAAATAAGCATGTTTGTAACCGCAGCGATTACTGTTGTCAAGAATGCAATGCTTACCTTATTTATCATGAAAATCATCGGAGGAAATATCGTTTAAATTATATCCCTCTGGTCTACACTAGGGCCATTTTGTTTCGAGCTGCACGAGATACTTTAACATATTCTCTGAGCTCTGCATCATCGTACGTGGAACAAGTTGTTGGATTTGACATTTAGCTTGCCGGTGGTCGCTCATGTTATATACGGGTCCTCGTGGCCAACTCTCTCATTACCGCAGTGGTTGACAAAAGTTCGAGGCAATATACAAGTGAAAACATCAGACGCGTGGAACATTGCAAGTCGCCTTAACAGATCCACGGGTCGTGCGCGTGCAGACATGAAAGAATCTGTCGGCCGTCCTGATCAGAGGGTAAGAAAGATGATAGAGTAACTATAGCAGTGATATACAACCGGTTTATATACTTCAGAAAAGTATATGTAAGTCAGTATCTTGTTTTTAGAATTTTAATCGGTCTCTTAAAGGTTTACTTGACTTTGATGTTATCACAGACAGCGATTAATGCTATTTTAGGACAACTGGTTTCAGTGCACATGGAAGATAACTATGTCTATCACACAGCGGTGTCAATTATAATAGTTACTGCAGCAGAGTGACCTGTGAACGGGTGATGACAGAGAGGTGATTCATTATGTGATTGTAAATAACGATAGGCAATAATGCATTGACAAGAGTCATGGTGTACAAACTTCTACAAACCAACACGGAGACATGCGTGGACGGACCTGATACTGCAGTCAAACTATGGCCTTTCTAAGCTATCTCTCAACATCAGTCCGGTCTCATATATCGTAACCATGACTTCTTACCTGAGCTATGAGGTATGTTCCCAGTAAATTGTCGAGGTTCTTGATGGTCAGTCCTGAACCAACAGCCGCTAACAGCGCCATCATTGTTTCAAATCACCTGACCTATTTCATTCTAGTATTTCCCCAGTATACGATCCCAAAGCAGGGACCGATACAGCTTATTTTTAGAAAGGGGTGGAGGGGAAGGGGTGTGCACACTTCATTTTCACGAGACTTGGTCTTTTAATAAACTTCAGGGCAAAAGGGGGATTGCGCACCCCTGCACCCCCACCCCCTCTGGGTCCGCCTATTCAAAGGGTAACAGTTTTACAGGTTTGCCGCTTGCTGCTGTGAAATCTACCCACCAAGGCACAACAACTGCGATCGATCAACATCCTTCGTCAAGGTGTTCTGCATACAAGATCAATAATTGATCCCCACACTTTGTAAAGCGCTACGTTTAGATTTTACGTCCTCTCACAAATTACTTGTTATTGAATCAAACCTTGACAAAACGGAGTGCGTTACACCTGTAACATCACGTCTACAGCATTTAGGGCGCGGTATAGGCAAGGGCGCGGTATGGGCAAGGGCGCGGTATGGGCAAGGGTGCGGTCAACGCCCCACCGGCCTATACACATATAAGTAACAAACAAGGTAACCCTATATACCCATATATCCAGGTCAAGCGAATGACACTCAGTTCAAATATTTACCTTATCGATTAAGGCTATGTTTGCTTCCCGACTGGTTTATGATCTAAATTTGCTCTCCTTTATTACCGGTGTTTATCAATGTCGTGGTGTGTTCGTTGTCAACGTGACCTGATAAGCTTAATGGGCGACGCTGTGTGATAACTATATAATGTACGGTTAGAAATCATATAGTACAGGAAATAAAATATGAGTTTTGATATATCGTAAATGTAATACACCCCTTGCCATGCACCAAACTAGCATTTTACTCATCAACAAAACCAAGTTACAAAGTCTCTTATGTAAATAATATATAGGTTTTTATCTACACCGCCATTGGCGTGTAAATATCGCCTCAGTATACAAGCTCACCGTAGAAACTGTCATACCAAATCACAATTTACAACATACTGACTTGATAACACTTGTCTTAAATGTCAACAGGAAAACCCGCTAATCCGGAATGGTGGTTCCATAGGCTGTGTTTCCGGTCTAGCGGGTATCCCAGTACAGAAAATAATGCATATATATCATACAAGCTCGAAACATCTGAACACAACACACAGACAAAGCCTGACATGTTGAGAGTATACTTTTAGTCCTACCTGCGGTATATGTCGCCGGGATAGAGGGTCATATAGCCCACAAGCGGACTCGGGACATTCAGATGTTACCCGTATGTAGGACTGTGCAGGTATGTTGTGCAAAGTGAGCGATGAACGCGGAAAAGCTTCCCGTCCTGAATAAACCAACCGTGACACTGCCTGCAGACAATGCTTGGTAGTTAAGCTTTATTGTTGCACATATCGATCTGTGCCAGGTATCCCACAGTTACATGGGAGTGTTGGTTACTGTGATACTCATGTACATATCCCATATACATACATTACAAGGATTAATAGCTTATCTTAAACCATCTGGCAAAGGAAGGTTTATATGATTTTGTTTTAATGTCTGAAATACATGTATTGTCACACAAATTGAACACAATAACTGGCACATGTTATATTTCGTTTCACAATAAATACAAGTATTCATATTACATTTATTGATGTTCAAGCACCTTGTTCAAGACATGAAAATGAGTAACATGCAGCAGCATGTATTATTTATGTAGGACGGAACAGTAATAAGCATAATAATAATACAGCAGATTTGTAATGCGCCAAAACCTCCAGGCACTTAGCGCCTGCTCATAGCGCTACACAAAATTAGTGAGTGAGTGAGTTCAGGTTTACGCCGCACTCAGCAATATTCCAGCTATATGGCGGCGGTCTGTGAATAATCGAGTCTGGACCAGACAATCCAGTGACAAGCAACATGAGCATCGATCTGCACAGTTGGGAACCGATGACATGTGTCAACCAAGTCAGCGAGCCTGACCACCCGATCCCGTTTGTCGCCTCTTACGACAAGCATGGGTTACTGAAGATCAATATTCTAACCCGGACCTTCACGGGTCTCACAAAATTAAAATACACTGCAGTAGAGATGCTATATTTTCACTGGTAATATAATCTTTACAGGACTTTTGGAAGAGATATGTCTTTAGGTAGCTTTTAAAGATTGTCAGTGATTGGAATTTCTATATTCCCAAGGGAAGATCGTTCCACAGAGTCTGGGCCATGTAAGCTAATAATCTCTGTCCATACTTTTTGAGGCTGGTTTTGAGCAGTTTAAGACGTAACTGATCAGCTGATCTTTGTGTCCGAGAAGGTTCATATTTCTTAATGAATTCTGTCAGATAGGCAGGGTCAGGTTGATTGGCACACTTATATGTCACGGTAAGAATATTGTATTGGACACGCGCTTGGACTAGGAGCCAGTATAGGGAGGTCATGTGCACACTTCTTAGTTCGGGTCACGATCCGTGCTGTAGTGTTTTGGACACGTTGGAGTTTGGCAAACTGTTTCTGGGTTAAATTTCTCAGCAAGCTATTGCATAGGCAAGTCTTGTGAATACAAGTGTTCTTGCTAGCGTATGTGACGTATCAGCAAGGAGAAGATCTCTAATGGAACCAGCATTCCTGAGATGAAAATAACAAGTGTAACAGAATTTAGATATGTGGTCATCCATTGATAGATTATTGTCGAAAACAAAACCAAGGTTCTTGGCACATTCTGAAACTGTAATCTCAGAGTTTCCTACTCGAACAGTCTTCACACCAGCAGCCAACCGTTTTGGCAGAGTTCCTGCAAGAAGAGACTCCGTTTTGCTGTCGTTACGTTTCAGCTTGTGTATAGTCATTCAGGACTTGATGCTATCAGTGGCATGCATTTTAGGGGTAGAAAACCTTGAGTAACTGTGTATCATCTGCGTACATATGATGATTTACACTAGAGGTTGAACGGGATGCGCCCAGATCAGAAGTGTACAGTGTAAATAGGATGGGTCCCCGCACAGATCATTGGGGAACACCATACTTTAAGACAGTAGTTTCAGAATCTGAATCACCGATACAAACTGACTGGATTCGACCAGAAAGGTATGAAATAAACAATTTCAGCACAGTTCCTTCAATACTTATCGACTCCCTCAGTGTTGCTGAGAGTTGTTCATGATCAATGGTATCAAATGCCGCTGAGAGATCTGACGATACCAACAAGCCAACACAACCACCATCCACAGATGTCAACAAATCTGTTTCAGCTCTATGTTCTGGTCTATATGCAGACTGATTCTTATCCGGTAAACCAAATCTGTCAAGATGTAAGGAGAGTCTACACTTCACAAACCTTTCAAGCACTTTAGAAAGGAATGATAGGTGGGACACAGGTCTGTAGTTACTGAGGGTAGACATGTCTAAGTCCTGTTTCTTAAGAAGAGGTTTGATCACTGCCTCTTTGAAACAGGAACTGTTTCTGTTGATAGACTCTTATTGACAGTACTCGGCGCGCGTGTTCCAGGGGCATCAGGTAAGGATACTGATGAGATGCCGGTCTCCGAGTTCCACGATTTCCTCCAGCACCTCAGACACATCATAGACCCATCATTGTTATGTTTGTTAGCCATCGTAGTAAGAGGCGCTTGTTAGCTAATAGGTTAAAGCTGAAGACTGCACAATCTAACTCTCCAATAGTCTTCATAAATGAAGACCTTACCAAAACCAGACCGATCCACGCTGAACAGTCCAGGGTACTTGTCCAGCTAAAGAACACCGAGTCAACCTGGGGGCCTGGGGGTCTGATCCTAGTGAAACTTAAGGATTTTAAGCTGAGGAAATATTGCTACTAACACATATGTACAGTAAGTCCATGACCAAACTAGATTACAAATTGAGGATTTATCTGTGTGTAGATCCCGCCCTTATGCAGGCTGATATGACTGTCACAAGTGTTGGGGAGTGAGGTTAATTTTACGCCGCTTTTAGCAATATTAGAGCAATATCACGGCGGGGGATACTAGAAACGTGCTTCACACATTGCATCCATGCTGGGAATCGAACCCGGTTCTTCGGCGCGACGAGCGAACGCTTTAACCAGTAGGCTATCCCAGCGTCCGGTCATAAGTGTAGTCTACTAATTCAACAACTCAAGTTAATACAATCTCTAGTGAAACTTTCAAGTTAAAGACGTGTGTCGTCACCACCATTTAACACCAGGACACTACTCACAATGATGTCAATAGAATTGTTCACGTGAACAATCATTGTCACATTAATATATACATTTGTATGGATGTGGGACTGTGTATGTATGTATGTATACATGTATATATGTATGTGTATGCAAATCACACAGACTCGTGGTAAGTTGAGAATGCATTGTTCTTTATGCTCAACTCCGATTGTATTATCCGTCGTTCAAGAAATACCAATTGATGCTGATGTGGCATTTATCTATGAGAAACATACAGGGTTTGTTAGCAAAAATAGGAAGTATGGCGACATAACACCCGTCCTGCAACACCCCCATGGGCCACTGGTTACCAGTGAAGTACCGTATTCAGTATAAGATACGGGTACTGGTGTTCTAGTGCCTGGGTGGATCAGCACCGCCCTACCTGTCCAGTCTTATTCACAGATACCAGCCACGTCGCTCACTCAGATCCAAAGAGGGGCTCCAACAACAAGTACCAACATCACCCACACAGACCTTTGGCGAAAGAGCCTTTGGATATGCCGGACCAGGCTTGTGAAATGAACTGCTAATCCATGTAAAATCCCAAAACACTCTTACTGGATTCAAATCAAAACTTAAAGACACACTTTTTCAACTTCATTTTTTTGATCAGTGAAATTCTTTTTCTCAGACACAACAGAGCTTTTGAGCAGCATGTTCCTCGATATCAGCGCTTTACAAGTTTTAGTACAGATAGATAGCTACATGTCAATCTTTTCACTTGGTTTATTTATACCTAACTGCGCCCAGCATTGATATACATGGTCAATAAACTGAAGTGTGCCAAAGTGCACCTAACACTTTTGTGAAGGTTACTGTTGGTCCAAACAGACGCGCCACAGATATTACGTATATATTACATGAATGATTTCAAGAATATTCCAAAGTGCATTATCAATTTACATGGTCTGGAGACCGTATCTAATCTATAACCATTTAAACTATATATTTAACGCAATGGGTTTTTTTTCTAAATCTAATGTCCTTGATCGCTTCGCAACTATTTGTGCACAAGAGTCCAATTATAATATTTGTTTCATGTCCACTCCCAGTTAAGAGCACACTCCCTGGGTTTTGTGTTTCTTACATCAGTCAGTTTTCCTTTAAAGCACTATTCGATAGATCCGGAGGGTTTTCCATTCTTTTCTTATATTTCTATCGAATATTTCATCTTCATCTGCATGTTCTGCGTCTACAGACACACGGACGTATAGTCCGTTTGAAATCATTTGAGACACACTCTGACACACAAAATCTAATAAATGCAACAAAATCAGACTCTGTACAGTCACATGAAATCGACAGACCAACTCTGATGATTTGTCTCATAATTTTGGACACCCGAATAACAAAGTTGTTTAACAAACGATCATTAGGTGCCTGACTCTGAGGGTGTGGGTTCGAGTCCCGGATGGGACTCAACCTAAAAAAAGTACTAGAATCTGTACTTTACACAGAAAGTGTAATCCCAAATATAACATATGTTGCATTTGAATACTTTCTAATATGGCATTGTGTATTTCATAGCCTTCGGCCGTGGGAGCCGTACCAATTAACACTAGTCAGAGGGGTACACAAAGTCCGCAGTCTAGACTACCAGTTGTCCGACTTCCATTTTTGTGGAAGCCGCGGTGGCTGAGCGGTCTTGGCGTCTGACTTTGTGTGCTGGCAATTAGGTGCCTGACTCTGAGGGTGTGGGTTCGAATCCAGGATAGGACTCAACCCAAAAAAGTACTAGAATCTGTACTTTACAAAGAAAGTGTAATCCCAAATATCACATATCCGTTTGATCATTATTTTGTTGTCACTTTTCGCTGTTTCTTACGAGGGAGGACCACTTGCTGGTAGAACAGCCAGGTGTGCGAGTTGAACGTGTGAAATTGAAATTTCACTGCACATGCTTATTGATCACCTGGCTGTTCTACCAGCAAGTGGTCACCCCTCGTAAAAAATAGCGAAAAGTGACAACCAAATAATGATCGTTTGTTTAACAACTTTGTTATTCGGGTGTCCAAAATTATGAGACAAATCATCAGAGTTGGTCTGTCGATTTCATGTGACTGTGCAAAGTTTGATTTTGTTGCATTTATTAGATTTTGTGTTAGTGAGCAAGTCATCGGTCTCAAATGAAGTC